CACACACACACAGACACACACAGACACACACACAGACACACACACACACACACACACACACACACACACAGACACACACACACAGACACAGACACACACACACACACAGACACACACACAGACACACACACAGACACACACACAGACACACACACAGACACACACACAGACACACACACAGACACACACACAGACACACACACAGACACACACACACAGACACACACACACAGACACACAGCACCGTGCACCTCATACACCGCACGTCACCACCCACCACCCACTCACCCACCACCCCACCCCCGACCACCACCAACTACCCCCCAACCCACCACCCCACCCCCCACCACCACCAACTACCCCCCAACCCCCCACCCCACGCCGCATGAGACACACCACACTTTTCTCGAACAACGGACCTCGCAATTGATGGCGGCTTCTTGGCATGTTTGCGGGTCCTTCAGCCAGGCAAGCTGGGGAGATAACTCTCAGGGAGGCTTTCCTGACCCAAACGTGAACCTGCCCATTAACATGATCTCAACAGATGTATTGTGGTCTCCGGAATGGACGTGGACTAAATGGAGGGGTTAAACCTGTCACAAGCCTGGGTTCCACAAGTCCCGTGTCTTTTTAGAGCTCGAAACCCTGGCTTTGCTTAGAGATGTACGCGTTGCGCGATGCCGTGCCCAACCCCCCCAACGAACATGCAAAGACGGTGTGCAGTTTTAGAATCTTACTTGTTTGTTAAGAGGGTGTTTCCAGGAGTTGATTCCCCCTGAAAAACACCGTTAGTTAAGCTTTTTCCGGGTTTTGAGATTCTTGGTGTGTGTCAAGAAACTTAGGGAGGGCTCATGTTGCAAGGCCTAGGCAGCTAAGCCTTAAGACTGCGCTCCATTTGGCAGCCCCTGGGATGCGTCGCCCCTGCCCCCAATTTTGGGACATACACACACAAGCACAAAATCTCTGCACTCTTTCCTGCGAGGTAGGGGTTGCCTGCTCCGGTGCTGGGCTCAGAATTGCAAGGCCAGGGAAGAGACAATTGGAAGGATGGACAGACTCACCGACCTAGCAAACTGCTGGCCACTTTCGTTCATCGCCCAGCTAGAAGGTTCAGGGACCCTATCAGCACATGTGCATCGCTCACTTTTCCAGACCCTTTCCAAAAAAATAAGATGTAGTCAAGACGGACCAGGTCTCAAGGGAGCGCTGAGGTATGAGCAGTCGCTCACCGCCAACTTTGACTCGCTGGATCAGGCTCGGCCCCGTTTGTTTCTCAATTTGGGGCCTTTGGTTTCAGGTTTCCACCAATCGCTGGTTTGGTGTTAGGTTACTCTGGAGGTCTTTGGTCTCAGAGCTAGTTCAATTGGTGGTTAGGGATTTGAGCCTCTGTTTGTAAGGACAGGGTAAATAGGGCCCTTTTTGTCTTTGTTTGTGGTTCGGTGATGCTGTTTGTCCCGGGGTCAAGTCTCAGTGGTGATTCGATCGCGCAAGGCGTTGCGCCCTCTGAAGCACGGGAAACAACAACGGGAGATGCGGGAATGGGAAATGCGAAATTGCTCTTTGGGTTTCAACCCCTGGGTACGTTGCTGGGAACCCCCGGGAACAAATTGCAAACCAATGGAAAGCCATAGGGGACGCTGGTGGGCCTCGCAAGTGGCCCCTTTGAGTTCCTCCAGCCGGGCGCAACGCTACGTGTGAGATGACCTCGGCCGGCTGAGATCGTCGACCTGTACATCCGCAAGAACGGACGGGGTCGGGTGGTGGTGGATTCGCTACCTGGATTGAGATTTCAAGGTCAGCAGCGGGCTCTTTCTCTTTTTCTATTTCGTTATATTCACATATCATATATTTTATATTTTTCTATGTCGTTATTCACATATATTTTCATCTTTATGCAACTTATTGTGTTCGTCCTTCATTTTTCTCTTCTTTCTTCTTACTTCTCTTTCTTTGTCTCTCGTTGCAGCATTTGGGTCTTTCTTTCTTTCTTCCTTCTTGCCTCTTTTCCTTCTTGCCTGCCTTCCTTCCTTCCTTCCTGCCTGCCTGCCTTCCTTCCTGCCTGCCTTCCTTCCTTCCTTCCTTCCTTCCTTCCTTCCTTCCTTCCTTCCTTCCTTCCTGTTTTTCATTCTTTCTTTCCTTCTTGAATTCGTTAATTTGGTTTCATTCTTTCTTCCTTCCTTCCTTCCTTTCTTTCTTTATGTCTCTGTTTCTTTCTTTCTTTCTTTCGTTGGTTCTTTCTTTCTTTGTTTGATTGTTTCTTCCTTTCTTTCTTGCTCTTCCTCGTTCTCTTTTCGTTCTGTCCATGTTCTACCTCTCTTCTGTTACTTCTCTTCCGCTTTTTCTCTTGTTCTTTTTCTCGTTCTCTCTTTCTCTTTCCCTTTCTCACTGTGTTTCTCTTTTGTTTGTCGTTGTCCTAGCTCTTTTCATCTGCGCCCACCCATGGGCTGCAAACGCATCAGAAGAAAACTGCCACCCGAGGCTGTTCTTCACTGATTTGCAGATCAAGAAGGCCGGCCAGCCCGCCAAAACCGTCAGACTTTCCCGGGTTCCAGCCCAAGAGACTGGCTTCTTTGCTCAAGTGTTGCATGCTTGGTTCCCAAACGCGTAAGCCTTGAAATGGGTGTGGAAACCCAGTTTGAGGGTTTCCTCATATTGAAGCACACCCACACGAGGGTTGCCACAAGTGAAGCCCGGCCGCCAAGCCGCAGGTTGGGCACCAGCGTCTGATAGAGAAGTGGTTCAGGGAGCGCCGCTTGGCGAAGTTGGAGGGTAGACGCCAGGGCGTCCTCTTGTTGTGTTTTGCTTTGAAAACAAAAGGAAACCGACCATGTTGGGTTCCCCGTTTTAGGACAAACCCAAATCATGTTTTTCCCCCGAAAGCATTGCGACGGGCGCTTCCGTGCGGAGCCCGTGGCCTCATATGCACAGAGGAGCTTGCGCGGAGCAACTTGCGCAGAGAAACTTGCACAGAGTAACTTAAGCAGAGATATTTTCACAGAGAAGCTTGCGCGGAGCAACCTGCGCATAGCAGCTTGCGCGAGAGAAGCTTGCACAGACAGAGCCACAGAGCAACCTGCGCAGAGTGTGCGTGTGGGTGCTTGGTATAGAGCCTGTGCAAGTTTGGATTTCAGCTCATGAGTGCTGGAAACAGAAGCAACGCCTCTGCGCTTTGCCTGATGAGACGTGCGAGTCTTCAAGCACGGTGCAGCTCAGCGTGCAACACCTCCAACTGCCTGGGAGTGGTGCTCAGGGATGATGGCCGCTAGGATCTGCTGGTTCTGACCCCATCAGCTTTTGCGTGCCCTCCACACCGGCCTTCCGAACCGAGAGCGGGCGACGACAAAGTCAAGGATGCTGGCTGGGTCTCCTTCTGCTTCAGAGCAACAGCCAGCGTGCGTTCATATGATCTATGAATTTCTATGAATGCTTATTTTGCAGCAGTTGCGATTGTTCTTCATCGTTGGCAGCCATGTAATTAGCTCCCAAACTTGCGTTTGGCAAGGCAGTTATGCGCTCAAACGGGTCCGGCCCCTCAAATCCTTGAAAGTAGGCGGCAGCGTGCAGATTGGAAAGGTCTTAGCCACGATTGCGGACACTTTAGCAGCTCCAGGTCTGGGTAATCTCAAGCCAGAAGCAGAAACACAACCGAGATCAACGACACCTGCTCCAAACGCACGCCGGGGGGGGGGGGGGAGGGCGCTTAGTCACATTCAACCCAACAACAAGAGAACGCTGTGAAGACCCATGACTCGGGCATCGAATTGAATCTGCCCCACCCACAAAACGTAAGCCAACAAATCGTGCATTTCGGACAATTTCGGACATGGGGTGCCTGAAAGTGTACACTTTTGGCCATTGTTGTCCTGCGCGTACTGACGTCACATCTACGCCTTTTTATGGCGCACTATAAACAAGACGTGAATGGGAAGCAGCTTGCTGAAGGGTGTCCTCTTGAAAGCGGCGCGCCCGAGCTCCAGTTCGGGTGGCTCGGCCCTATGCCGGGAAAAGTTGATGGCTTCATGAACTGCTTGAAGAAACTGCGGCGGTGGCGCCGTAGTCTCTGGCATCAAATCAGTCCATGAAATACTTCTTGAGCGTTCTCTTGAAGTAGGTGAGTCCCAGGATCCGCCCTTAGCCGGCCAGGCGATTTTGGATCTTAAGCGCATGATCACTGTGTGTGTGTGAAAAATCGTGGGCGTTGACGCAAGTGCCATGTTATGCGGGCTTTTTGCGCGCAGCCATGCATCCGGCCGCGTTTGATTAAGACTTCGGTTCCCGGGAAAGCCGCCCGGCCACTCCGGGTGTTGTGCTGATCTTCTGCGACGCGAATCTGGCGACCGTGGCCTTCAAGGTGTCGGAGTACACACGCATGGTGTTCAGGAAGTTGCCACGCGTGTGGGTTACAGCATGCCGGTGGCAAAGAGACTCATCCCATGGATCGCCAAAATGCATTTGACCCCATCAGCCGTGACTTTTTTTGAAGATGCATGCGTGCGCGCATCTGTCTGAACAAGCAGCACTTTTTTCGACTACCGCTAAGAAGGCCTTCCCAAAACATTTCCTAGCAAATCGCTTGGTCCCGGGCCAGGCCCCCCACGCCCTCTCAGATCTTTGCACTGTGCACCACACCATTTTTTTGCATGCAGGCAGCGTGGCTCATGATCATCAGTAACCTTGTTTCCCTTCCAGTTGAAAATAAGAAAGCACTCCGAGCTTGCACAGAAGTGTGAAAGCCCCAACACATTTCTTTTTTTTCCCGCTGTTGGGGAACTGCAGGATGAACCCCGCCCCCCCTAAATTCAGGGAGGGGTGCCTCCCCAATGATCCGGTGTCGTTAAAAGCAATTCAACTGACTGAGTGCCCCGCGACTTGGCGACCGGCTAAGGTGCTGCTCACGTCGTCCTAGCCCCCCAGGGCTAGGCTGGCCACCTGAACTGCCTCATCACGTGCGATCTCGCCCCCGGCGAGAGGGCCTTGCGCCTCGTGAGAAGTAATTAAGTTGCGAGGCGCGGCACTAAACAACCTTCCCCGAGTGCTGTACAGGGGAGCCGCTTGGGATGCCATTAGATATCCAAGGCCGGTCGTCAGCGTTCGGGTGTTCACTTTAAATCTTTCCTCCCTGGGCCCAGGATGCCTCCAGTTGCGACAGCATGGCTGTCAGGACTTACTGGGGGAACAGTTCCGGGGCAGGGCATCCCTGGGCCCGAAGAGAAGACCGATGCCTGGTTCTCGGGCGGCTACGGTCCGCATGGCCGCAGGAATTTGTCCACCCAAGCACGCTACATTGACGGATTTCTTTGCAGGCTTCTATATATCAATTCCCCGAAACTTCACGAGCTCACCAAGCGGAAGAAAAGCTGGCACGAGCGCGGGCTGCATGATGCAGGCCCCTTACATACTTGTTTAGGCTTTGATGTTCAACGGAGCCTTTCTGCAAAACGCTTGGGGGGGAGAAAGCGCAATGTAAATGATGTCCATCAAAGGGTCCCCAACTGGTTTGTGCATCCCAGTGCTTGCTGTGGGAATTTCTCCGGGAACCGGGGTTTCGAGTTCGATCACTTGGCTGCGGGGTCTGGTGCGCTGAGGGGCGCCTTCCAAGACTTGCTTTGAGCGACGGCACAAGCTGGAAGTCGTGCAGCGGAGAGCTGTACTGGAAGGCGCCTGAGTTGAGGGAGCGACACCTACAAAGAACCCCCCCAGAACCCAGGCTTAAGTTAGGGCATAGAAATTGCATGCCGAAGCAGAGGAGCATGTGGATAGATTTGGATTTGTTGGGATTGGCACGCCCTCACTCGCCGTGTTTAAAACTGCACCATTCCCCATCACGGCGTTTAGCCAGAGCCTCCCTGGATCACGAGAGTCGCGTAGTGGATGTTTCCGCCGCGCTCGACTGCTGTAGTTCAGGGCGAGATCAATGAAAGCGGCGCCCGACGCCCCCGAATCGTGGAGCTTAGCAAGACTCGGTTGCAAGGCTTAGATGGGCCTGTGCGCCCAGGTAGAACAAAAACGTTCGAGGGGGGTTTGGCACTGCTCATGTATTGAACTTTATTTTTTGGGCAAGCTTTGATGCACATCGGCGCCGTGTTTGGGTGCTGAAGCTGTCTGATCATCAAAGCTTGCCATGTAGCACTGGGTCATGGCCTGTTCCCGGCTTCTGAGCCTTGGAGCCAGTCCATCCCAAACTGCAGTCAGCCATGCGACCATGCATGCTGCTCACCCGGAGATAAATCCGAAGACGAGTCCTCCTTTGCCACCAGCTGCGTGCGGAAGCACGCACGCAGCTGCGAGCCGGGGCTTTGCGGTCCTGATGGTTGGCGAAGGAGTTCCAGCGCAGTTCGGTGATGTCTGCAGGTGGACACGTGTCCTGAAATTAACAGCGCTGGCAGGGGGTCGCCGTGTGGCAGTGTAGCTGACATGCCATGCGGTGGCTGAAGAGTTGTCTTGGATTTTTGAATGTTCAAAGATCACCTCACGTTCATGGCTGACCCTCAGGCCAGGCTAGGCCCAACTTTTGCAGGGCACAGCAGAGGCTGCAGTAGGACGCCCAGTGGCACGCCATCACGCACAGCTCCGAGTGGTCTGCCCTTTGTGTGGCCCAAGTGTCCTGGGAGCCGTCAACATATTCAGATGATGCACGAAGGCAGCAACACTGACTTTTGTGCAACTTCCGTTTTCGGCCGAACAAATGCGACGATTCGACCTATGACATTGGTTTTTGAAGCACATTTTGACAGACCCCACAGTTTTTGGAATACGATGCAGAACTCAGGGCCTATGAGAAGACATTGCTTGTTCTGTTTCAGCATCCGGGCTTTAGGTTTTCAACCGCAGGGCCTTCCTTTCTTCACGGCCCAAGGGGCAGCAAGGGATTGGTGAGTTCCGGGGCGTGACGCATCGTGACGCCCGGCGTGATGGCGGGTGCTCAGAGCAGTTCTAAGCAGTTCTATGAAGGTTTGGGTTTGAAAGGTAGGCACCTTGAAGGTCAAGCTTCCAGATCCAGTGAATCCCTGAGTCGGATGTGTGTTTGGCACGAGCTTGCTCAAGCGCACGGATTCGGTTCCTGCCATTGCCGTCTCCCGAACATGGATGTCCAAAGGCTGCCTTCGGGTGGCAAATTACATCGCGGCATGGCATTGAGGCCCTAGGAGGCGCCGGCTCCATGCGAAATGGAATCCGGAAATGGGCCCAAAACCCGAAGCAATCGCCTTGGGGCAAATGGGCTGGTGCCTCCCGGCCGGAAACAGCACCTGTTTCGCAGCTCCCACCCTTTGTCTGACCTTTCATAGGGTGGGTCATGCAAGTCATGCACTTCACAGCACCTTTGGCCAGAAGCGTCGGTCGCTTTGAAATCGGCCGCCGGCCGTGACTGATTTCTGAGGCGGTTCGAGTCCAGCGGTCGAATACAAAACCCATCGGCTCGGAGGCCGATGTGACTCAAAAGCGGCCCGGCGAAGCCGCTGGAAGTTTGGAGCGTGTCTGTTCGTCGGTGTGTCTGTGCGCGTGTTTGTGTCTGGGTGAGTGGGGGGGGGGGCGTGCCTACATGCCTGCATGCATGCGGTCAAAGCATAGCAACCCTGCAAGTGTGTTTGCTCTTTCTCGCATTGTGGGGTTGTTGAAATCAATATTGACTGATAAGGTCTTCACTGTTATGTCTTCTCTTAGTTGGCCTTGTTTTGCGGGTGTGGGGGGTGCCATTTGTGAGGGATTAAGCGGCCAACCATCTTTAGGGTGTTCAACATTTTTTTTGAGATACATGCAATGTGAGCCCCGCCCGTTTGCTCAGACTCAAAGTGCCGAGCTGCAAACTGCCAAGTCGTGAGGGTTCCACGAAGGTCCTGTTAGAAGCCACCTTGATATGTGGGGAGTTGCCCTCTTTTCCCAGATGCGGCCAACTCGCGACTCCACCCACTCCCCCCCCCCCCCCACGCACAAACCCAGCTTCTTGGGCCCGGCCTGCAGCTATGCCTGAGGAGGCATGGCCTGGTTTTCGGCCGACTGACTTCCATAGCTTTGGGATGCTTTTAGGGCACTTTCGTGATAGCCAACGCCCCTCCCCCCCCCGGTCAAAATGATGCAGCAATGCATTCCAGAGCAACTCTCAGCTTTGTTCCAAGCAGAAGCTATCCTTGTTATGTTCAAGCGGCAGAGTCCTTGGCAACCCTTCTCAGATTTCCCAGTGTTGCTCCTTCGAAAATTCGGACATTTTGCCTGTGATAGCTTTGTCGTCGAGCGCAGAACTTGGCTTGGTCTAGCCCGACCTGCTTGGCTCTTCGGTTGGCTTCGGTTGACCTGACCTGGCTGAATGGCTTGAGAGAGTTCTTCCAAGTGTTTCCTCACTCACCTGAACTGGGTTTGACATCATTCTTTGAACCAGACTTCACTTAACTTCACCTGGCTTCATTGGACTTAACTCAGTTGGCCCGGTTTGGCCTGACTTGCACCAGCTGTGACTTTTGGAAGGTGTTTGTCACAGTAGATTGTTGCATCAGTGTGCCGCTTTTTCCCCCTTTGACTGTCCTGAAAATTTCAACCCACTAATTTCCAGGGGCGGGTGAGAGGGTTCAAACCCCCACCCCCACAAAACCTCCCCGCCCCCCCGGCAGGCTGGGTCGCCCTACAACCACTGGGCTTCTGTGAGGGTCGGCGCCCCAGAGCAGTCGACGGCTGTGTCGACCGTTCTTTGGTCCATTTTGAATGAGTTGCAAAACGGGTCTTCGGTGAGCGAAACCCCCTTTCCGTTGAGAGACCCCTTGCGGTTTGAGGTTCGTAAAAATCTTTGGCCTCTCTCGGCCCACGTGGGATGATTTTTGGTCTAACCCTTCTCTGCTCAAGGGTAATCAAGATCCTTTTGGGTTACGAGAGGCTTTGGCCCCTCTCCCCCCATGGCCTGGGTGCGACGGGAGGCGACGCAACCATCACATCGAGGTGGTTGGCTCGTTTCGGCGTCGTGTTGTGCCGTCTTCCAGCTCCGCCCTTTTCTCCAGGCTGAGATGAGCCCTGAGCAAAACACTTGGCAAATGCAAACGGGCCGATCAGCCGACTTCATTCCAAGCAAACTCATGGGTTAAAAAGTCGATGGGCAGGGCATAAAAACCATTCCAAGCCACATGTCGCCTTGGAACGAACGAGCCATGCGGCCGTGTGAAAATTTTTGTTCAAAGGCGCTGACACTCGGGGCAACTTGAGCCGGAGGTTCGGAACACCTTCCTGGACGTGCAGGTGGACGAGCAGGACGGGGGGTGGCGTCGGATGTTTTGGGAAGACGAGTCGGCCGTGGGGCTCCAGGGACATGACCTGGTCATTTCCAGGTCTGTTTTCGACTTTTTGTTTAAAACTTGAGAATTTGGAGGTGGTCCGTTGTGCGATGTGTTTCGGACTGGCAGGCCTGGGTGCACACGCTTTCACTGAGCCTCATGATCATGCAACCTCTTGCCTCCAGTCGCCTCTTCTCTCCCCTCCCGCAGCCGCCCTGACTCCCAAGGCCACAGCCGGGGCGTTTGCCGCTGCGGCCTTGTCACTTCTTCGTGACTCGTGTTGGCGCGTTGTTAAACAACCCCAACCCTTCGTGCTCGAGCCTGCCACTCCGGGGTTTGTTGGCAGCACTCGTTCCACGTAAGCGCTCCACGCAGGCATTGCGTGCCGCTGTCCACCAACGCTGTAATCTCCGTCGATGCTTTGAGTTTGAGCCGCGACTCAAAGGCTGTGGTGCGATGCATGTTGGTTACAGTGAGATTGTTCTGGGGTTTAACTGTGGGAAGAGTTGGCTTTTTGCAGTCATTTGAATGACAGATCGCTTGAAGTTGTTTTTTGGCTAGTGTTTGATTGTTTTCTTTGACTTTTTGCTTGTTCGGTCGTCTGTGTGTGTTGTTGCACAATATGCCGCAATGAGTCGGATCTTGGTTTGCCAAACATCCGTGGCCGGCAGGCCCTTGGCCTTTGCGCCAGGAAGTGAGCATTCGGAGGAGCAACTCGCTCCCCAGCAACTACAGCAGCAAGGACTGGCCAAAGGGCTAGAAAAGTGGATGACCCTTCTTGACCACACGTGTCTCCCCCCTCCCCTCCTCAAAATCGGGGTTGGAAACTAGCGGCTAGCCAACAGCACCTTTAGGTATCAAACGAAGCACCTAGGCTTTGACGGGTACCGGAATTGCTGAGGAAATTGTTTCATGCCTAGTACGTTGTTTCTTAGATTCCATACCCGAAGCCAATCCTGCATTTACGACATATAATCGTCATGATTTTCCATGCCCGGTTGATTTTACAAAGTGCGCCCTGTTCTCTCATTGCACACCCCACTATCTTTACACAAGCAACCTAAGTTCGTACCACATGAACCAAAAGCAGCAGCAACAACAGCAACAGCAACAGCAACAGCAGCAGCAACAGTAGCAGCAACAACAGCAGCAGCAGCAACAGCAACAACAACAACAGCAGCAACAACAACAGCAGCAGCAGCAACAAGAGCAACAACAGCAACAACAGCAACAACCACAACAACAGCAGCAGCAGCAACAACAGCAGCAGCAGCAACAACAGCAGCAACAGCAGCAACAACAACAGCAACAGCAGCAGCAGCAGCAACAACAGCAACAACAGCAGCAACAGCAACAACAACAACAGCAGCAGCAACAACAACAGCAGCAGCAGCAACAACAACAACAGCAGCAGCAGCAGCAGCAACACCAACAACAACAACAACAACAACAACAACAACAACAACAACAACAACAACAACAACAACAACAACAACAACAACAACAACAACAACAACAACAACAACAACAACAACAAACAACAACAACAACAACAACAACAACAACAACAACAACAACAACAACAACAACAACAACAACAACAACAACAACAACAACAACACAACAACACAACAACAACAACAACAACAACAACAACAACAACAACAACAACAACAACAACAACAACAACAACAACAACAACAACAACAACAACAACAACAACAACAACAACAACAACAACAACAACAACAACAACAACAACAACAACAACAACAACAACAACAACAACAACAACAACAACAACAACAACAACAACAACAACAACAACAACAACAACAACAACAACAACAACAACAACAACAACAACAACAACAACAACAACAACAACAACAACAACAACAACAACAACAACAACAACAACAACAACAACAACAGCATCAACAGCAACAACAGCAACAACAGCAGCAACAGCAACAACAGCAACAACACTAACACAAGCAACAACAACAACAACAACAACAACAACAACAACAACAACAACAACAACAACAACAACAACAACAACCACAACAACAAAAACAACACCAACAACAAACCACAACCACAACCACAACCACAACCACAACCACAACCACAACACCAACAGCGACAGCGACAGCGACAGCTACAGTGACAGCGACAGCGACAGCGACAGCAACAGCAACAGCAACAACAACAACAAAAACAACAACAGTTAACACCACACACCAAACAAGCAAGCAAACAAACACAAAAAGTCAACCAAACAAGCAATCAACAAGCAAGCAAACAAGCAAACAAGCAAACAAACAAACACAACACAAACAAACAATCAAACAAACTAACAAAGAAACAAACAAACAAACTCACAATCAATACATATCACAAAAGCAAACAAACAAACGCAACCCAATAAACCAGCAAAGGCAAAGAAACAAACAAACAAAACAGACACCAACAGCAACAACGACGACGACAGCAGCAGGAACAACCGCAGCAACAGCAACGCCAACAGCCACAACAACCACAACAATTACAACAGCAGCAACAACAACAGCAACAACACCACCAACAAAAACAAGCACGACCACAACCGCAACCACAACCACAACCAACGACAACAAGAAGCAACAAACAACACACAACAACACGCAACAACAAACAACGCGAGAATGGCGTCCTTCTAGTGGGCGCTTCGGAAAAGCCACTGTGAAAACGCAGCCCGGAGCACGTCAAGCATGACACATCCGGCCGTCCAAGCAGAGATTCAAAGAACACCAACGCCCCCTGTGTTTGATAAGTTTGTTTTGGTCCATGGGGCAAACGCTGCTCTCAATCACGCTTCCATGTCATCATGGGGCGCCCCAAAAAAGGTGGTGTTCCTTCAGACCAGTTGCAAAGCGCGTTGCCTCGCCGTTTTTTTCGCTTGCGGAATTCAGATCTTAAGTCAGAAAACGGACAAAGAAGGTCAGCTGAGCGGACGCGCTTATGATTTGGAAGGCGTGTGTGCAGTGTTGACCTGTGCGCTTGCTTGCGTGCTGATACGTCGGCCATTTGGCAGGCGTGTGTGCGGCGTGAGCCGGTGTGCTTCAGCGGATGCGCTTATCATTTGGCAGGTGTGTATGTGTGTGCAGTGCTGACCGGGTGCACTTGAGTTGAGTATGCACCTATCATTTGGCAGGCGTCCGTGCAGTGCTGACCGGGCACGCTTGAGCAGGCGTGCTTACCATTTGCCCAGGCGTGCGTGCCTTGTTGGCCGGGCGCGCTGTCCACTTGCGCCATATCGCTTTTACGTATAGGTCAGAAGCATGTAAGCATGACAGGGAGGGCAAGGGTTGCAGGAAAACAATTGAACATGGAGGCGATCAACAAGGGAGTTGGCATAGAAAGGGCTGTATGCGGTTGAGCATTTGTAAGGCCAGATGAATGCAATGGTAAAGGTTTTGCTGTAAAGCAGAACAAATCAGACAGACTTGCGAACAAACAAGCCGCACCTGGTAAAACCGAGGAGGTTATGTAGAACGCTGTGCCCCGCACTTTGATTGTCTGGGCTCGCGGGTGCCTGGTGACGCGCAACGCTTCAACAACACCATGAGACACCCCCCCCAAGTTAGAGACGGCCCGAAAACGGTGAAGCAGATCAAGCCTGGAATTGCGTTGGCAGTCTCCGGCAGCTGTACCCCATAACAGGTGGAGAGAGCGTTTCGTTGCGAGGACAGCGAATCCAGCTACAGGAGCTTGGGTCACATTGTCCGCCTTTTGGTTGCTGTTCGCCGATCATTCACCCATGTTGCGCTCCCCCCAAGGTCTCTAGCATTTTTTTGAAAACCGGGGAAGTACAATTGCATCCTTGGATGCGTCATTAGTTTTCCTTCTAGCCGGGCTCATCAATTTCCAGCCTAGCAGTCTAGGCAGTCTAGGGGGTCAGCGTCACAGCAAGGTCGGTTGCGTCCGTCAGCCTCCTTTGGATATGTTAGAAATGCAGGCCCAGCATGCGGGGAGGTTTCAACCTATTTGGGGTCAGTCTTTCGGGGAACCCCTGCAGTTCAAAATTGGGCGGCGCGCGTGCGCGGTTTCGGTGGAGACCAGTTTGGTAGGACCCTTCACTTCATTGGATTTTTGGTGACGACCCTGGAATAAAATAGGCTGAATATGCTCCAACGCAAGGTTTTGTCGGACATGGGGGTGTCGTTTTTGAGGGCATAGCCCCCTTTTCGTGGTTTTAAAGGGAACCCCAAAGGGAGACCCAAATAGGGAGTCTCGCAAGGCCGATCTCGCGAAGAGACTCAGGCAACACGATCTTCTTGGGTCAGGCTCTCGCCGGCCTTTGGGCTTGTTCAGGCTGAATTTTGGCTTGAAGCTGGGAACAAGGGGCCACACGTGTATAACACGCCTTGGTTTCCTCAGCTGAAAGCTATGGTTCCAGAAGGTTGTGCGCCTGGCTGCGAGGGTTCCACGGAGTAGTTGCGTTCCGTGGGGGGGGGGGAGTTTCATGCGGTTCGGAGGCGGGAGTGTTACAAAACAAGGTCACGGCGTTGCTAATGACCACGCTGCTTTTGACCATGGCGACCAAGCACGTTTACCAAAATTCCTGCGTTTTATGAACATTTCGTTGCATCGTTGACACGCACCATGTTTATTTTGTTCCATGTTTACCATGGCTTTGACAAGAAAGGGCCAAATCGCCTGAGAATAGCAGCACTTCGCGCTGCTGGCCAACACACGCGCGTTTCTTGAGGCTGCCGGGCTCTTTTTTTTTCAAGGCAACTTCGGGCAGCACGCAAAGCCGGGGTAAGCGGGGAGCGGGCGCGCGAGAGCGTCAGCCAGGCAGCGCGAAGACGCGGCAGTGCAGCAGGTAACCGACACCAGAACAAAGGGCTTCGAGCAGATATCGCACCAACAGATGCCGCAAAATGCGCGAAAGGATCAGACGAACTACCAGCGAAAACTTCAAAGTGAGCGTCCAACAAGAACGGATCACACGTCCAAAATGCCTGGAACCACAAGTCAACAATGGGGCAGGGTGCGCACGCGACACGCAGCAGCAGAACGTACGCAACACAAAGCGCGAGAACAAAATGATGACCCATGGTCCTGGAGCCAAAGGTTGGGCCAGTGAATGCCTCAGGGGTGAAAGACGCATCTGCAGCAGTTGAGCGGGTGTGCTTGTCATGCCCTCCCCCAACCCCCGCCCCCAGAACCATGTTATTTTGTAATCCGGTAAAAGAGAAGGCTGGTCTGCAGCAGTTGAGCGGGTGTGCTTATCATACCCCCCCACCCCCCCCCGCCCACCCATCCCCCCCCGAACCATGATGCATGAACGCAGGGATGAACGTCCAAAAACAAAGAACTCCACGGGGTCGTTAAGGACGCCGTGAGCCAAAACAAGGGTGTCTTGGTTTTCCAGCGGCAGCTATGGTGTCTTGGACACGCTGAAGTTTGGGGTGGGCCAGAGGGGCTGGGAGGCTCGGTGGGTTTGTTTGTTGGGCCGAGTTTCCCAACCTCCCAGTGGCGTCTCTCACAGGAGCAGGGAGAAGCCAGGCCCGATGCATTCCGAAGCGTGAAGCGTAGAGTTGGGTATTGAATATTAAAGGGCCCCCCTCAAACAAAGAAACAGGGGAGTCTATAGGGCAAACCTAAAACCAAATTGGGGGTCAGAGTTGAGTTGGGCCGTCTCTCACTAAGTACTGCTTAGCACTGGGTTAGAATGGTCTTAGTGTTCCTTCGAGCTGGCCCAGTACTGTTTAGAATTGGTTTTTAATCTTGGCTTAGTATGCTTGCGGACTGGCTCAGTAGTCTTTAGAATCGGCTTAGACCTTGTTGAGTATTCCTCCATTTGTTTTGACCCACAGCCATATTGTTCATTTCTCTAAAAAAACTTTTGTGGCTTCCCTGCGCCACCCCCTTGAACATGTGGCTCCTGTTTTAGTAAAGGCTGTCGTAAAGAATTTGGCTTTTTGTTGGTTTTGCTGGCTGAGGATTGGCTTGGCATTGGTTCTGTATTAGTTGGTGTTGGTTTGGTCCTGGTTAGTAGTAGTTTAGTCTTCATTTGTACTGGTTCAGCAGGCTTTAGGATTGATTTGATTTGTTTAGTGTTCCTCGGTACTGAATCAAACATTGTATAGTGTTATATTTCTTCCCCTGAGCACCTATTATTGGCACAGTTTCCGGGGTATCCCCCCTTGAACATATGTTTTAGTTTGAGTGCCTCCCCTTTGATTATTCGCTATCAGACGGTAGGGAGGATCCAACTCGTCCAGTTTGGCCTTTCCCCATGTGTGGAGCTTCTGCCTTTGGAGGACCTCCATCGGGGTACCTATATATACATATGTATATATATATATATATGTATTTTAGATATTCTGCAAGTTTCATGGCAAACTCACCTGGAGTCAGTTTTGGAATTATTGTAGTAGGATTTGCAGCTATTTCTATTCTGGCTGGTTCATTGTTTTGGCGTCTCGCGGTCGTAGAGCAGAACATTGGCCTCGGATCTGGCAGATCCGGCTGAAGAGGGAGAAATTCGCTCATGGAAGCAGAGCTGTATCAACTGGAATCAATCTTTTTGCAACTGCGGACGTGTGGCCACATGAGTTCTGACACGAGACTAAGGCAACCACACTGTTCGAGACATTTGGCAGAGACTCCACTAATGATTTTGAAGCTCGTGCGTTTTTTGGGCGCGTAGGTTTTTTTGCTTGGGAAGACGTTTGAGCCTGATTCAGTCCCAGGGGGAGAAGCCCGATGACAACACTCCTTCCCGGACAGCTCCAAACGAGGGCTGGTTTGTGGGTGCTTCAGCTGGGTGCTCGAGCTGGGAGCTGGGTGTCCGTCCACCAATCCAGCCCGTTGACCTTGACCGCAGGAAGGCAGGAAGGACGGATAAGCTACACGGCAACTAGCACAGGCGGCGTCCCGGTCCGAAGAAGGAGCTTGCCGCTTGCGACCTGAATTGAATATGCAGCAGCTGGCAAGTTGGAGGCACAAGCAGCGAGTGTCCGCCGCACGCATTTCAGACTGGTTGCAGTGTGCCAATCCTTGAAGCAGGGGCAACCTTGCATATGATGCACGTAGTGCAACTGAATGGTAAGTCAAACCGGTTTTTCACCCCCTCCGTGTGGGTGTCTTTTCTTGATGGAACCCTTTGCCGGGGTTTAACAGGAAACCAAGAGGAAAGCCGTTGTTTTGGGGGTTCCCCCAAACATTGACACGCCCATTTCTTGGTTACTATGGCTCTCTTCCTGCGCCTCTTTGCAGTTACGCCGCGCGGCATGGAACGGCCTTCGGCAGGCTGGAGTCACCGAATTGCTTGGTGGAGGTAACAATCCAGGCACTGAATTCTGATGTGCACCATTTCAAGTCCGGGAGCCATGACTTTCATGCAGCTGGAAGCTATGGGGTCTTTGTCCGGGTTGGGGATATCACCTGGGCTTATCCTTTTTCCTCAAGGATCCTCATCCATTCCCAAAAGTGCCTGCAGGGTAGCTGTCAGCCACATCAGATCCTTAGTGTGCGGGCGACATGGTTACTGACATTTTGTTTCTGGCTAAAAGAACAAACAACGATCAGGACTGGAGTTGGTGTGAAAGTGCCGCGCAACACCACTTCAATCAGTATTGCCCTTGCTGTGTTCGTGGGGCGTGACGGTGTTGTAGTTAAAGGTCCCATTTGGGGAGAGGGCAACTTTGGTATCCATGTCAACTTTCCGTGCGCGAGAACGGACGCCCCGGAGGCCACGAGCGGCATGTGGGTGCTTCTTGAATGTGACTACGCCTTAGGCCTTTTCCCCCAACAGCCAAAAGCTATAGGGTCTTTGCCCAGATATATAAGCTCCGGAGTGCTTTCGGGAGTGGTTTGGAGGGTTCCAGGGGCTCCGCTGTTGATGATACCACCTTCCAGCCGGTTTCTTTCCGCCCAACCGCGCATTCAGTTTGGATTTGTTTGGAGGAAACTCCACCGAGTACTAAGTCCCGGCTCAGCTCCACAGTTTGACAGGTTTGGATTTGGCGCACACATCGTTTCAGGCGGCAGGCGAGTGGCTGGGCTGTGGCGACTTGGGATCTGTTGGGATCTTCTGGGATTTAATAAAAATCCGCCTTCCCGGCTTGTCACGTGAGAAAGACAAGTGAACCACACCAGCTGGAGGGGGGAGGGGGGTTCTTGTTTACGATGGCAAGGGTGCAAGAAAAAGGATGACTTTCCCTCACTTCCCATCCGCTCTTGCATTTGAGGTCAGCGGCTCTTTTCACCTTTCAGCAAGGCCAAATCACAAACGATCCACATCATTGCATTTGACCATCCAGGTCGAACCACCTGGGGCCACGCCGGAATTATTGATTCACGTCGAGAAAGGTTGACGGCGATGGTTGCTTGGTATGCCAAGGGACTTCTCTCCTGTGGCCTCTTCACCCCCATAGACGAGGGGGGGCTCATATCCTTGCAGGGCTACTGGGAGGCTGCGGGAGGGGCTTGAGGTCGCAGGGCTGGAGAATCTTGGGCCGCGCCGGCAAGCACATGGGTGTGTCTTTTTGTAGGGACAAAATGCCGGGGTTTTCCTTTTGGCCGCCCTGGGCACAACCCTCCAAAAGGGTAGCGTCAAAAGAAGACGCTCCCACCCACATGTCCACACGTTCCAGCCGCACTTTCCGGCCTTTCGCCCCCCGGGCCCGCAGGTTTGCTGGAGCGGGACCAGGCGGGTGAGGGATCCGCATGCGTCCTTTCCGTCCTTTCCATGGTGGTGCGAAAGGATCACAGTGCCCAGAATGGATGGTTTATGGGAATGCTCCATTTTTGAGGTCTGACAGTCACAGCTTCCCGGCCCAGGGGTCCAAGGAGAAGGACGGGGCTGTCACCAACCCCTGGCTCTCAGCGGCGCAGGCACGACTGGCGAGAGACTCGGGAGCCTGGCGGCACCAAAACTCAGAACGAAACGGGTCCCAAAATGGTTTCGAGACTTGTTTGGGATACTTATCTTCTGCCGCTCGTGGGGAGCGGCACATGCATCGCAATCCGGCAGCTGCCAGCCACTGGTGCGAAGAGGTTTTCACGAAGCCACTCGGAGCCAGGTCATGGTGCGCAAGGAGCTTGACGGAGAGGCTAGGCCCCTGGGCATGCGCGCTGGCAAGGGCTTGGTTGCCTTGAGTTATCATGGCCGCCCTTTGGTGCATTTGGGTGCATTTTGGTGGTTTGAATGCCTATTAGCTAGCAAATCTATGGGTGGGGCTGACAGCTTCAAATTGTGAAGGCTCGACTCCCTGGATCGGTTTGCTCACTTTGTTGGTTGTTTTGGCTGACCCAGCAACGGAAAACTTGCCGTGGGTGGTCCCCGGACATCTGCGCGTGTCAGACCTAGGGGGCGCCCCGTAGATGTTAAGGAAAATGCCGCTCACTTGAAAGCCGGTTTCTTTTTTTGACGCAAATTGGCCACCACGAAAGATGGAGTCCTAGAGAACAATCCGGACATCCGCGTTCTGCTGCGCTGTTTTTCTCATGTTTCTGTTTGAGGGCCACCGCCTTGGTCGCCGCCTTCGGTGTACTTCTCGCCGGGTTGCTCTCCTCGGCTCGCCTCGTTTCCAGATTATTGACGACGAGACGGAGGAGCAGTTCTTGGCCGGGATCCCCGGCGATGCCTTCGGTGGGCAAGTGAGGTTGTTCTGCTGGAGAGACCCATTTAGGTCGCACTTACCTGCAAATTCTTCGGGACTTCTTTTGCGCTTACCTGAGAAGTCTCTGCAACGGACAACCGTCTCGACGGTGGGTTGGGGTGGGATCCTGGAACCGGCGACGGCACCCGAAGCCATCCGTGCGCCAGGAACGTGTCGGCCTCACAGCAGAGCAGATGCTCGCGGATGCCCTGCAAGAGCCCCCTGGACGAATTGAGGATGACAGGCTTTTCCTGCAGAGGTGACGCAGCGGGGGACAGATGGAAGCCAACCCCAAGATGCTGTGTACAGAGACGCGTACGTTTAGTTTTGCGATAGGGCTCAAATAAGGGCTCGGTGATGTTTTCCAGCGCATGTGCAACATGCACAGGCCAGAGAGGGCCTAATTCCACTGATCTTGGCTGAAGACGAACGGGATCGAGATGCTTTGCCAATCGGAAACTTGGTTTCAGTCACAGGTTTGGCTGCAACACTGCAACAACGTGGGCCCACAGCACTTGGGGAGGTGGTCGAAACGACGTCAACCTGGAAAAAGCACATGCTGTTGAACAGTCTTACTTGAACGGACCCGGACGAAGGGGCCCTGCAGATGGAGCACTGCTAGGGATTTGTAGGGTCAAGGAGGGAGGTCAAGGTGCGACAACAAGTTTGGAGCTCTCAGTTGTTCGATTCCGACCTTTTGACCTTGCGGTTTTCCATTTTTGGTCCATTTTTAGTCATGGTCCCAAAAGGTTAACCTTTTGGTTCCAGGTCCTTTGGGCAATTGAGAGCTACCTTGGGGAAATTAATTGCTTGGTTGGCGTGCTAAGCCCTCAATTTGAATGTGTTGATTGTGATTGATGTTGTTGTGTGTGACCACCCCCCAAAGAAAACTGATCGAAGTAGCACAGAATGAGAAGCAAGAGGTGCACAAAACTGGCATTGCAAATTCTGCATTGGAACATGCAAGGGAATATCATTACACGCAGCACCTGGAAGAAAACGCTTACTAAGCAAGCAGTGCCAGGAGCAAAGCAACGATAACATATTGGAAAGGGAAACGTCACATAAGGAAGAACAATGCGCAAACCGAAGTAGCAGCAGCAAGCACGCACAACAATTCCTTGTCACGAAAGGTAGCTTGCTGGCTGGAGTCCCTCTTGCTTTAGCAAGTAATTAATGGGGTCAGTGAATCCCAATAATCCCACACTCTTGCGCTTTGCTTCCCGCTCTTCTGTGCTCCGCTCTTCTCCCTGCCGTTCCCAACTATTGGCTCCGCTCTCTCCGCTCTCAGTCTCCGCTCTTTTCTGCCAAGTCGCGAGCTTTGCTCCTCGCTCTTTGCGCCGCTCTCTCCACTCTACCCTTCGTGCCGCTCGCTTGTTCGATCCATTCGAAGTTCCCGGCCCCTCTGATTGAACTGTGCCGCGTGCGCAATTCCTTGACATCGCTTTTCGCGCAGAGAATGCAGGGCTGTTCAAGCGCTCTGGCTATTGATCCTTCTTGTGAAGTTCCTCCGGTCAACCCTCACGGTGGTTTGCCTCCCCTGGCCTCAAGTTTGTGAAGCTGCTTTTGCCAATAAATTGAAAAAGCTGACAGCGTGCAGTGCGGTTGGACGAACAGACGCGCAACAGCTACCGTATTGCGCACATCCTTCGATCATGTTGCTCAAAACGCTGTAAAAGACAAGTTTCTAGCCTTGTGAAGCAACCAGCCGATGATAAGACCACATGCACCTTCGGGAATTCAACATTTACCTTTACTTGAAGTCTTTACATGTACCAGTGTAGCCGGCGAAGCCGGGAGGCGGAAGTTTCAAAACAGTATACAACTATAGGAACGACTTTGTGTTGTGTTTGTTGGCAAGAAGCTCAAACTTCTTTCTTTTCTGTCTCCCTTGTGTCCCTGTATCTGATCCCTTTGTTTGTTGTTGGCAACCAGCTCTCACTCCCTGTTTCTATCTATCTATCGATCTATCTATCGATCTATCTATCTATGTGTCTGTCTGTCTCTCTGTCTGTCTGTCTGTCTGTCTGTCTGTCTATCTATCTAGCTATATCTCTATCCATTTCTCTATCTAGCTAATCTATCTATCTATTTATTTATCTATCTAGCTAATCTGTTTATCTATCTATCTACCTATCTATCTATCCATTTATCTATCTATCTACCTATCTATCTATCTATCTATCTATCTATCTATCTATCTATCTATCTATCTAATCAATCTATCAATCTGTTTGTCTATTTATCTATCTATCCGTGTATCTAGCTAGCCAGCTAGCTAGTTATCTATCCATCTCTCTACTGCCTCTCTATCTATCTATCTATCTGTCTGTCTGTCTTTCTTTCGTTCTTTCTTTCTCTCTTTCTTTCGTTCGTTTGTTCGTTCGTTCTTTCGTTCTCTCTTTCTTTCTTTCTTTCTTTCTTTCTTTCTTTCTTTCTTTCGTTCGTTCTTCCTTCCTTCCTTCCTTCCTTCCTTCCTTCCTTCCTTCCTTCCTTCCTTCCTTCCTTCCTTCCTTCCTTCCTTCCTTCCTTCCTATCTGTCCATCCCTCTTCTATCAACCTGTCGATCAATCAATCTTTCTATCTCTCTATCTATCTATCTATCTACCTACGTATTTATGTATCTATCTATGTATCTATTTATGTATCTATCTGTCTGTCTATCTATTTATCTATCTACCTACCTATCTGTCTTACCTATCTATCTCTGTATCTCTGTCTATCTCTCTATCTCTCTATCTTTCTATCCATCTCTCTATCTCTCTATCTATCTCTCTATCTAGCTATATCTAGCTATCTTGCCATCTATCCATCTATCTATCTGGCACTAGGTCTGTCTAGCAATCTATCTAGCCATCTATCTAGCCATCTAATTATGTAGCTGTCTATCTGACTGTCTACCTAGCTATCTATCTATCTATCTAGCTCGCTTCATCAAAATATCTACTTCGAAAACTACTTTTGTGCTTAACGAGCTGCAGCTGGAGAAGTGTACTTCGAATACTACTTTTGTACTGAACTTTTTGCGATTTTCGAGCTGCAGCTGGAAAAATGTAATCGTACCATCGATCACAAAAGTATTGCGCCTGCCACGAAATCTGTACCTCACCTTGCGAAATCTGCTGCCCCTGCCACGAAATCTGCATGCGCCGCCTTGCGCGTCCGTGCCGTACTTGACCTTGCGAAAGTGCTGCGCCTGCCACGAAATCTGTACCCGACCTTGCCAAAATGCTGCGCCTGCCACGCAATTCAAACCTTGTGAAACCTGCGCGAGGCCGTGCCAATGGTCACATCTCCGAACCCGTTCCGGGACCGTTTCAAGACCGTTCCGAGACCGTTCCGGGACCGCCTCCGTACAGGCGTCGCGACCAAGGTGGTTTGCGCACTGTCCGCAAGCCCAATTTACGCACAAAGCCAATGTTTTCTGCATCTTGCCATCCCACAGCTCTCCTGATTTCAGCATTTGTCGTAGCTTTTTTCGCGCGCATCCATGCATCTTAAAGCTATCCATCTGTCAAGCTAGCTATATGTCAAAGCTATCTATTTGTCACGCTAACCATATTTTGTCAAGCTATCTATGTGTCAAGCTATCTGTCATGGCTATGCGTCGAAGCAGCTAGCTCATTTAGTTCCAGTACTACGGAAGTTTCTTGTTAAACTTCCTTTGACAATGACACCTCAAGATAGAATCGCATAACAATTAGTTAGTTTGTTTTTGCTCTATGCCTAGCTGTTTGCAACTTCCCAAGGGCACTTGCCGCCAGCGCTTGAGCCCGCGCTTCAGGCCAGACCATTGGTCGCTCAGGCTCGGGGGCTGGGCTGTGGCAGGGTGTCAAGACCGGGAGCTCCTTTGCCGCTGTTTTATAAGCTGATTCTGTTTGAGCAAGCCTTTCGAAAAGGAACCCCTACTCTTGAGACACAGCCAACGGCTTTTCTACAGTTTCTTGTTGTTTGGGGAGGGTAGGTCGAACGATCTCACCGGTGGCAACTCTTGGCATCCAGCTCATTCTTCAGCTGGAGAAAAGAAAGACCTCTTTAGCAAGACGTGGCCTTTCAAGGGGGCAACACAAATTATGCAACCCCCCCACATATGCGCCATCCAATGGCCATGGCCCTGCTTTCATCCCATTGTCTCTCCAATATTCTGTTACAGGCGACGGACAAGTGAGTGAAAGACGCACAACGTTGGGTTTGCTTTAATATGACCCCCCGACCCCCCACCGCTGGGGCCTGTTTAGTGGGACAAGGGAGGGTCTTGGTTGGACTTGGACTTGCCAATGCTTGGTTCAGCATTGCCAATTCTAGCATTAGCATTGCCAAGATGTACCAGATTCCCAGTAAATTAAATAGTGTTACCAATTCTGAATTTTCTATTTCCACGACTTTCTCTTAGATTCCAAGTGCTTGGTTTAGTGTTGCCAATTTTTAGTTTAGTCATTGCTAAGGCTTTTCTCTTGACACTTTGCACACCAACTGCTCTTGTGGCACACCCTCCTGGTGTGACTGTGTGGCCTGTCTGTGTGTTATCATTATTGTTCATTATGTTGTTTTCATGATGCTATCATTACTATGACTATTAATATTACTACTAACTATTGTTATTGTTATTTGAGAACAAACACCCATGTTTGGGGACCACTTCGAAAACTTGATTTCCGTGGCTGGCAGAACTGGCCATGAGGGGCACATCTCGTGTGTTTTGCAGGGGGTAGCCCTGAACCCCCCTAGAATCGTGTCTTTGTTTGGGCAGCCAGGCCGGGTTTGGTCATTCAGGAATTGCGCCGACTCGGAGCACCGACTTGGTTGATCCTTGCCCTTGCCCAGGGATCGGCCCACAGCTGAGCCACGGTCCCACCCTGCCACTTGCCTCTCGGACTCAAAGCAGAGGCTTCAGCCGGGGCGGGTTTTGGAGGGCCACGTGGGGAGTGGGTCCATGGTTCCCCTTGCCGAGCTGTGCTTGCGCAGGACCGGACATGGACATGAGCGAAACTGGTGAAATTAATCTGAAAGGCTGTTGCAAGGTGTCAGGCTGGATTCACCGCTTCGGCTGAGGAACCCGCCCAAGCAAGCTGAGGCTTTGACCTGGGCCAATCCAGACAAACCCCTCCTATGTCTATGTGATGTGAAGCCGGCTTCAAACGGTGCACATGTTTGGCCTTGAAGGAGAGGTCCCCCCCCTGGCGTTGGAAGTCCGCTTCCGGACTTTTGTTTGAGGGAATGTGTGAAGAATTTGGGTTGCCCCCTTGGAATATTGGTAGGGAAGCAACAGGTACCCACCTGATTCATTCCGGGCTCTCTAGTTTCCATTTTCTTTGCACTTGCATTTTTGGAATATCATGACACTGGCCAAGAAACAGCTCAGACTTTTTGGGCCGATCAACACAGGAAGGCAGGGTGTCAGTTTCCCTGATGCTCGACTGAGGTGTTCCCTGCTATTTCCATCTCAATGACCAGTGCCTCTTCGGGAACAAGTGCGGGGCTTGCCACGACAACAGCCGCTTGGCAAAGGGCCGTCTTTTGCGGCCACGCCGTCGCACGTGGGCCACTCCTTTTCGGGCGGCGTAGTCCTGGATTGGGATGGACTTTGGTTGGCGAAGGACCGTGAGATCTGAGCTCTCTACTTGGATCTGAGGCCACAACAACTACCGCACCATGAGGCGTTTCACCCGATCTTCAAAGATTAGGCTCTGAGCAAATCCCGGCTGCCCAGGCTTCAGGTTGCCCGGTGAAGGTTGGCCAGGCGCCGGCGCCCATAAATGAACAGCGCGACCGAGGCTCGAGTTGGGCTACCTTGGGCTTTGGAGGTTCATGTAGCACGGAAATCGTGGCAGTGTGCTTGATGCACTGACCCTGCTCGGCCAGCTCAGGTAGAACAACACTAGTGCATTTGTCGAAGACTGTTCCGGGGTTTCATTTGTGGGCGCGGTAATTCGTGGGAGCTCCACGGCCTGATGCGGCTTCAAAGGGCCTACTCGCCGTTCGCAAGCGGGGGCCTTTCTTGCAAGTTACTCCACACAGTGCGTCTCTCCGGTGCCGATATTTTGTGTTTGTTCACTGCAACAGCTCTCCGCATCTTTGGGCGGCTCCGTTCCCACATCACTCTGGGCGGCGCGAACCGCGCGCTGGCGCATTTAGTGCGCGTCTGCGAGCCCCCGCCCTTCAAGATACCAGTCGCCGGCTGTGAAACCCGCCAGTGCGAGAACCAATCATTCTCCCAAGCAGACAGCAAGAGCAGGTCGCCGGGCCGTCCATTTCGCCTAGAGTATTTGAAGTTTGTAGGTCGTGTGAGGGAACAGCAGAGGCTTGCTCTTGCTTTGAGCTCTGTTTTGAGTCATTTGGGGTGTTGCACCTCGGTTTGAAAGGCCCACGACCCGGTACCCAGGTGGATGTTTGGGGGTTGGGGCAGGCGTCTCTTCAGAACTTCAACTATCAGCCCGGGTTCTCCTGGGTGCGAAAGCAAGAAACCAAGCCAACTACTTCAATTCATGAACATTTCGTATTTCCCCTGTTTAAAGGGTGCCGATGGTCCAGAGACCAGTCGCGAGATGGCCGTTCCTGGCCGTCTTAGAGATGGCCGGGTCCCCGAGGCCCCGGCTGGCCGGTTCCTCGCAGCCATAGGTCCCCCAGTGCCCTTTCTCACCCTTTGGGGGAGGGTTCCCCTGCCAAAATAGACTACCAAAAAATCGGTACCCTTGTTCTACCCTCTCTACAGGACCTAGATGAACAATCGATCCGCCTCCGAACATACCTGTGAAGTCAATGTCAAGCTCTGAGCCCAGGAGTAAGGGGACGAAGTAATCCCGCAGAGGAACGCTACGGCACGCCCAGCGACAATTCCAAATGAGGTTGAGGTCAAAATGCGCGTGGCGCTGGGTTGCCTTTGGGTTTTGCTCGACTGGCACCCCCATTTCAAAGAAGGAGGGAGTGGTTGCCAAATTGTAAGCAGAGAAGTTCCACTGTTTTGCTCTAAGCATCGGACGGAGCCATCGCCTGAGGCGTTTGCCGTGGCTGTCCATAGCCGTCCGACCTGGCTGTGGGACATGTCTTGGGAGGACCAGCCGCAAAGGCAAGCGACATGGAGCTTGCCCTTTGACAACTCCACATGATAGGGTTGATGGTTGGTAGGTTTCCGTTTTTGGTCAAGCACTTCGGCGGGCTCTTTTGCGAGTGCCTAAGGTGACGCTTAAAGCGGCCAAGCCGTGCGTAGCACGGGGCTTTCTGACCACTTGCCGGGCTGTGCGCATGAGCTACAGGTCCTTCTGTCAGTTGAACTGCTTGAGCCGCTTCATGGCACAGACGGGCCCCGTGCGACATAGGCACCAAGTGGTCCACTGACATGATGCCCGCTTCCAGCACCATGGTCATCCTCCCTGAGTCTGAGCCGCAGGTTGTTCAAAGCCTCGATCCCGCCAGCATTTTGGTAGGGAGGCCCTGAAAAGTGGACCAATAAAAAGCATCCCGAATTCTGATGTCCAAGATTGGCATCCCCCTTCAAATTCCTCCCCCCGCCACCCAAACGACCACACACGACGATGTCCGGCGGCCTGTTCCGCACCGACGGGGGCGTGCGCTCCTCCTCGGGCCTCGACGCCAGCGACGCGGGCATCGCGGAGGCGTGGGCCAAGGTGCGGAGCGAGGCGGCGCCGGAGACGTGGCTGCTGCTGGCGGCCCGGCGGGAAGGCGCCAAGTTTGAGAGGTGGGACAGGTTGAGGGGTTGAAAGTGGTTGAAGGAGAGTTAAGAAGAGTTGGAAGGAGTTGGAAGGAGTTGGAAGGAGTTGGAAGGAGTTGGAAGTTTCGACTCTTGGAGGTGCAGGATTGCAGGGAGAGAAGGGAAGGAGTGGACTGGGAACGGGTGGAGTGCCGTGTGAGTGGATGGACTTCTTCGTCACACTCTCAACATATACCGAGAGCCCCCAGTTGCCCTTCTTTGACCAAATTATTGGCCACTGGTGGGTAAAGTGGCTGGAAAAAAGTGGCTACTTGGGGTTCCAGGTAAGGGGAGGAGGCAGGTGAAGACTGGCCGATTTCCTTCTGCATTTCCTTGTCGCGCTTTGTCCAGACTGCTGAAGCCACCCTCCCCAACCGCAAGTCCCTTTCCCTCCGCCTTTGCGCGCACAAGGAGTATGAGGGCAAGGACAAGCTGAAGCTCCGTGCGGCTGGCACGGAGCGGCCTCAGCTTCTGGCATCCCTTGCCGAGGACCAGGCGGAGAATTCACTCGCTTCGGTCTTTCACTAAGTGAGTTCTTTGAGTCAATGTGGCATGGTTATCCGTTCGTCAGCAGGGGGGATGGTTTCCATACACCCTGATAGTTGCGCACACACGTCAATATCTCGGCTGAAGCAAAGCTTCTGCGAGATGGGCTAGCGTAGCATCATGCTTCACAATCTCTCCTGTCAACTTCTCTTGCGTGCGATGCTGTGAACTGAAGCTGTGGGTGAAGCTGTGCGTGACGCTGTGCGTGATGTTGCGCATGTTGCTGCGCATGTTGCTGCGCATGACGCTGTGCATGATGTTGCCCATGATGATGGGCATGATGCTCCCTCTTGCTCGTGATGCTCTGCAACCTCTCCGACGATGCCTGTGGCCAACCTGTGCGCTGAGCTGTAAGTCCGTGGTTGCGTTTTGTTGCTCATCAGGTGGGGGAGGCGGGAGAGTTTAGCGTGTGGCTATGCTTCCGGGCCACCCGTCGTCAAGCTAAGCCACGCTCACCTCGCCGGGATAATTAGTTTTGGTTGGGTTCCTTCTGCTATTCACAGATTTTGGGCAAAACGGGCTTGTGCTCGTGCGGCGGCTTGGTTGCTTCGCGTGTCCTGATGTAAATGTAAATGTCTAGAGCGCGCGTCATGCTGGTCGAGCCCCACGCCTGCCATTCGAGGGTTGTACAAAATGCACTTTCGCGGGCACACTTAACGGTCCGCCGACATGTTTGACCTGGCGTTCGGACGGCGCGCGAACTCAAGCTGCTATGTGGCTGCAGCTGGGCCAGTCTGTTTGTCTGTGTAATTGCTCCACCCCCTCCAGCTCCCGGGCCCTCAGCACAGGTCGTTTTCGGGGCTCTGCGGACAAAGGCCGGCAAGTTCCTTTGCCTCATGTGCACCCTGGCAGAAGGGCCAGTTCAGTGACCCAACAGGCTGGAGGCTGCGTTGCAGTTGCCATTCGGGGAGCTTGAAAAGCAGGGTGATCTCTCTCTGCTCTTCGCCATGTTCTTTCTTTGTCCATCAGGGGGAGTGCCATGCATAGAGGCGATGTGCAGATTCAACAGCCCAGAACGCTGGAGAAATTGGTCACTTCGAGGCCTTAGGGCTGAGGTACAGGCGCCGCGGAGCTGTCCACAAGTCAAGCCCCGCAAGGCATGTATGATCATGTGAGGGTGCGTCTTCTTTCAAGGAACCAGCCATGTTCGTGGTAGAGTGAACCAAAAACAAGAGGAAGCCAGGCATTTCGAGGCTCAGCTTCGGAAGGTTCCAGTCAGTCAGCCGAGGCGTGGGCGAGGAGGTGGGGGGCATGGCCAAGGGCCGCGCGGCGGCGCACAAGAACGCGGCCTTCAACGCGCTGGAGGGCACCTCTGGGGAGGTTTGGACCTCGCGGTTTGGGTTTGGGCTGGGCCTCGGCGGGGGGTTCGGTTCTTGGTTTGCTTGTCCAGAGAAGCTCCGGGATCCTACCTCCTCCCCAACAAAAAGCAAAGGAAAGAAGGAAGGAAAGGAGGAAGGAAAGAAAGAAAGAAAGAAAAAAAGAAAGAAAGACGGAAGGACATAATTTGAATTGACGGCTGTTAATAGTTTCATTGTGGGGAAGGCTTAGAAATTACATTCAGGGAGCCCCCCGGCACACGCCCCCCCAGCCTTTTCCCCCTGCCATTGTTTGAAGGTGTTTTCTTTGTTCTGCAGTGGGGTCCAGGGGGACACGGTTAGCGGTTGGCAAATCATGGATTTTGACCGCATTTGAAGCACTGTCAGTCCAAGTTCGGACAGACACCCCTTCACGAATTTGGAAGGGGCGGCCATTGTTGGTATTTGGCACCTGCTTTACGGCAGCGAACCACTTCTCGCGGATTCGGACCTAAGAAGGGGCACGGTCAGCAAGCTTTAAACTTTCCAACTCGAGATGTCCCTTCCTTCTAACCCTAAGCCAGCACTATACGATCCCTAAACCCGCCCTGAGCCAACTAGGTTAACCCCAAGTCAACTAAACCACCCCAAAGCCCAGCCAACACCAAACCTAGGATAGACTTAGGACGCATTTTACATTTTACCAATAACTCAAAGGGAAGCAACAATAGAATATACATTCTATAACTGGGCCTAAGTCGAATCATGAAACCTATACCCACCTTACACCTCCGAGGTTCAGGGGCGTGTTGGGGACTCATCCCCTCCGGAGGTGTGCGGGCTGTCGGTGCGGGACTTCAGCCAGAGCTTGGCGGAGGTGGACTTTTGACCGAGGCGCTCGCTCGCGGGGAGAGCGCGCGTTGTTCTTTCTGGCTTCTGCTCAGGGCTCAGATAGTTTTCTCTAAAGGTACCTTCCCTTTTTTTTTCAAGATCTTTCCAGGGATCCTTCTTTTCAGGAAACCATCGAAAGCCCAGGGGAAACGGATCCGGTTTTTTGAAAAGAACGGGGAATCAACCATGAGAATTTTGGCTTTTGCTCAGGGCTCCCTACATGGGAATGTGCTTTTGTGAGGGTACTTGTTTTGTGGATGGTTTAAAGGGAAACCGCAAGTACAACCGTTCCACCCCTTCAATAAATGACGCAGCCGCATTCCTACACTTTATACCTTTTTGTTTGGACCATGTTCGCGGCAAATAAGCAGTTCAGAGAATTGGAGACGATCGACTCAGGAAGTGAGTTTTCAAGGATCCTATGTTCAGCTTCCCTTTGGCTTGGGCTCGGTGGTTCGGAGTTGTTCGAAATGGGGTGGTTTCTTTACCGGGGGGGGGGGAGGAGGGAGCCCTGCTTTTGCTTCCTTTGGAGGGATGTCGTTTTCGTTTTCACGAGAAGCTGTGGGGCCTCGTTTTGCCTTGTTTTGGGTGCACTGAATTCAGGGGTATGCCTTTTTCCAGTTTTTCCCATTGCCACTGCGCCACTCGGCAAGCAAGCGATTATCTGAGATGGTCTTTCTTTTGAGTGTGCCCCATTTAAGGTTGTTTCTGACGGGAATCCAAGTGCCCCCCATCTCGAGATGTACTTTCCTTACCCGTGCGTAGGATGTGCCTTGATATATTGCAAGATATCTGCCGGCTAGCACGTCTGTGGATCGTTGAGAAATCGGATCACCTCCTCCTCCCCTTTTCTTTCTGGTTGGAATGGCCCCTATGAATTCTGGTTTCAAGGAAGTGGATCCGCGTTCATTCCCAAGCCCGTGAAATCCCCTGCTGAGAACCGGTCAGGCGAGCTGAGATGGGCCAGCGCCCTTCGCGCCGTTCAACTAGGGGGGGAAGTGCACTCCAAAGATGGCGCGGCCCCAACAATGTACAAATGGGATGGGCCCATCTGCCGCAATGTGCTGGCAGCGCGCCGGGCTCGTTGAAAAACAATATAGCAGGGCGCGCACACGCGACCTTAGCCCTGGTTTCAGTTGTCGGGGGTTCCCTCTATTTCCCCTTTGTGGTGGCTTAAAACATCACCTTTTGGGCGAATTGAAAGTGGGTCTAGCGCTTCTTGAATTTCATGTCTGGAGTCATAACCTCTTGCGTGGCGGACCAGCGTGAGTGAGGGTTGGGTCATCTCGCCGCGCCGGTTTTCAGGAGCACAAGAGACACGAAGACACAAGCAAGGTCCAAGCCGAGCCTCAACTTGGTGCCACCTGCGTTTGGTGCTTGAAAGTGGAGCAATGATGCATGAGACATGCTTCCGACATGTTGGGGTCGCAGGCATTCACCGCACTTCAAGCTTGAAACACTGGTTTTTGAGGCTGCCCAAAGCTCGGCCCATCAGATTTGGTTTTTGAGCTGCAGGCAGCAGCAAGAAACAGAAACGCAACCGAAGCCAAGACTGGCCCCCGCAACTGGCCAACAGCCTACCATAGGCACCTGAGTTGCTGGGCGGAATTGCCCGACGTGCCTCACAGACGCCATGGCAGAGGAGTGCCGAGCGGGGGGGGCGGGGGGGGGATGGGAGCCTTCCTGGTCGTGCCCTCCGCATGAACGCAACTGAAGAATGGCCTGCCTTCCTAGTTTTGCGGTTTGTGTATGCCTGTGTGCGTCCCAAAAAGACAAGCAAATACCACCCTGAAAAAGGTGGCTTCAAACCGTCCAAAGGGACGGTCGCAGCTCTCAGTTCGAGGAGCGCCGGCGACTGCTGCTAGTGGGCGATGCGGAAGGGGGCCTTGCGAAGCTCTACAGCCAGGCGAAAAAGTTTCGGCCACCGGGGGGTCCCTGTTGTTTTGTGTGGGTCCCCGCGCTCAACCCCGGCTCGATCCCGTTTTTCCACCAGGATCCAGGGGCAACTGGGGGCCGGCTGAAAAGAGGGCTTGGCCAAGACATCCAAATACGCTGTAGGAAAGTCTTCAGTTCGATTTGAGTGTGGTGGAGAGGGGCCAGTTCCTTCGATTTCCGGGTCATTTGGATTCTCGTCTCATGGCTGCAACCCCTTCTTTCCGTTCTTTCCACGCGGAGAAAGGGTGGGGGAAGTCCAGGAGCTGAGGCCTGCGGCTTCACTGCACCCTCCTCTAGGTCCTCCCCAGGATCGTGCCCTTCTCTCGGGGAGGGTTCCCCCTACTCAACTAGACTACAGAAAGAAAAGGGCGCCCGGTTGTTCTAGCCTCTCTAGGACCTCGTCCTTGAAAACCTGGGCAAGTGGCCCAGTTTTGCGGACATTCGCATTCGACATGACAGAAGCATGCTGGGTTCAGCGCGGGGAGGCGCTGCTTATTGCTACCATGGTCAAGCAGGGGAAACCTTCGGGCAGCGTGTCCACAAGGTTGCATTTGCGCCGCTCAGGGGATCATGTGATTTAGCTCTGGAGGTGTTTGAATGGCACGACCTGCTCATTTCTGACATGGTACCCATGAACCTCGAGAGGTGCCATTCGGCACAATATTCACCTGCGCCACACGATTTTGGCTGACCGCTTTGAGTGGGCTGTTGTGCTCCTGTCTCTCCAGCAGTGGCCCTCGTTGTTTCCGTGGAGTGGTTGGAGATGCAGCCGTCTCTGCAATGTGGGATGGGGCGTCCAGAATTCGGCTCATGGGCTCGAGATCAGCAGGCCCAGAGATGACAACATCCGGAAGCCATCAGTGAATCCCTCAGTTTCCCTCTCTTGCACCGCCAGCCGTGGCAGCTTCATTGGAACCCACCAGATGACTTTTGATTTGCAACCCGATTTCAAGACTTCCCCCCCCAAAAAAACAACAACATATATAAACCTGTAGCATGAATGGATGGGGAGAGCAACAACAACAGCACCCGGCTTCTGGGCCGAAGACGCCATCCATCCGCCTCACTCTACGCCTTCCGGGCAGCAATGAAGCTCCACTTCGCGGTGGCGGAGGACGAGGCCACGCTTTTGACGGTGATGACGCGGGGCTTGCAGACTGAGGTGGAGGTGCCCGAGGGAAAGGAGCGGAGCAGCGGAGTCGATGGCCATGGTGGGGTTGCGGTCCTCTTCTTGGATGGGCTGAAAGGGAAACTAAATGGAAACATCCCCCCCATTTGAGGGGGGATCCATCTTTTTTACTTGGAGGGGGGGATAAAAGAAAACTCGGTGGTTCAGCAGGCTCCCTGTGTGGCCGAGTTTTAAGATCTCGTTTTGCTTGGGTTCGGGACACGCGGAATCGACCGTTGAGGGCTCCGCGAGCCATTGCACGATCTGTGAATGGACGGTAAGCCCACGGGGTAAACCAGCTCAATGATGTAGGCCTTTATGTGGGCATCCTGTTTGTATTTCTTTGATTGATTGCAACAGTTGCAAGTGCAGTGGGAACGCATTCAATGTCCGGGGCGTAGGTCCTTGTTGAACAGAGCGTTGAAGAGTCACATGCCTGCAAGCTGTTGCTGTTGCTCAGGACGTCGGCTTCGCAAAGAACAGGGCCATCGACAAGCTGCGCCCAGCCGAAATCGAGCGAGTCGAACGAAGCAGAACGCAGCGCATCGATTTGCCATGAGCTTTACCGCCTGTCAGCAACGATCAACAATAAGCTACCGTTGGCCTTGCGTCTGCGTTCCTCGGTATCAAAACCTGTCCAGTGTCCATTTGGTCCTTGGATCGAGCACCCCGCACGGTCAACCACACGGTCAACCTCTTCTTTTACTGTGGGTTGCACGCTTCTCTTTGCGTCAATGTGGGCCGTAGCTGTTTTGAATTCCAGCTTTCAGGGTCTTACTGTTCAACCACTTGGGCCAGAAAGCGTCTCAACGCCAGGTGGTTTGGTGGCTTCCAAGGGAACAACTCGCCCGTTTCGGTTGCGAAGCACAAAGGAAGGAATCTCCCCAGGACATTGGGTGTGGCTTTCATGGAGTTGATACCCCTTTTTGGACGGTTTTACAGGGAAACCAAAGGCCAAAACCAGCCATTTTTGGGCTCCGCAGACAAGACACACGTGAACCAACGGTTTAGGTGGCAGAGCATCCCGTTCTGCCACGCCGTGGCCGCGCGCTTTGGCAGGAAAGGCGGTTCTTTGCGTGTCACCGGTGGGTTTGAACGTCAGTATGTGTCAAAATGGGGGGGGGGCTTTTGGGGACCCCAGAATAGTAGTTGGCCTGTTGGTTTTTCTTAACATGAGCCTGAAAAGGGTACCCTTAAGAAGACTCTCAGGACGGTTCTGCGAGGCAAGAGAGCTATATACATTACAGAATGTTGACCCCATATTAATCATTCATTGGGTGGGGTGGGGTTGCAGAAGTGATGCTTCCCCACTAAACCCAGGGACACCCCCATATCAGTGAACTGGGGTTGATTAATATGGTGTCAGCATGAGTCGACATAGGTTTAAGAGGTAGCTGCAAAAGCAACTGCTGTCCGGCCGATGCAAGGCTCATTCGGCCTAGGGCCAGCTTTCCACCTACCAGTGCCCATGTTTGGTGGGAGTTAGTGGGATTGAGGTTTTAGACTTCCAAAAAAGGTCCAGGTTGCAAGAGGGATCTCCGAAATGTTGCCCATTGGGAAACTGAACTTGCACGCACAAAGGTATTGTCCTCATTCCCAACCCTTGGATTTTCGCGTTTCCTCCGGCGGATAGGCTCACTAGCTTGTTCCAGTTGGCACATCTGAGAAGCTCACACTTTACGTAACAGTTCAATGGCCCGCCAGCGGTTGACTCTCCAAATTTGACAAGACGGAGACGCAGAACACCCTGTGATCGTTGCCCCATTGTCCAACTCCATCCTCTGCGCGTTTCGGCGACGAATTCCTTGCAAGCAGCCTCCATCTCAGGCTCTCCAACCTCCGGGTCTTTGAGTCGGGCGAGGAGCTGGAGGACTCCGCGCCCTGCTGGGACGGCCAGCGGCTGCTCCTGGCCGCCGAGCCGCCCAGCGCCGACGGCGCCGCCACGGCCGGCGCCGGCAGCGCGGCCGCGGCCTACGCGGAGGCGGTGGGGGCCATTGGCCGCCACAAGCTCGGCCTGGACGCGCCGGGGGCCCGCAGGAGGGGTTTGGGTGGTCCATGGAGGGGTGCCTTGGGTGCCTTTTGAGAACCATAGGTGTCCTTTTGATCGGTCAGGTTGCTTAGAAATAGGATTGGGTTCCACTGGTTTAGATGGGTTTAGATTTCATTTACCACGACTATCTGTTTTACCGAAAGACACCTATGCTAGGAACCCTTCACGTTGATTGGCCGGGCAACCAAAACAATGATTTCCACCCAAGTTTGTTGGTTGCTGCGGCCCCCTCGTGACAAGCGCCCTGGTTTTGCGTTCTTCTTCCTTGACTAACTAAGGAACCCTTCACTTTGATTGGATGGGAGCCAAAACGACAAGGCGATGATCGTTCTTCTTTCCAATTTTTGCCCAAGTTTGTTGGTTGCTGCGGCCCCCTCGTGACAAGCGCCCTGGTTTTTTGCTCCTCTTCCTTGACTAGTTATTCCAAAGCCTTGACAGAGTGATGGGGCACATATTTATTGCGTTGTTTTTTGCCCCAAAAAGGTCAATCGGGCACCAATCTGGTGTTTGTCTTCCTTGAAAAAGGCACGCGCCAACGTTGCCTGACTTATTCTACTCTGCAACTTTGCAATCTAACAAGGCCATCAAAAGATCACTTCGGAGTGAGTCAAAGCTAGGTAAACCTCCTAGTGTTTGCCTTTCTGTAGATTCCCTGATGTACATATATCTAGATATCGACACATTTATATTTGGGTGATTTTGGGTGTCTGTAACTGTATATATTATACAGTCATAGTCGGAGAAATGTCAACCCCGGATTAATAAACCCCTGGTTGATTAATAGGGGGGTGTCCCCTTTTAGTGGGGATTCATCACTTTGGGAGGGAACACCCCCCGAATAATCGTAATAATGGGACGGGTTTATTAATCCTGGGTCAACATTACACGTTTTCTAGGTTTTGCCGAACTGTTCGTTCCCAAGAGGCTTCGGCAGTGAGCCGTGGCTTAGGCCCAAGCCAGCGGGCACGAGTCCAGCGGCTGAGGAGCTGATGAAGCTGCCGATGAAAGAGCTGAAGGCTGGGGCAACGAGGCGCTTGTCAAGGTCAAGGGGCTTTCCTTAGGCGACCAGGGGTTTCCTGCAATGTCAGGCCACTGGGGCCCCCGAAGTGGTACATAAAGCACGTTTCTCACTTTTGTCGCTGCATTCGGACGACGCATCGAAGGCGCGGCTGGCGGCGGCAGGGAAGTCCGCTGAGGGCTGCTTGGAAAAGGCGGACCTGGTGGATCGGCTGATGAGCTGATTTGCTGAGAGCCCGGACCCGACCGGCGGCCAAGGTGTAGGTGTCGGGGACCCATACTGAAAGATCAAAAGAGACTCATTTGACCAAGTGTTCCAAAAGACTTGTCTCGTTTCCCCTTTTGCAGTTCACCAATTCACCAAAGTTCTTGTTTGTGAGTTGTGAAGTCGTTGGCACTCACTGGCATGGCCAGGCAGCCAGCCGAAGTCGCATCGATCAGAGCTGGACATGGACTCTGGTTCTTGACTTGACTTGGAGTTGCCAGTTTTCTTTCTCTTTTTTGGCATCCTCTGAGTCATGGCTCCTTGCGACGATGATTCGTGTGCCATCGATGGGGTGGGCCAATGAGCCTATGTGCGAAAAGTGCGCGGAGGGCAGCCGCCGGTTTTCCGGAAGGATTTCATAACACTTGTTGGAGCCTTCTGAGAAGGATTCTAAGCACCTCTCCTGGAGGGCCCAGTTGAAGGTCACTCACATGAGACAAGTTTGACAAGTCTTGACCTGGGTGTTTCTCGGTGCTGGGAAGGGCTTTGAGGCACAGACAGGTGATCGTGTTGAAAGGGCCTACATAATTAGAAAGAAGTTGTGGGATAATTGAAAACGGCATTTTCCAAGTTTAGTACTCATTCGAGAATATGTGTATTGTTTTAGCCTCATATGATGGTGGTGTGGTGCTGTGCGTCTAGACGGAGGCAGCAACGGCAGACTTGTTTGATTCGAGCCTTGGTTACATATTGCATGCTCCAGATGGGTTCGGAGTGCCTTCCGGCTCCCGACAGCCAAGCATTTCTTGGACCCTTCTCCAGGTTCAAGCTACCATAGTTACTTTGGCGCAAAGAGTCGCCCCACTGACGACAATGCCAAGCACAAGTCTGTCGAACCGCCAGGCTCCATTTCGACTTACCTATGTCTCGAATGCAGGCATTGTTAATGGGTTCGTGCGCAATTTCTGGGAGTTGTCTATCAATCCACCGGTGGCATCACCGTTCCTTCCTTATAGAGCCTGCCTCTCTTAAGCTCCCTTTCCTCGCAACACCTCACACACGGAAGTTTCATGGACTCACCAACCACGCTTGCCTTTTCAGGTGTGTCCAAGGGATGCAATCAGATTTGGCGGAATTGCCGTAGACTTTTCAGCTGTCCCAGTTCTCACTATAGGCGACTGCTGTGTTGCTCTTTTTCTTTTTTTTAGGGGGGGAAAGGTAAGATACTTAGGTACGCATTCCAGTTGACTTTGAAAGGATTGTTTACCTTTCTATAGGACTTGCAACACAGATCCGAGAGCATCATCTACCGGATCAGGCAGTGCAGGAGATGGACTCTCGAATGAAACCTGGCCGTCGGCCAGTCGATTTCGCCAGGTGGAGATGCAGCAGAAAAAGGTTGGGGCCTTCAACGCCCTCTTCGCGGCGGGCTCGCCCGGACCCCGGGAATGGCCAAAAAACAAGAAGGGCGACGGGCAGTCCGAAGGTTCAAACCTAAGGAAGGGCCGTCTTAAACGTTGGGCACGCAGTGCTAGGCGAAAGGGTTCCATTCATGTTTTTAAAGTCATATTTTGCCTTCCAAGCTGAAAGAACAAATAACTTTTGCAGGGGGTCTAAGTCTGGTCAGTCCATGAAACTGTTTTACCTGATGGGTAGTGCGGGGTTTTTTAATGTGGGTGTGTCCCTTTTCAGGACCCTAAAATACTGAGGCGAACTGCAAAACGAGGGGTACCTCAAAAAGAGACACGGCCATGTGGCTGTCTGAAAGCGTGACAATTTAGGTGCTCGAATTTGGGATGATTGGGGCTTCTGGAGTCCTTCTTGGCAATTACAGGTCCCCAGATGTACTCTGGGATTTCTCCCACGAAATCCGTGGCTGCAACGACATCTGAACCAAACAGCCCGTCTTGGCCAAGATGGTCAGAGTCCAGCAGGTGATCAAGACTCTGGCCGAAAAAGGCATCCTTTTCGGTAGCCGAACAGGGACCACATTTTGCTTGGAAGCGTATGTGGCTGGATGGAGGGAGAGAAAGAAAGAAGGAAGGAAGGAAAGAAAGAAAGAAAGAAAGAAAGAAAGAAAGAAATATAGATAGATGGATAGAGAGAGAGAGAGAGCGAGAGAGATGTCAAACTACATGCTTCACTTTGCACTCTTGTTGCATGTATGTTCACTACCGCAGGCCTTGAGCTTACTACTCCGCATGAGTCAAAAGGTTGGCAGCTGCAGACTACATTGGTTGACTGTTTGTTTGAACACTACAGCACTTGCACTTGTAAGCAAAGTAACCACCGATTTTAACGTGGTAGCGGAGCTGAGATCCTAAACATAGGGGAGCTCCAGTAAGCAGTAAGTACTACAACAACAGAGCAACAGCAGCTACATGCCAAACTACTACGACATGTCAGGAGAAGCAGCATCAGCCTCAGCACAACAAACTACAGGAGCAGAGAACGGGCCAACAGCAGACACAGTAGGAGCCACGACTACGGGAGCAGGAACAGAACAAGACAACGACGTTCAGAGACTACATAGATACAAACTGCCACCACCCTTCTTCACTGGTGACTACTCCCAGTATGAAGAATGGCTGTTCAAGCTACAAGCATACCTCGGCCTCATAGACCGAGACTTCGACCTGGTGCTACACTAGCACAAGTGGCTACACGACAGATTGAGGACACAGACATCAGAACACACATACTCGACCCTACGCAAGCAAGCAAAGCAGTAGACCTCTCCAGAGACCTACATCCTCATCAACATCTGTCAGGGAGCAGCAGCTACAGTAGTAAGGCAAAACCGCTACAACGCAAACGGATGTGAAACACTACGACTACTGCACAACAGGTTCAGCCTACCAGTAGGAACAAGGAGCGTTGGTTACCTTACCAAACTACTGGAACCCACATTCAACGAAGCGCAGTTTGAAGAACAATTTCTACAATGGGAATACGACATCAACCGCTACGAGAAAGACAATGGAACAGCACTACCAGATGGAATCAAAATAGCAATACTACTCAACAAAACCAAAGGAGCACTGCAGCAACACCTCCAACTGCGAGCTGGACAGATCACGAACTACATCGAGATCAGAGCACTCATCCTGGACTACTACAAAACGATTTCAGCCTTCACTAGATCTACTTCAGCAGTAGGAACAAACTACAATGGAGGAACTGCACCAATGGATGTTGACAACATATGGAGGAAAGGAAGAAGCTACAAAGGCAAAGGAAAAGGAAAAGGCGGCTACAAAGGAAGCAAGAGCAAAGGCAAGTACAGGAGTAAAGGACACTACAAAGGATTCGACAAAGGCAGCAAAGGAAACTACAACAAAGGAGGATACAACAAGAGCAAAGGAAAAGGCTACTCAGGATCCAAAGGATATGGATCAAGCAAAGGCTACAAAGGCCAAGGAAACTACAGCAAATCAAAAGGAAAAGGAAGCAACAACTACACAACATGCCATCGATGTGGCAAGCCCGGCCACTGGGCACAAGACTGCAGAGTGCCGGTATGGCACATAGGAGAAGGAGAAGAACTACATCCACTAGAACAAGAACAAGCAGATCACGACAACAATGATGAACTACCTCAGGATGTGAACGACACTTGGGACTGGTACTACGAAGGAGAAGAAGGACAACATGAGGTGAACTACATGGAGGAGAACTGGAACGACTACGACTATGACAACAGCTGGGATTGGAATGACAACAGCTATGAGGACACAGCGAACTACATTGGAGGCATCAACGAGTCACACCTCACCATTGGATACATCAGACAAGCAAAATCACGACTACACAAGCACAAATCCAAATCACTACTTGGCAAGAGAACAACACACACAACATCATGGAACGACCACAGCAAGAGCTTTCAACAATTCCTACAAGAAGACACCACAAAGCTACACTTCGACATAGCAGCAGCAAGACAACAACAAAGGAACAAGAAGATTGAGGACACTATCACCCACTACATCATGTACTCCAACTTCAAGTCATACCACCACCTGTTGATCGACTCAGGAGCATCTACACATGTTTGCCCAAAGGACTACGCACCGGATCTTCCACTACGACCCTGTGGAGAATCAGTTCCACAACTCTACACGGTGACCAACAAGAAGATTCCAGTCTACGGCATCAAGTACGTTCCCTACAAGCAGGACAAATTCAGGATCATGATACCCTACTACGTTTGTGATGTGAAGTATCCAATCCTCAGCGCATCAAGACTACTTGATAGAGGATATGGACTTGACTTCACTCCACGACACTGCACCATCACACATGGACAACAACAAGCACACCTCATAAGACACTCAGGACTTTTCTACCTACGAGCAGAGAAGATCGACATTCCTACAGGATTCGACATCTACCCAATGACTACAGACAATGGAAAATCCATTGCTGTGATTCAACCTACAGAGAGAGCAGCACAACAACAAGAACAAATCGCACCACTCACACACACAGACCAAGGACTACGACAGATCCTTGGTGGAAACACTGACTACTGGAAACTTGATGGTGACTACGCCATCAGAGTACACAAACGACCACGCAAAGCACTGTTCACACCACACAACAGTGGCTGCCCAATACCAGAAGGAGAACTAGATGATTGGAGACTAACCATCATCAACAGACAAGGGCAAGAGCAAGAACAACTACAAGAGAACCCAACACAACTTTCCAAGCAAGAACTACAACGAAGACTGGAAGGTGACAACTGGACTGGAGAAACCAGATTCAGAAGAAAGATAACACCTACACGCAGAGCAACATCAAAGACCACACCAACAAGGCAGAGCTCACAACCACAACGGCTAATGGACACACCACCAACCAGATCAAAGATCCAATTACGAGCACCACAAAAGATATGGAGACCCAAAGCAGCACCTTCAACAAACCTGGACACCACACAACCAAAGGAGACAATACACAGACCACTCACAGCACAGGAGGACAACCAAGACTACTGGGAAAGACAAGGTGAACATTGGATACGACACCACACAACGCTTAGAACAACCCTCTTCACTCCAACAGATGGACCAGGACATCCACCAATCAACACACTTGAGCCTTACAGAACTACAATCACTCACAACAACTTTGGAGAAGTTTCACAACGCAAAGATGACTGGACAGTCATGGGCAACGCAGCACTACCATTTCAATGGAAAGGAACAACAAGGTTCACCGTGAAGAAAGACTACGAGTACATCCAGGAGAACCACGATGAAGAACAACAACACGAGCATCATGAAGCACACAGAGCAAGAGGACTACGACAACCACAGCAGCCCACTCCACAACAAATAGCAGAACACAACCTTACACATCTACCATACAGAAACTGGTGTCCAATTTGCGTTCAAGGCAAAGGACGCCAAGACAACTACAAGAAACAACAATCACGACAACCTGTCATTCAAGTAGACTTTGCCTACATCAAGTCACAACAAGACCCAAAGACCACACCGGTACTGACAGCAGTTGATGTTACTACACAACTGTGTATGGCAGTATTGGTTCCAGACAAAGCATCAATGATGGACTACATGGTCAACAACCTACAAGCATTCATCTTTGAGTGCGGAAGAACACAAGGCATACTACAAAGCGACAACGAAGACACACTCAACGCACTTCTAAAAGCTACAGCAGCAAAAGTCGGCACAATGAGTGTACGACATTCACCTTCCTACAGCAGCAACAGTCAAGGAAGCGTTGAGCGACTACATAGAACACTTCTCGGACAAATCCGCGTCGTCAAAGCTCAAGTTGAAAGCAACTACAGCATGACGATGTCCACAAAGCACTGTCTACTACCTTGGATAGTACGACATGCAGCATGGACGGTAAATCGCTACGTCATCCACTCAGACGGCTACACAAGCTTTGAACGCCGCTGGGGAAGAAACTACGAGCGAGCAATCTGCGAATTTGGCGAGACACTACTCTACCTTCCACCACAACACAAGAAACTTCCGAAAGCAGACCTACGGATGCAGAAATGCATCTGGCTCGGAAAAGTTTCCGAAACCGGAGAAAACTACGTCGCAACGGAATCAGGCGTACAAAAGGTACGAACAGTACGGAGACTACAACCGGACTTCAAATACGACCTCGCACTGTTGAACAAAGTTCCGGCACACCATGGGCACCACGACGGAACACCTACAACCCATCGTTCGCAACACTGTTGGATACGCAACTACAACCGTCAGAGAAAAGAAGGTCCACGCAAGACTTCGGACAACAAACGAATGCGACGGACGACATCGTTGCAGAACCCGCAACAAAACAACAACGCACTACACCACCTCCACGACTTCCGTCCACATCGACGTCAAGTTCACGACCACTACCGGATAGTCCTATGGCTACTTCACCAACTGGACGACAACATCCACCACTACCAGCACCACCTCGACAAACACTACGACGTTTAACTCCGGAAGAAGTAATGCAACCAACTAAAGCACAGAAGACCTCAAAGGACACTACAATCAGATCAACGGAACAAGCAACCAAAGAACCACCACCACTACGACAGAAAATCAACGCAGTGACACTTCCCAACGGAAAATCCATCACTCCCTACACAAACGACGACACCTCAGAAGACCAACCCATAATCTTCGACAACGAAGGTTACGACGAAACACAACTACTGGAAGGAATGAAACACGAGTCAAACCAAATGAAACTACACGACGTCTACGACGAAGTAGATGCGTCTACCGTCAACGACAACGTCATCAGAGAAGCGATACCTACAAGATGGGTACACAGAAAGAAAGGACCAGGAGTACGAAGCCGAATCGTCGCAAAAGGCTACACCGAGAAGATCGAGGACGAAGACTCCGTCTACGCCTCTACACCAATGTTCACGACACTCCGGACACTTCTCGCACTACAAATGTCACGACCAAACTGGATCGCGCGACTAGGTGACGTCTCTACAGCATTTCTACACGCACCCATCGCAAAAGACCACGACGGTAAACAACGTGACGTCTACCTTTGGCCACCTAAAGAACTTTGTCCACAACAGGACAAAATCTGGCGACTAAAGAAAGCCATGTATGGACTACGCAGTTCACCGAAAGCATGGCAGGACTACCTGGCTGAAGTTCTACAAAAGCTCAGCTTTGTAAGACTAAAGTCAGAACCCAACGTCTACACCAATGCGACTCGCGACTGCTACATCATGGTCTACGTGGACGATCTACTAGTACTTGGAGACAAGACCGCAGTCGACTCCACTTTCGAGGCCGTCCAGAAGCAGGTACTACTCAAGCACATCGGCTACCTCGAACCTGGCAAACCACAACAATTTCTTGGAAGAAACATCGACCACTTCGGCAACTACTGCAATCTTGGACTAAAGGACTCCTGGAATGAACAACACACTCCAGGAATTGCACACTACAAACCAACAATCGAAGATGAAGCGCTACTTGACCACGAACAACACAAAAGGTACAGAAGAATTGTTGGCAAACTTCAATGGTTAGCATACACACGACCAGACATTGCATACTCCACAAAGGAACTAGCACGAGACCTCACAGCACCTACAGAACTTTCACAAAAGAGAGTCAAACATCTACTACGCTACTTGCACGGCACCAAGCACTACAAATTCACCATAGAACCAACAACAACACTCAGAGCAAACACCAACAACATCCTGGATCTCGACGTTCATGTCGATGCCGACTGGGCAGGATGCCCTACTACCAGGAAATCAACTTCAGGTTTCAACATCATCTTTCTAGGAACAACAGTTGCATTTGGCAGCAGAACACAAGCTACAATAGCACTTAGCTCAGCAGAGTCTGAACTCTACGCCATTTGCACAGGAGTTAATGAGGGACTACACCTCAGAAACTTCCTACTTGAAACCAACATTTGCAGCAAGCTAAACCTACGCATCCACACAGACTCCACAGCAGGCAAGAGCATTGCTACACGACAAGGCACTAGCAAACGAGCAAAACACATCGACCTCAAATTCCTCTACACACAAGACCTCATCAAGCACGACATCATCAGAATCCTTAAGATCAACACACTCCACAACAGCGCAGATTTGTTTACCAAATACATCAGCAAAGAAACACTACACAGGCTCATCCAGAGCATTGGAATACGCATCTAGCACTACGAACGACCAGCGCAGCAGTTTCACAACAACAACAACAACGACTTTGGACATTTCATGTATGTAAGTAGCTACATGTAACACGACACTTTTGGTATGTAAGTAACAGTAACTACATGTACTTTCACTTGCACTTTTGGCGGCTTGAGTCAACACTACAGTTGTTTGTTTTACATGTCTGCATTCGCCGACTGCCTGGTAGCAACTACTTAGGCTCATTTGTTTTGCCCCGTTTCACTACATTTTGCATTCCACTGCAGCCATGGCCGCTCCATCTACTGCAGATGCTACGATGGGAGACGCCACTACGCCCGACAGGGCGACTACACCTGAGGTGGCGGTCACTACAGACTCCAGTGACCATGGAACTCCACCACCTCAAACCTACAACGACTCCAACTACCACTTCAACCATTCTACACCCGGCAACACCGTCTACTACAACCCGACCACAGTGATGGACCAACTACACATCACTGAGCACCAGACAACCACTGCACCACCACTGCCCGACAACATTCCCTACACTCAATTTTTCACTGCATTTACACTTGAAGAGTATCAACTACTCTCACAACAACAAGCTACTCCACTGGCACAACTGGACTACACACGACCCATTCACTGCATCCCTGGAGATCTTCGGATGCCACACTACAATTCCACACTGCTCAGCATTTCACTACCTGAAGCAGCCAACGTCCACTACTACCACACAACTTCACTCCACACTACAACTGGCGACAACACCAACTACGTCATCATCCAACTCCAGATTGAACAACCACTACTCCTGAGGTACCTCACTTCAGGACAATTTCTACACTTCACAAGGGACTACATCTCCTACATGATGTCGGTACAACACAACTACTACCTCCCGACTACAACACTGCCACAGACCATCTTCAAGGTGAACTACAACATGACCACCTTCACTGACAACTACAGCCTCAGGAACAACTACGTTTGGAATTACCACATGCCACTACTTCTACCTGAACTACTCCATTACCTTTACAACCGAGACCAACTACACGACTTCCAGCACAAAGCAATCACTACAATCCTCTGCAAAAGCATCCAATACTACGGATTCACACTACTCACAATGACCAACCTCACACAACCCACAAAGCACTACTACACCGCTTTCTACGGGACTACGACCAACACATGTCGTGTCCCGAGATTGATGATGAGCGACTACGGGGAGCTCCAAACTACATGACAACCTTTTTCACCACCAACTACTACGCGACCTTGGACAGTCGACTACAGATGGTCCAAGCCTACCGCACCCAGAAATGGGGACTACATTTTTGAGCTCCTGCTCTACTACAACGAGTGCCTGCCTTCACTACTTCCGTCCAGCGCCCTACATCGAGCTGGAACCTGAACAGCGTGAACTACTGAGCGCAGGTCACTACTTTTGCCAATACAGTAGAATTGATGAACAACAATGGTTTTCATTACTACTGTCAATCCATGTTTTTTGCACTTCAGTTGAAAAGGTACTACAAAGACCTTTTAACTGAGGGGCCGGGTCAAACTACATGCTTCACTTTTTACTCTTGTTGCATGTATGTTCACTACCGCAGGCCTTGAGCTTACTACTCCGCATGAGTCAAAAGGTTGGCAGCTGCAGACTACATTGGTTGACTGCTTGTTTGAACACTACAGCACTTGCACTTGTAAGCAAAGTATCCACCGATTTTAACGAGAGAGAGAGAGAAAGAGAGAAAGAGAGAAGGAGCGAGGGAGAGCGAGGGAGTGGGAGAGGGAGAGGGAGAGGGAGAGGGAGAGGGAGAGGGAGAGGGAGAGGGGAGGGGAGAGAAAGAGCACGGGAACAAGGTGATGATGAGACCAGCATGGCGCGGCCATTTCATGGCAAAACAACTTACCGGGCCTCTCCTGTTTGCGCTGGGGGCCTGAGGTTCTTGCCGGCCCTCGGGGACAGTGAGGCGCGGCCCATGAGATCCGATGCTGGGCGCTTGGCCGGCAACTTCAGGCAACATTGATCCACGCCATTGGACGGGTGCGGCTGAGGGCTTGGCTCCGGGCCTCACTCCAAGTGTGTTGGTTGAGCACAGGAATCCCTCCCTGCCAATTCTGAAAGGGACGCCATCGCAGGATGGTTGCCGTCATGAAGCCTGGGATCCTTTGCAAAAGCTACCCCCCCCCCCCCTCACCCCAGACACCACAGGCTCGAAGAAACAGGACCTGTCAGGCCGGCGCCGTTCTGTCGGAGTTCGTGTCCGGCAAGCGCCAGGCCCGGTTTGGATAGCGCAGCTAGCGCTATGTGGGTGTGTCATTTTGTTGAACGGGGCGCTTTTCTTCGCGGGAGGAAATGTGGGGGAACGCTGAGACAAATCATCACCTCCTGGAATACGTTTGCATGCTATTCAGAAAGCATTGTGGGAATCTACCATTGCAAGTGCTCATGGACACCCGATGTGATCCCCAATGCCCCTCGGGATTGGCGGGTTCGCCGCAGCTGCAGATTTCAGGAATTGCGCTTGCGGGAGTTGTGCTTTTGGAGAGGTTCAATCTGCGAAGTGCAAAGTACTGCGCAGGGCCAGCGTTTTGGGGCCGAACCTAATTTCAAAAAAAACAAAACAAACCCAAACCTAAACCCTAAAAGTCCGTAAAACACTTTGAGCCCTCACAAATCCTAAGCTGTCAATCCAAAACCCTAAACACACTCCCTAAAACATCAAAGCGGTGTAAATGGGATGGGTGTAATCCGGGTGAACATCAGCCTGCTTCGAAGCCCGCCGGCGGAGGGAAACGCCTCAGGTTCCGGTGGACACGTACTTCATCGACAGCAGAAGCGCGGCTTTTCTCCAGGCTGGGTTTTTTTGGGAAGGCTCCAGACGCATTTTGGACATATGGCCGTGGGTCAAAACCAGTGGTACCATTTTGGAAATGGTAGGTGCACCACCCATTTTAGAACCTATTTTAGTGGGGATTGGGATGTTCACTGGGGAGTACGGGCTTTTGACCAATGGCCATATGTTGCTATCTGATTTTTAAATGGGTGGGGCGGGGCGGCATGAAAGAGAGCAAATTGAATACAATGGAAAGAGGCGGAAAGGAGATGCCCCGTCCAGTGGTGCAGTAGCCCCTTCTTTTGTGTGTGTATTTTTGTTCCTTTTTGTTTTATTTTTTTCTGGGGAGGGGGGGGGGGGAGCAAGGCAAGCTTACCCATGTTCCCTGCAGCTCTTTATGCAGAATCCATTCGCCAAGGGGGGGTCCAAGTACCCTTGGAGGCCCTCAAAGAAGATGGGTCCAGGTATTTGCTTTGACGTTTGGACTCGCAGGGCGGTCGGGATTTCGCCCCGCTTCGTTTCGGGCTCGTCTTTTTCCCCGCACTTCTCAGGCAGCGCCCGAGGGGAAGCAGCTGTGCGAGCGCCGGGCTCAGAACTGCCGATTCCTTTGGGGGGTCACTCACCGCGTTCATGGACTTCCAGCTGTTTGCGAAGACAAGTTTAGCGGCGAAACAAGTTTGGACGGTTTTTGGCGAACCCACTCAGGAAGCGAGTTGTTCAGTGGTGGTTGATGGCTTGATGGCCCCCACTGAAAATAGTTGACCCCAAAAAGGGCCTGCCACGGAACAAACTCACAAACTCCACAATGCCCTTGTGGTTTTGGCGGTGCCTGGAAGATGTTGGAATGCTTCGGCGTCAGGCCCACGACCGCAGCAGTTGTTTTTCCACTTGCACGAAGCGTTTCCAATGTCCACTGTCTTTGGGAAGCCCTTTGGTGTTGCTCGCTGTTACAGCCCGGGTGTGCTTCCTTCTGTGCCGGAACTTTGGAGCAACAAGGGTTTGTGCCATTTTTCGAGACGTGGGTGTGTCCTAAAATCGGGGCACGACCAAAATGGCTTCGGGTTTCCTCTTGGTGTCCCTTCAGCCACCCCTCATAGCGGACCGTCTACATAGACCACCCCGCCCCATTTCAGGGCACTCTCAAAACAAAGATGCCAGGCGGATGCACTTCCTGGGCGGCCTCGGGGTGCGCGGGAAGAGTGGTGTTTTTGGGATCGAGATGCTGCTTGTTTTCCCTTGGCTGCAGGAAGGTGTCCCTGCTTCTCCACTGGCCTGGAGGAAGCCCATCGTTTTTTTCGCTTTGGGGTGTGACTTGTCTGCGATTTTTTTTGGGGGTGGGTTTTGCTTGAAGGGAAGCCAACGGGGAAGCCGCCCTTGATTCCGAGCTGTCTCAATCCCTGAGTTCCTGCACTTATACCCTTTTCTCAATGAAGACCATTCCACTGTTCAGGGAAAACATGGGGCTTTCTTGGGCCAATCCACTCAAGTGGGGGGATATCCCCAACGCTGTTGGGCAGAAAGGCGGCACCGGGAAGCGGAGAAGTCGGCATACGGGTCACCGCCAGGTGAGGCAGCTGCATGGCCTACGGGTGGCCTTCCTCTCCGGGCGCGGGGCTGAAATGACGGTTACAACAGCTAACGCCAACCAGCGACCTATCGATGCATGGGCATTAAAAAAGAAGAAGAAAAAAACAACTCTCTCTCGGTCTCTCTCCCCGCCCCAAAAACCCCAAAAAAAGACAGACCCATATGGGTATTGCTCAAAAGGTGGACCGCTTTTGGTTGGCATTTAGAGAAGGAAAGGTGGTCAAAATTTAGAGAACCCCCCCCCACGTGAACATATACATTGTAGATGCTGGTTGTGGACATTTGAATATGTCCGGTATGGCCTTTCACTTCAACTTGGCATTCCTTGGCGTGCGCTGCAAATAGTGCTGCGTCGGTCGGTCAGGCTTAGGTGGCGTATGGAAGGTCTGGACCCTCGGGCACGTCAAAATAGGGATTTTGGATCCCAACACTCTTGTTCCCTCTAAGCAAATCTGACAAGGATACCTTCAAACACACACACACACATACATACAGACAGACATACATACATACATACATACATACATACATACATACATGCATACATACATACATACATACATACACTCACATACACTCACATACACTCACATACATACACTCACATACATACACTCACATACAAACATACACACATACATACATACATACGTACGTACGTACGTACGTACGTACATACATACATACATACATACATACATACACTCACATACATGCATCCATCCATACATACATACATACACATACATACATACATACATGCATGCATACATACATACATACATACATACATACACACATACACATACACATACACATACATACATACATACATTCACATACATACATACATACATACACTCACATACATACAAACGTACATACATACACTCACATGCATACACTCACATACATACACTCACATACATACATGCATACATACATACATACATACATACACTCACATACATACACTCACATACACTCATACATACACATACATACATACATACATACATACATACATACATACATACACTCACATACATACACTCACATACATGCACTCACATACATACAAACGTACATACATACAATCATACATACATACATACATACACTCACGTACATACGTACATACATACATGCATACATACATACACTCACATACACTCACATACATACATGCATGCATGCATGCATGCATGCATGCATGCATACGTACATATGCGTAAATGCATACATGCGTGCACGGACATACAGACAGACAGACAGGCAGGCAGGCAGACAGACAGAGAGACAGACAGACAGACAGACAGAGAAGCAGACATACATACATTCATAGAGTTGCACGCATACAGTTACGCACATGCAGTTAGATACATACGTGCAACCGTATGTATGTCTGTCTGTATGTACGTACGTGCAGACGAACACTTGTGCATATGTGCATACGTGCGTGTGTGTGTGTGTGGCCCCACGCGTGCATACGCAGATGCGTAGATATGCACATGTGTAGATACGTACCTACGTAGATTCGTACAGACGAACCTATGTAAACACGTGTACCTACGTACCTACATGCATACATACCTACGTGTCTACGTATGTAGAAAAGAACCTCAGATGGCATGTGCCCGAATCCGCGCGAATCGATGGCTTTGCTCGAGGTAGCGCTCCTCAAGCGTCAAGCGGCTGAGAAGGTCCTAGAGCAGCTAACAAGCTTTGCGATGCCTTGGACCTCTGATCTTCTCACCCCTTAAAAACACGCCCCTCACCCACGTTTTGCAATAGGCAATATATATATATATATATGTGTGTGTGTACACATATATATATATATATACACATTCCATCCGACAGGAACGTGCTTCCTTTGCGTGGCCCGGAGGTGTCCTGAGGGTTTCTTGGTCTTGTTGGGAAGTTCCCCCTTTAAGGGGCAAGATAAAGCTTAAAGCCCTAAACAACCGGGTGGTGGATGGACAAAGACGCGCACCACATGAACGACATCTTGTGAATACAGTGTTTGGCGGGCATTTGTCCACGCACAGTAGATCTGAAGGCCTTCAATAGCATCAAAGGAAACTTGTTTTCCGTGACCCTTCGGATTTTCGGAACCAATCCAACCCCACCGACTGAACATGGCGCTGGCGCGGCTGCCTGTCCCGTTTCTTCGGCCGGCGGCTTCGGTTGCGGGTTCTCGTGGCCGGCTCCTCCCACAGGCGGATGGCGGATGGGTTCGAAAAAGGGCATGGTCTAGGACTGCCAGGTTCCATGTGTGGCGTGGGGCCCATAGCCTATGGGAATTCATTTTATTTTGGGAACGCCCTCAATCATGGACAAAGCTCCGGATCATGGCCACCAAAGCCTATGAGAGAAATTCTCACCTGTTCGGCCCGTAAAGACACATGTCTACATTCTATGTACCACTTGCTTTTTTGAAGGTTGGCACCCAAAGTTTGAATCACAACCCCTTGGAGCAACAGGTTTGGCGCCGAGAGTATGGAGAACTGCAGGCTGACATTTCACGGCTGATTCCGTGAGCACGGCGCCGGGGGGGTGGGGCAACGGCCCCCACTCGCCTCTCCAGTCGTAGGCGCAGAGCCGTGGCTTCGCCAAAGGCGGCCGCTGGGTGTTCCCGGGCCTGGTGCTCGCTGGCCGGCTGGCAGGCGGAGCCACAAGTACCATGAGGTGTTTTTTGCCGGGGAAATGGGCCGTTGGCCTCTGCGCCCCTTGTCCAACAATTCTGCGCTTTCCACTTCCAATGACTGCCTCATGGAAAATGAGAAAGAGATCATCAACCTGCAACACGTATGGGGCTGCCTTTTTTGAGGGTACGTTTGTTTTCTCCTTGGGGGGGGGGTGTCAAAGGGAGCCAAGGAGAACCTAGCCGTTGTTTGGGGTTCCCATTTCAATACGCTCGTTGTCCGTGTTTACTTTGCCAGTTCCTCAAGGACTGCGCCCAGAGGCAAGATGAGCATCCATTGATTTCCTTTTGACACAGTGGCAGAAGGGTAACATGAGTAGCTTCGTCAATCGCTATCTCCAAGATGTATGACACGAATCGGTTTCTCCAGGACGGCGCGTGACCTGGAAGCGCTTCCGGATGCCGCGCGCGGGCAGAGCAGACGGCGCTGGCACTGATGCAGGCGGACTCGACTTAAGGCTTTGACCCTTCCCCAAGGTCCGCAGTTTCTCGAATACCACTAAATATAGTTAACCTCTCAATTGCTCTTTTGTAGCAACTGCTGATGGCCTGGTGAATCTGACACCTTGAAGGAATGAAGCAACATATTGATTTGCTTTGACCTGCAGATGTACAATCCGAACGTCCACCTTGTGGGTAAGGGATTGAGGATCCTACTGTGTGACTCCAACCCTTTTGGGAAGATCAACCACCCTACCTCACCCTATCTTGCGGCAGTCAAACATGGAGCAGGTTGCATCTTAAACCTCTAACTAACTAACTAACTAACGAACTCACTAACTATCTAACTAACCAACGAGTCCTATCCCCTCCGCACTCAAACAATAGAGTGAGCAATCTGTTATTCGATAGTGCCGGCATATGCCTGAAGCTTGGCACTGCATTTTGGAAATTGACCTCACTTTGTCCAAGATTTCCAAGTTGTTTATTTATATGTTCGCTCCGTTATCCCGAAAGCTGGCCGAGGTGGCAGTGCGGTTTGCGAGCGGTGGTTCAGTAGGGTGCACGGGTTCATTTTGTACTTGTTGGTGGCGTCGCAGGGGGTTCGATTCCCGCCCTGCCGCGCTGCCATTACACATTGCACAGAACACATGCTTCTCTGTTTGCAACTTGCCATTTTGATGTTCGTGGTTTGTCCGGACTGGACTGCGACCTGCTGCCGCTGTTCCATCTCGGAAGGGTGGAAGAGGACTTGTTTGAAGCAGGATGGTGATTAGGAAGCGTTGGAACTGGCCGGCTCCATCACATTGTGACCGAGCCAAGGCCTCATACTGTACAAAGGATGGGTCATGAACCAGCTTCGTCTAGGGGGGGGTCCCTCAGAAGAAGAATGCTTCCAAAGATTCAGGGCAATTAAGCTGGAAGTGGATGGCCATTTTACCACAGCCAAGCGAGCAACTTGGAGCTTTACAGCACCAGCATGCCAGATTCGAGAGGGTGTCGAAAAACGCCCAAATTCAGTTTCCCTGTCCACCAATGTTGCACATTTCTTTGCTTTACTTTTACCCAGTGAATCCTAGTTACCCCTCCTACAAAGCCTCAGCTTCCCTCTAAATTTGTGGTTTGGTTTGCTGGTTTAGAGGTTGGGTGGTTTCCTACCAATCCAAAACACCTATTGGGTGAAAGCGAGGGCAGATCGGACTAGAGACTCCTTGGAGCAGGCTGGTTTCCTTCCTGGTTTGGATCGGGTGCCAAGTGCCAGGTGCCAGGGAAGGACATGGGGAAGAGCTCCCTATGCACTTCCACTAACATAGCACCTGCCTGGAAGATCATTCTCCTCTTGTAGGCTCCCCCCCCTGAGGGTGTCTACTTCTGGTGGAGTAAAAGTTGGACCCCGAAGCTATCTTTCTGGGTTTCCTTGAAACTGGCCGGCAATGTTTAACTCACGTGCCGGAAGCGAATCAACTGGATCTAACCTTTTGGATTCCTTGATTTGGACAAATATTTTTAGTCAAGGTTCCGACAGGCGATCGCCCTGTACTTCCAGGTCCTGGCCAGCATTTCAGTTCCCCTTTGACACATCCTCAACCGGGCAAGTTGAAACATCACCAGCTGAGTTGTGGGAGGTGGGCTTCCCGACATCCTCAAGGAGGAGACCCAGCTGGAGACGCCCTTCGGGCGCGTGGAGGTGGTGGTGCTGCGGCCTCAAACTGCCGGCCCCATCCCCACGGTGGCGGTGAACGTGGGCTGCTACTACACCCTGGCGGCGCCTCGCCCTGAAGGCGCCGATTCGGCGCTTCTTTGTGGGGCTGTGGGGGAACTACATCAGAAAGACACCAAATTTTGGGGGTTGACCTATTCTGAGAACGTGATCGAGTTTTGGAGTTTTGGAAGCTTTGGCTTGGACTGGGCAATGAATGGTGAATGGTTGAATAGTTGATGCATGGTTGAAGGGTTGCTTGGTTTGGATTGGATTGGTTGGGTCTGGTTTGAGTTGGCTTGGTTAGCTGGGTGTTTGTCGGTTACTTGGTTACTTGGTTACCTGGTTACTTGGTTGGTCAGCTGGTGTGTGTGGGTTGAGGGGGTGCAATAAAGCCAACAAAGCAGTGAGGCTCAAACAAATCGAGGCACCCAGCCGGCAACAACCCTACAGCCGAGCATTCGCATGCATCGGGCTCCGTACATTTCGCCTGTAAGGATGGTGTGAATCGTAGCCTTTGGGGCCAATTTGGGCGTGTCTTTCTTTCCTAGCAGAAAGGTTGGTGGTTTTCCTCTTAGTTCCCTTAAAACCCGCAAAACATGAAGTAATTACCCTCCGAACAAGGCAGACCTATTCAAAGCGTAGGCGGAATATGACGAGAGCAGTCGGAAGCCCCATGGGTCGGTGCCTGAGTCCTGAGGACACGCTGGAGAGAGCTGAGGGCCCTCGATACGTATCGCAAGGCGGACTGGGAATGACTTGCTGAACGTAGGTGACCTTTTGGTTGGTTTGGTAGGCGTCCACTGGTTTAGATGGGTTTAATTCCAGTTGTGAACGCCCTTTCTTGGGTCAGCTTGCTTGTGTTGGTTGGTAAAGGGGAGGCGAAGGAACACGCGCTGCTTTAGGCAGGGTTTCCTTGGGGATTTTGTTGGGGAATGTAGCCCCGGATGAATAAAGCCTGTCACCCACCATTCTTCTGTCTGGGTTGTCACCCACACTTGACTATGATTCCAAGGTGGACCGCCCCTATCAAGGGGCCCGCTTGCTTGCTTTGGGGTCGCTGTTGCCCGGGCCTTAAGGGGCCAGCACCAAGCAGCCCGGGTCCCTGGTCGCGCGGCAGGCTATGCCTACTTGCTGTGGCGTGCCACCGGCGCCTTGGAGGAGGTTGCGGACCAGGCAGGACGCGTGCGCGGAATGACTACGTCCACTTGCTTAAGAAGTTGCCCAGATGGGCGGCGGAGTTCGTGACGGGATAGGGTTCCGAAAAGGTTCCGAGAGGGTACTGGTTTGGGTGCCAAGGGGATGTCCTTCAGAGTGGAAACCAGTCGTTCTTTTTTGCCATGATTGGTGAGCCCAGAGGTTGCGGGTCCCAAAGTCCCAAACTGGAGAAGAAGATGGCATCTGAAATCCTGCTGCTCGGCCATGCTGAAAGCGCCTTGGCCATGCTCGCTTATCTCCTCATCGACGCTCAAACCGCTTTTGCCTCAAAGTCCGGCTGCGTGAAGTGGACAGCGACCAAGCGGCTTGTTGCTGGACGCCCTTTCATGACTACATGCCCCCGTCCGGAAACAAGTTCAACCAGCCCTAGAAACTACTCAAATTGAAGGCAAACACACAATGATGCAAGGTGTAATCAGGCCTAACCCAGAAGGCCGATTGATACCAGGACACATCCAGGAAAGTTGGAAATATTATTACAGAGTATGGGCGTAAGACGACGCCTCATGCAAATGCCCTTGGCACACAAGCGTCTTGTTGCTGGACGGGCCGTGCACAAAAGCTCTCGCGCTTTAGGCTTTTTTCTGGCACGCAAGTCGCAAGGTGCAAACAAAGGGGCCATTCTTAGCCAGCGTTCCATTGACTACCCCAAGGTAGACTTAAACCTAGGGGTTCCCTTTTTGGGGAAATCATCCACCCGTTAAAGAAAGGAGCCCTGTTCTCGCCTGTTTCGGCTCGGTGACTCAATGCCATGGAGTTCAGCCGAAACCAAATGGGCCACAACGTTTGTGACTTGACTGGGCAACGCAAATGGTTGTACAACCATAACAAGCACTATGTTCCAGTTGTAACTGCTTAAGCAGCCTCCTTTCATAGCCGATTGCTGAATGACCGTTGGTTCCCCAAGGCCCGCCACAATTGGCAACACAGGCATCACGTTGCCCAATGATTATGACCTAATTTGATTTAATGCCCTTCCATCCCCCGATTTGGGTTTAGCTCTCCCCCTTCACTTCCCCACATAAAAAAGCATGTGCCATCTGCTTTCGCCTTGTAGAGTGTCCGCAGATTTCCTCTAAGTGGTCTTTTTTGGTGGTTAGGGGTGATTTTCCATTTACCCTCCTCGAAGTTGCCCGACGTTCCTTCAGAAAGGTTACCGGTTGCCTGGTGGTTTCGGGATTCGAGCCCCTTTCTGCTGGACCTAGCTAATCCACGCCACAGAGAAGCTGAGCTCCTTCGCCCAACTGGGCGGCCTCCAGGTGTTCCTGCGCTGGCGCGGGGATGCTGCGGTGGTGCTGGACTGGCTGGGCCAGCAGCGTTGGTGTGGCTCTGCCGCCAGTTTGGATGGGTCCTGCGTGTTGTTCTTTCGGGGTGGAGGGAGGGGGAACTGCTTCTTGTATTTGAGGGGGGGGGCGCCTTTTGGTTGGTTTTGAAGGGAAGCTCACCGGTAAGCCGGTTTTGCGGGTTTCTCAGCTTGAAAACCCATGCTCACCCTGCAATGACTAAGGCAATCACCTTTGTTTTGTACCGATGTGCTGAGAAATGCTGACTGCGTGACCAGCTTCCCCGAGTGCTTGGCTCATGCAGGCCTTCATGGCATCCACACGAAAGAGGGAGCAAGGAGCAACGCATCGCGCCCTTGTTTTTCAGTTTGCGAATTTCACAGATCGCACCAAGATGAAGTGACTGGCTTGCGGTGTATTCGATGCGAAGCATCACTGAAAGGGATCCCCTCAGGCGTGGAACATGGGTTCCGCAGGTTTGCCGGTGTCTTCTTTAACAAAAGCCCTGCTTTTTTTCGTTGGCTTGCAAGTGGGACACCGCATGCAACACACCCATTTTGGGTTTGCCTCATTTTGAGAGACACCCATGCTACCACACATCGCTGGCTAGGTGCCCCTGACATCTGGGTTGAAGCTTCAACACCCAGAGCAAGCAACTGAATGCGTCAAACAAGCGCCCTTTGAATTGAAGGATCGTTTTTTTGAAGGACGCCAGAAGTGGAAGTGCTCCTGATGATTTCCCGACCACTGACAGAGCTGATGGTTGCCGTTCTTTCACGTTTCTTTCTTGCAGGTCAGCCGTTTGTGTGCTAAGTTGATGATTGAGCTACTTCACTAAGGGAGCGACTCCCAATTTTGATGACCATCGACCTAGAGATTGACATGAAACCAAAAGAGAAACAGTTTTAGAAGAAGGTTGAGGCAGGAGTCGAAAGCAAGAAGAGCCCTCTTTTGCCGGATCCCTATTTTGGGTCCATGTTCATTTACCGGGGCCCCAACCGGCCGCTTTGCTGTTCTTCAGTTTGAGGGCCAGTACTGTTCCAAGGATGCCTCATGGGAGGAAAATGCATGTGCGAAGGGATGGCAGAAATCTTGTGTCGGGTACGGTGAATGCATGCGCGTGTGTGCGTCGGCGTAGGAGATCGCGCCAAGGTGAAATTCTGAAAGTAGAGCTCCGATGCACCCTCCCCAAAACCACCATGGCTTGCTTAGGAACATGGTCTTCCAGACACCCTGTGCAGGTTCTACATTTGTTGGGAGTGGTGTCTGATCCCAAGTTTCCTTTAGTTTCCTTTAAGCCACCCCCAAAAGTACTCAGTTGAAAACCGGTGCGGGTAACTGGGAAGCCACCAAACCACCACACCGGGCTCCAGGAAAACAACCGCCCAAAGCGGGGGACGCCTATGACGAGACTCCGGACGCTTCCGTGAGGCGATGGGCGCGTGGGGTGCCACGGCTACAGCCTGCTGGGGAACACCGCCTACGCCACGCTGGCGGCCTCCCATGCGCCGGACGCGCCGCCCAGCCGGCCGCTGGTGACCGCGCTGGTGCCGGCCATCTCCTTCTCGCGGATCCAGCGCCGCGGATGGGAGTCGGATGCCGCGAAGGTCTCGTGGACCAAAAAAAGACCTTAGGGGTAGCAGGTTTGGAAAGATGAACATGTCAAATGGGAAGAAGGACACCCAAAGGTGAGTTTCCTTTTGGGCTCCCTTTGCTTGCCCGCGAAAAGCGGATCGATCGATGTGGAGTTCATTTGCGTCTCAAAATGGGAATCGGTACCTCCAAAAAGGAGCCTGGCTTTCAACTTGGTTGACCCCCAAAAAAGAGGCTTTGGTGAACCTTCTATGGACCAGTTTAATATCACCCCAAAACAGGGCATGAGGCAAACAGTCACATTCCGACCCTTTTTAGCGAAAACCCATACTCAAAGGGGTAGAGTAGCAGAGCAATCAGGGGCAAGTATTCATGCTTGTAACCCACTTAGGGGACTTAAGTGGATGACATGCTGCGGACGGACAGAATCATTTTGTCTATGCTGCGGCGAGCTCACAGCTTCGGGGATAAAATGAGCTCACAATGATGTCCTCAGTTTTCTTTAATGGAGACTGCCAGCGCGCGCAGTTGCAGACACGTGTGCAAATCGTAAAGCCACGCCCCCGTGCCACCAAACCACTGCAAACCCCACGGCCGGATTTCCGGGCGCTGGGCCGAGCCGAAGCCATCGCAGCCATCGCGAGGCCCACGGTCTTCGTGCGGGGCCAAGGCCTCGCGGCAGAACTGGCACTGCGGTTCCTGTGGCTGGCGGAGGTGGGCCTGCGCAAGGCGCGGGCGTGGAGGGCCCGCGGGTGAGCCCTGGAATTCCATAGAAATGGAATTCCATTTGTTTTGTTTTTTGTTTTTTCCTTTGGGGGAAGGCTAAGACAAAGGAATTGGGGACCCCCAGCCCCCTCCGCTTGAAGGTATATATATATATATAGGGATCTGAGTGGGACAGAGCTTGGGCAACAACGAGCGATTGACACCAACATGAAGGGTTTGTTGGGGAGATTCCTGTGTTTTGTTGCAAAGGGTTTGTAGTTATGAAATTTGATTTGCCCCAATGGGCGTCAGGTTTGAGATGGGTGGGTGCTTCGTGGTGATTGAGAGGCGACACCTTGTGTTTTCGTTCCCTTTTGCAATTTTCTCGCCTTCCCGCGCGTACACTTCGTGCGATTTTCTGCCCAGGCCCAGACTCCAGCCTGTTGGTTCAAGAGCAAGTTGAAGCTCAAAAACAGGGAGGTCCCAACAGAAGCTGGTCATGGAAAAGGGCAGAGATGGGTCAGCCAGCCCTAAACCAACCCAGGACCAAGTTATCCCATTGAGGTCAAGGCCGCTTGAAGCGACCGCAGGAGCGAGCCACCGGCCTCGGCTACCTTTGGAAGATGTGCCGTGGCTGGCAGCACCACCTGGTTGAGATCTGGGGGTGCATCCAAATGGGTACCGGAACCTTTGGTGGAATCTAGGTGGGAATTCACGCCCACTTTTGAGGTGGTTCCAACTCCTCAAGCAGTATAGCCACAAAGGTATTCATTTGACCTGGTGCCCCAAACCCCTGGCTTGGTTTTCCTGCGTGAGGGTTGGGTGTTCTATCTAATTGCCCACAAGACCATGGAGAGTCCATGTGAACCAGTCCGCATGTTCTTGCCTCACCTGGGGTTTTGAAGCCAACCTGAAGCAACGTGCCCTCCCAAACTTTTCCAAAACCACCAGGACCCAAACCAAAACCACCCATAGGCCACCACCAAAACCACCCCAATTTGGAGGGGAGCTGACCCAACGCGGACGCGGTGGGCTCCGACGCGTTGGTCGGCTCCGAGGTTCGGCTTCTTCGGCCTGGGCGAGTGGCCGGGCCTCGCCGAGGCGCTGGCGCAGCGGCCGGTGGCGGAGGCGGACCGCAGGCTCTGGGGCCGAGCCAACGAGCTCTGGCGGGGCGGGCAGCGCCTTGGGAAAATTTGCGACCGGTTGAACCGGACGGCTGGTTATGGATGTTGGACTTAGACCCCAAGGTTGGTGGGGCTCAAAGTTGATGGCGAGAAAGATATGGATGATTAGCTTAGACCCGTGGCTGATGTGTTTCTTTCCCGGCTTGTTTTTTTGGAGGGGGGTTTGGGGGTTGAGGGGTTCTCAACGTTTCGATTGAACCATCTTTCTCACCGGTTTGCCCGCCGGACCTTCTCCTTACAAGGGGTTGTTTACAAACGTTTGCCAACCCAGACCAAAACCACGCCAAACCACATACCCATATCAGCTGAGTAGCACAGTAACCGTGGTTTCTTTTCACTTGTCCGCAACGTGCTCCAGGTGGTAGGTTGAAAGAAAACAACCGCAGTTTCTAACTTTGATACCCTGGACATAGTCAAACCCAGTGCCTTTGCTGGCAAACCACTGCCCTTTTTGGGGTCGACTCCATGTGAGTCCCGAGCCCAGCAAGCTGAGGCTGGAATCGTTGGCTTAGAGAGGAGTTTTTTTTCTTTCTTTTTTTGTGTTTTGCTCAGTTTGGCGAGGTTTGCTTGGCGCCCTTGCGAGCATGGTTTCGCTGTGGCCCACGGTTCAAGTCTCACACCCGTGATTGGAGACCAGCTTCTACGACTTTGGTTCTTATTTTGTTTGTTTCTTGGTGTGACCTGCTCGTTTGGGGGGTTTTGTGGTGATTGATGGACACAAGCATGCCTCAGTATCAGTCGTGGAGGTTGGCCTTCACTTGTTTGCTAGGGTTCCGCTGTTACTTCACGTGCATTGGGTGTTTTCGAGATAGTGAAGCGCTGGGGATTTGCAGGGTGCAAGACAGCATACACCGTGTCTTTTAGTTGTAGGCACAGCACTGTTGCCTTTTGTTCCGTGTTTGTTCCCAACATCCAACGGCCAAGAAAGGATCCTTTGTTGTCCTCAGGGTTTGGTTGGCCTTACTGACTTGAATGCCTCGCATGTGCTCAAGGCTTTCTCCCTCAGCTACCCCAGATCCCCAGGGCTTCGACTTGGAGACAAGCACCAAATCGCCCAAGTCCAGCAGTTTGACCTGGTCGGTTTTCCCAGTCGGCTCGTTTGCCACGGGGTTCACCCAACAAGTCGGCTGGGTTCTGTTGGCAAGTTAGGCGCCACGGCAGGCCGTGACTGCGGATGGCTCCAGCTGTTTTTCCTGAGCCCTCCCCCCGAGGATGGCGCGCAAAGCCTCTGACGCCTTTTGGCGGGAGAGCCGGGACCGGCAGTTCCACTTCGACCACTTCCGGGAAGCCGCGCCGCGGATCCATGTCATCGCCGGGTGGAACGACATGTTCCTCGCGCAGAGCCTGGAGGACTTCATGGAAGCTCCTGAGTTGGCATTTCAGGCATCCGCCGATCTACCCCCACATAGTCGCGTCATGGATGTAGCGGAATTGGCGGACTGGCAATTCCTGAACCCTTCGACCATAAACTGTCCGTACCGGTGGGTGCCGATTGATCGAGCCGGAGATGCATGAAGTTGGGCTGAAGAAACCGGCCGCAACAAGCCCCCGGAGCCACACAACAACAAAAAACAAGACCTTCCAGCCTTTCGATGCAGAACCCTCTCTGGGTGGGAGGGCCAAGTTACATTCACCCAACCTATGCAACATCAAGTGGTAACGTGAGAAGCTTGTTCCAAGCCTCCAATCATCGGAGAAGAGATCACTGATGCGTGGACAACTGGGTATCCGAGGCGCAGCGAGCCACGGGCAGTGCCCGATTGACCATCTTCACGGGCGGGCACTTCGGGGTGGTCATGAGCCATGGCTTGAGAGGTTGTGGGCATGTGTGTTCCCTTCAGTTTTTTTTTTTTCAACAATAGGGTCCGTCTGGACATCTCTTAGGTATTATTTGGTGGTTTTTCTCCAAAACTCTTGAGCTGGTTCCAACTCTTGAAGCCCGTGGCGATGTTAGCCGGATTAAGCAGACGCTCCCTGTTTTTTGTGGGCGGCGCGTGTCATGGGCATGATGGGTAACCCGCACTTGAGGATTCTCACTTCCCGAGTTTCTGGACTGTGAAGACTGTCGAGACGATTGTTCCATGGCCAGACTTTGCTTACATGTTTGCCTTACTGAGTTTCCCCTCATGGTTCCTATCAACCAGGAAAATATGTTTTTGCAAGGGGCCTAAGTCTGGTCAAGTTGTGCGAAGATGGTTTTGGTGGTAAAAAAGGCAAGCCGTCCGAACTTGTTTTGACCAATACGTGAGCCAGGGAGCGAACCAGCACTAATTCGTTGTCGGGTTCGGCGATCGGGGGTGAAATGAGCGAGCCCGGGCCCACGAGCCAATTTAGTGACGGTAACTAGCGGTGTCACGTGGTTTCCCATGGACGGGCTCAGGTGGTGCTCCCAGAAGCTGTTGGCATCACAACCCCGGAAGGCACTTGGGACGTTGCCTCCCCTACCCTGCAGAGAGATATCGGCCCTGCAGGTGCGCATTTCAAGCGGTGAGCATCACAATTTGCATTCATGTCCACACATCACTTTTGAGATGGTTCCCTATTGAAATTCACAGCCATAGGAATGACGCCTGGTTATTCATATTATTCGGGGCCAGAAGCACCATTGCGGGCCTCCATCCTTTCGGACCCTTTCAGACCTTGCCAGGTTGGAGGCTGTACGAAATGCCGTTTCGTCCTCGAAGGATTCCTCGTTTGGTTTTGGGCCCCCCCCCCTTGTCTCAGTCGCGCGCGCTCGCTTCGTTGAGTGTGGGACAAGGAGCCACGCGGGCAAAGTGGCGGCCGAGACGGGGCGCTGGTACCAGGAGCACTTGGCCCTGGAAGGAGGGGCCGAATGGCAAAGGCTGGTCACGTAGTATCCTTGGATTTCCTCTCTTTTTTTTGAGTGGCTTAAAACTAATCCTTCGAGTTTCTCTTGGGGCAATGTTTGAAGGGGACAGGCAAGGAAGCATGTGTTTTGTAAGCGCTCGTTTCGCAAGGGGTTTACCCCCAAAAATGATTCATCTCTTTTGGCTTCCCTTCAAGCACGGACTAAGATGTGACCAATTTGGAGTGAGACCTCAAACGCAGTGCAGCACAGAATGGCTGGCAATGGCAACTAAGGAACTAGTGTAAGCAAGCGGTCATTTCAATTGGGCGTTTTCATTCGGGCGTTTTCTAGACTAGACCACCTTCTTTAGTCCTCTTTTCTAGTGGTTTTGAAAGAGAATCCACGAATTGCCCGTAGTCTTCCCAACAAATTGGTCCACGCAAAAGGATGTCTTTGGCCCGAATGTCCACTCTTCTTTCAGCAGGTGGCCGGCATTTCAGGGAAACAACGGCAATTCTCCTTGAAAATAATGACGGGTGGACGGAGAGGAGCAACCGCTGGAGAACAGCGAGCTCACTTTGGTGGCCAAACAAGCTCGGTCCAGAGCCCTTGCTTCAGTTTCTCGAGCTTGCCAATTTGGATTTGGCTGCCAACTGTTGCCGTGTTCTCTGGCTCTCTTCGCCGGTCGCCCGTTGGCCGAGCCGACTCTTGGGTCTGGGGCTACGGGTCCCGCAGGAGAGGCCAGACCGGCGGCGGTGCGGATGCAGCTCATTACCGACGAAGAGCCGCTCGGATGGAGGGACGCCCGGAAGACCAGGTTCCGTTCTTATTCTTTTGTAAGGTTCCATGCTTTTAAGTTCCGGCTGTTTCATGTAAATCCGATGTCCACCAAATTGTCCCGATTCGAATTCCTTGCCCATATGCTCCTCTTCATCCAAAGTTTCTTTTGGCCAGGCAATGTGTAAGTGGGTTCCGTTGCATGCATCAGCATGTTCGGGTTTTGTCATTCGGTTCTTGGCTCTCAGTTTTAGAGGCTGCATCATGATGCTGCCCCCCTCCGTGAACACGCGGTGCTGGCCAGCAAATTCTCCCAAGCGCTGTAGTTTTTGTGGGCGGGCGTCCTCTTCTCTTTTTTTCCCCTGACATTTTGGGATGGGTCAGTCTGCTTGTGCTACGGGCAACGAGGCCGGAGGAGTGGCTGGAGTGCGGGGCCTGGCCGCCCCCGGAAGGCGCCCGCTGGGACCTCTTCCTGGCCCCCGGACACGTGGGCCTCCGCTCGGAGCCGGCCGCCGGGGCCGCCGGGGCCACCGGGGCCGATACTTCCACGGAGCCGCTGAGCTACAGCTACGACCCACGGGAGACCGGGGGGGGGAGGGCTGCGTGGTTTGGAGGTTCCTTTGGGCAGGGTGGAGTTCAAAGAGCTCAGAACATGGCCCAATCGATTTGAGCATGCCCAGCGAAGAAGGGCTGAGGGAGAGAGAGAGAGAGAGAGAGAGAGAGAGTGAGCCAGATGCAGGAAGCAGGCAGCAGGCATGTTCGATCCGCCTTTTTCTATAAGCATTTCTAGACTTGGTTTGGCATCCCCTGAACATCAACACGCATCAGCCAGCAACAAACCTCAGTGTACGGGTGATTTTGGGATTGGTGTGGATTTGCACCCCGCCTTCAAAGGGAGAAGCATTCCTGACCCCTGGGCTTTGGGGTACCTGGCCAATGGTAAGTTCCGTATGTCCCTCGGAACCTGGGGGAACCTCTCCAAAACAGGTGTTCCCGTTTTGGTAAAGTGGCGCACTTGGAGTTTGGAATTGTTTCGGCCACTCAGGAAGTACAAGGAGCCTTTTTTTTTTGCGCCTTGCAACCTGCCAAGCAGGTTGTTGTTTTTCCGCTTCCTTTCCCTGTTCCTCTGGATCGGGTCTTTTGCCACCGTGCAGACCCCCCCAAAAAAGACCCTTCAGACCACAAGTTGAATCAGCTCTTCTCCTTTTTGCCCCCCCCCCCCCCCAAAGCCGAAAAGAAGCCGCGTCTTGCGAACCGACTTTCTGGCAGGACCCGACGCCCTACGCGGGGGACGGGTGGCTGAACCTGCAGCGGGACGGGCCCCAGGACCAGCGGGAGGTGGAGAGGCGCCAGGATGTGCTGGTGCTGAGCTCCGCGCCACTGGCGTCTCGGCGACCCGACGGCCCACAAGTGGAGGTCTCATAGGGCTCCAGCTCCAGCTCCATAGGGCTCCAGCTCGATTTTTGGGTATGGGTCAAAATGAAACCACCAGCCGCAGTTTTGAGTCCTTGCTTCCATTTACCAGGGTTCCATTTGGGGTACATATGTTGGACCCACAGCCATTGCCCTTTTTGGCTTTCAAGCGTCACCTGTTTGGCCCACAGGCGAGTGTCCCTTGCAAGGGTGATGCCCGAAATTCTTCGACGAACTGAGCGTGTCGTTTTGCCCAAGAAGGAAGCTATGGGTCGATAGGCCCAGATAGGTTCTGGGGTGGTTCGGAGGGTACAGAGGTTCCAGGCCTGTTGGGGGATATCATCAGGGTTTATGTTGGAGGTATTTCTTTCTGGGGTTTCAGAGGAATCCAACAGGAACACCACCCAAAAGTGGGGGTCAGCTAGTAAACGACACTCCCATCAAAGAGACCGTCGACCGTTTGATCGGACCAGTCAAGGTTCCCCATGGTTGGATTCCCATTTTTGGTGGCCCGCGCGCACGCAAAGGTGATCACATTTTATTCCTGGGTTCTTTGGGCTGAGAGGTTGGTTCAAAACATTCATTCCATCCAGATTGGGGGAAAGCCAAAATCCAGTTGGAAGGCCGAAGCCCGTTTTCATGTGTAGGGTTCCCTTGAAGCTTTACCAGCACTTTGGCAGAATGAGTCAATGGTGTTCGCGGCAAAATCCAGTTGGAAGGCCGAAGCCCGTTTTCATGTGTAGGGTTCCCTTGAAGCTTTACCAACACTTTGGCAGAATGAGTCAATGGTGTTCGCGGCGGCTTTTTTGGGTTGGTTTGAAGGGAAACCGAAGGGACAACCGCCGTTTCTTTTGTTTTTGGGGGTTGGGGAGGGACATAATTTCAACGCACACACCAAGAACAAGGCAAAATCCGGGTTTCGAAGCGAAGCCCGGAGGAAAATGTGGCCTTGTCTTAAATTGGGATTTGGCAACCCCCTCATACAGACCACTTTCCGGTTTTCCTTATTCCAGGTTTTTGGGGCTGATAGTAATGTTCACGGACTGATGCCGTCCAATGATGAATGAACCTGCCACCAACCAATGGCCATCAAATGGTTGGTCTATGTTGGTCTATTGACCTCTTTTTTTTCTCGGGGGGGGGTTGACAGCCGTTGGGTGGCTGGCAGTGGATAATTGCGGGATGTTCCCCTAAAAAGTGAAGGTTCCCTTTCCAACTGGACACACCGTATTGATCATTAATCCTGGGAGGGGTATTTATTTTAGGTTTTTTTTTTTTTGGTTTTTCTCGTTTTTTTTGGGATTTTTTTTCGCTTCTGGCTTCTTGGCTTCTTGGCTTCTTGGCTTCTTGGCTTCTTGGCTTCTTGGCTTCTTGGCTTCTCGGCTTCTTGGCTTCTTGGCTTTTCGGCTTCCTGGCTTCTTGGCTTCTCGGCTTCTCAGCTTCTGGGCTTCTTGGCTTTTTGGCTTCTTGGCTTCTCGGCTTCTTGGCTTCTTGGCTTTTCGGCTTCCTGGCTTCTCGGCTTCTCGGCTTCTCGGCTTCTGGGCTTCTTGGCTTTTTGGCTTCTTGGCTTCTTGGCTTCTTGGCTTTTCGGCTTTTCGGCTTCTCGGCTTCTGGGCTTCTGGGCTTCTAGGCTTTTAGGTTTTTTGCTCGTTTATGCGGCTTTTGGTGGCTTTTTGGCTTTTCGCATCCTCTGCATAGTTCCTCTTCGGCAGGTGGCGTTTTTCCGACATCATGGGGGGGGCTGCCGCCCCCCCCAACCCCCCCGCTACGTTTTAGATTTTCTGCAGAGATTTAATTAGTTGCACCCCTAGTTGAATCATCAATTCTTCGAACATCATGGGGGGGTTGCACCCCTAGTTGAATCATCAATTCTTCGATCATGGGGGGGTTTTTAGATTTTCTACAGAGATTTAATTAATTGCACCCCTAGTTGAATCATCAATTCTTCGAACATCATGGGGGGGCTGCCGCCCCCCCCAACCCCCCCGCTACTTTTTAGACTTTTTGCAGAGATTTAATTGCACCCCTATTCAAATCATCACTTCTGCAAACAACATCGGGGGGGCTGCCGCCCCCCCCAACCCCCCCGCTACTTTTTATATTTTTTTACAGGGATTGACATGCCCTCCTACTTGAATCATCATTTCTTTGACCCCGTCACACGATTTGTGGGTGATGCTAGGGATGTTGGTGGGACATGCGGGGTATATTTCGCGAGAACATGCTGTAAAATACGACACTTTACTGGCCCGGCAGAGATTGAATTGCACCCCTGTTTGAATCATCACTTTTTCGAGCGTCCAATTTCGCGAGAAAATGCTGCAAAATACGACATTTTAGGTAATCTGTGTAGTCCGTGTATGTCTGTATGTATGCATTTCTTCGAACATCATAGGGGAAGCCACCCCCGCCAACCCTACCGCTGCCTTTTAAATTCTATCACACCCTTTCTTGAATCATTGCATCCCTACTTGAATCACCACTTCTTCCGACATCATGGGGGGGCTGCCGCCCCCCCCAACCCCCCCGCTACGTTTTAGATTTTCTACAGAGATTTAATTAATTGCACCCCTAGTTGAATCATCAATTCTTCGAACATCATGGGGGGGCTGCGCCCCCCCCGCAACCCCCCCGCTACTTTTTAGACTTTTTGCAGAGATTTAATTGCACCCCTGTTCGAATCATCACTACCCCGCTCTGTTTTTCTTAATTGTTTTTTTTTTGTATTTTTTTGCTGGGATTGAAATGCCCTCCTGTTTGAAGCATTATTGTTTTGACCCCGTCAACCCGCCAGCTACATTTTTGGATTTTGTTACCCACGATTTGTTGGTGATGCTAGGGATGTTGGTCGGACATGCGGGGGATGTTGAAAACGATGCTAGGGATGTTGACGAGCTGTAAATGCGTCAATTTCGCGAGAAAATGCTGCAAAATACGACATTTTGCTGGCCCGGACAAAAAACGAAAAAAACAAAAAAAAAAAAAAAACAAAAAAAAAAAACGAAAAAAAAATCCCAAAATAAATCCGCACCCTTAATCCTGAGTCCCCATGGTCGGAAACCGCAGCATGCGGGGGATTCCCAGGTAAATTGAGAAAGTTCACCATGTTCACCTAGGAGTTGACGCTGTGAGTGCCTTGCAGTACAGCCCAGATGGTCAACAACTTGCCATGGACGAATTCCCAACTGGGTTTCAAAAGCGCATGCAAACGATGATTCCAGGCTCTTCTATCAATGGGTTGGCTTCCAGGGTGGTTTTCGAGGAAGTTCGGGTTTCCTTATGCCAAGCACAGAAGCTTAGACAACTTGGTTTAACTTCCTCGAGATTCTCTTGCAACCCACCCCTAGGACAGGGTACCCTTGCTTCTTTGGTTTCGAAACGGGGGCAAAGGCAAGCAAGCCATCTAGATATGATGTTGCTGGTCTCAAACCACTCATGCATCCTCATGCCGGTCTTGCTTCCCCGCAAATGTTCTTAGAGGGTCGAGAGGGTCGAACCTTTGTTGATTTGGGTTTTGTGGGTATGTGTTCAAAGGTGGGGACCCCGAAAATTGTTTTGTTGTTTTCGAATGTGGGTCCTCCCCAAAGAGATCACAAGGGTTCCCTCGTAAAAATACCCACGCCGATTTGGTTCCCGTTTGTGTTTGCTTCCGTGAGGAAGAGCAGCTGGAGGCGAGCAGTGCGCCAAATGGGTGGACGACAGAGGGTGCACGCCCAGGAAGCATGTCTGTGTCGCTGCGGTTATTTCAACAATTGGACATGTAGAATTTGCAACAGTAGCTTGGCAGTAGCCAGGCTTTCAGCTTTCTACCCGTTAGGCTTTTCGTTCATATTCTTGTCATGGATTGCTGTCCATAGGATCGTGGTGCTGTTGTGCTCCCAAAAGCTTCTCGCCCCAGCTTCGCTGCATCTAGTTAGCTACTCAAACAGATGTTGTCACATTCAGCGGTACAACCAACAAGCCGATACATGGTCATCTGGGTGGGCTTGTCGAAGCATGACACATCATGAGGGCCAACGTGTCCTAAATTTCTCGACCCCCGTCAAACGACTGATGCAAAAAAGGAAAGAAGCCGGATTAGCCAGATTCCGTCAGGCAGGAGGGGCATTGCAAGAGCTACAACGGACGGAACCAATATCAAGTCAGTTAATTACCCCCCGCAAATTGACAGTGGAACTCTCTGACAACTACATCAGTCACGGCCAGATGTTTGCTGTCATGGTGCCCTCCAAACACACACACACACAGCCCAAACCTCAAGCTGCAGCAACGTGTTGCTCTGCTGAATCACGTTTACAATGGACGTAGCCCTGACCCTCAAGCAAACAGGATCCAAACAGTTTCCAGGAGATACCCAACACTTGACCATTAAACTTCATGCAAAAGCCAAACGTCCGACGAACAGATGCTGCACAGTTCTCACTTTCAATGGCAACCAGGGAGCCAGCAACTCTTCATTTGACACACTTATTGCTGCTTACGGCCCGTTGGCATCAGCAAGGTCCCCCCCCCAAAACGATTTGTGTTAGACTACCTGCGACTGCCTTGTTGGAACATTGCTTGCCCTTCCACCCCAAAAACATGCCAAAGCTTCCCCGTTGCTCGTCGAGCCAAGGGGGTGTCTTTCTTTCAAGGGCACCAGGGGGTTGGCCTTGTGGCCAAGAGGAATTTGGGAGGTTCCCTCATTTGAGAGCCAGGGGACCACAGGTTTTAGTCTACTTTTCATTCCAGGGTTCCATTCAGGCGCCTATCTTTGAGCTACACCGCTCAGCGAATCCCAGGGGCTTGCCACGGATTTTCATTCGCCGGGAGGTGGTGGGCGAAGTCACGGTCTCCCTGCGCCTTGTCAGTCAACCTTGGCTCTTGTGCCCAGGCCGGCCCCTAAGTAACGTATGTAAGGGGGGCGTACTTTCACTAGGCAAGAAAGATAAACCTGCTCAAACATTTTCATTTTTTCCTTTGCGTGGAGAATGGATTGCCCCTGAAGAGAAGGACGGATGAACAGGGGGAATCAATTCATGGGACGATGTTTGACATGTCCCTCAGGAGGCCAGACACAGGTCCCTGCCGCGCATGTTTGTTTGTGTCCCCAACCGCTACTTGCAATCAGCTTCTTGCGGTGGTCCAAAAATTGACTAGCCATTGTTTGTGTCCATGCGGCCTACTGCATACCGTACTGGAGAAGGCTTGAGCCACCTGGTTCGGGGCTTTCCAACCGTTCCCATGGGCCGTAAGAACTTTGACACAATTCCATGCGAAACAGAGAGCCGGCAAGGATTCGGATTGCTGAGCAACAGTTTGCTTTGTTCTCGCTTGTTTCCGATGATTCTCTTCTGCAGGCAAGAGTTTGTCTCCAAGAAAGCGCGACCCCCTTCAACCTCCCGTTGGCATCCAACTTACGCCAACAACAATTCAGAAGGACCTTAACGGGGGATCCCTAAACGGGTCAGGGTTTCAGGCAGATTCTGGGCAACACCAGTTTTGTTTCAGAAAGCAAGCAAGGTTGTTGCACACATAGCTGTTGATCTGTAGTTTCTTGTAAACGTTGTGGAGCTTTTGCAGGCTGCCCCAAACTGCCCAAGCTTGGTGGGGCAATTTTTGGCGCAATTAATCTGCCCATTTAAGCCCATTGACGCCTGAAATGTGCACTGTTGTTGCATGTGATTGCCCGAATCTGCCTGAATATGCCTGAACTTGCCTCACCTTTTGCTCTATGGTGCTTTCGTACCTCGACAGCCCCTGCATAACTGCATGGCATTTTGTCCCCATTGTGTACAACCAATTTTTGAGATTCAGCAGTCGCCCAGTACCGCCCCGAAATTGTCCGAAACAGCCTGGGACGAATCCCGTGTGCGCGATCCCGTTAAGGGCCACCAAGAAAATGCGGCTTCTCTGTTTGGCTTTCCTTTCAAACAATGTGCATCTCCCTTGGGTTTCCCTCAAAACACCGCTGATTTCTGCTTGGTTTCGCCCAAGCTCAGGGAACCCTCAATCAGTGGTTTGGATTGGTGCTTGGGGATTTGACCATCCCTGCTTGCAGAGGGTAAATGGGAAACCCCTCCAAAGCACCAATCCTGACAATCCCAAGGTTCCTGAGCTGCAGCGCCCCCGAGTGCGACGTGCTGGCGCGTCTCTGCGTGGTACGGGACGCCGTCAAAGACAACAACCCGCTAGCCGCGCTGGGCATCGGTGGCGCCAAATCGGCCGCTCGGTCGCTCGTTTTCGCACGCCTTCGGCGGTGGGGTAGCCCCCCAGTAGCCCCCTACTCTTGGTCCATTGGCTGAAGAATATGCTTGATATCCCACCCATCCCCTGTTTGTTGTTAATTCAGGGAACCTAGCACTACTGCAGACATACATATGGTTATTTGTCCAAAGGGCTCAAACGAAGGGAGGATTAGCGTGGGCCCACAAAATCCTCGGGTTTACAGAAAAAAACCTGGGTTTTACAGAAGAAACTTCGTTTGAGTGGCCCTCTTTTGGGTTAGTGCTGTACGGAAGGAGGGGTTTCATAGGCCGGCAAACGGATGATTCGCCGCACCTGATCCCTTCATTGCTGGGCGAATGTTTGATCGGATCTTACTATGCGCCTGTACTTTGAAGATTGATTCGTTGCAATTCCTGTCAAACTCGGCCGGGATCTCTCTTGTTAGGTCTCCTCGGCGGCTGCTTCCCAAACATGGGTACAGCATGCCGTTCTCCTCGGGCAAATCACAACATCGACGAAGACAAATGCTCCACGCGGGTGTTTTGTGAGGGTACTCTGGATTGTCGAAGGGAACCTGGAAGGGAGCCCATTGGGCCATGCTCGGAGTGAATTGGCTTGCTGAGGTCAACCTATGTGAAAACATCGCCAGGGTAAAATTCCAGGAGGCGGGCGAGGGCTGTGAGGGCTGTGAGGGCTGTGCTGGTCACCTGTCGTGGATTTTGCCCCGAAGCGGTGATGCCCTGCTCATTTGGTGTCTCGTTGGAATTCCCGGCCTTGAGCTGAGAAAACCGGTTTCCAGGGAAAACGAAAGCGGAGAAAGTCTTTAAGTGAGCACCAGGCACGTGACAGAAGAAAGGAAGCCATCCAGTCTGTTTGCTCGGTCTGGGAATCAGAATGGTGGAGGTTGCGGTATCTTTGTTTGCCGCCGGGCCTTACGAGAGTTCCCACACTCAAGGGGGTCCCTTTGTCTTAACCCCCCCTTGCTGCACTGAGCACGCTATAGACTGTGAGGTGCCATCTCACTTCTCTCAGCACTCCTTGCCTTGTTACTGTTTCTATTGCGCAGTGGAGTCATTGCTTGACTTTCGGGGGGGGGGGGATCAAAGTGAGAACTGGGGGTGTGTCCCTTTGACCTAGCAAGGGGCGGCAAGGGGTAGAACTAAAAAGCAGCATTAATGCGAGTTGATGTCAGGAAAGACTCTCTGACTTCTTGCCTATCAAGTGTGCAGTGGCGGCTAACCAAGGTTGTGGCCAACCCAGAACAAGGTGGTGCATGCTTTGCTTGCCTTCTTGCCTGCTTGCCTGGTTGCTGACTTGCCTACTGACTTGGCTGGTTGGTTTGGCTTCCTTCAGTTTTCGCCGGCATGCATGGGTTTTTCTCGCCTTTCCTTCGGCCCAAAAAATGAAGAAAACGGCCAAACTGAGGAGGTGACGCGCCTGGACCTGTCGTTGGGCTTCACCGCCTGCCGCTTCCGGCCGGGCGACCAGGCGGGAGTGGTGGCTGCTGGAGTTACACCTTTGATCTTTGGGGTCAGTGGTGGTTTTTGGAGTTGTCGTTTGGGGGTGAAACCGCTGGTTCTTGCAAATTACCACGCTCCTGAAGTTACCGTTCTTGTAGTGGAGGTTGGACCCCGCTGTGGATGGACGAATTTTCTGCACCACCTAAGAAACCATAAGAAACCCTGGTTTCTGATGATTCCCCCGTAAATACCAACGAACGTTACGGTTTCCCCTGGCCTCATGTCGTGGTGCGGTCTCGGATTTCGGCGTCCAGGGGGTTTCGCCAGCAGAGGTGCGGCTGCACATCTGCTCCGCCGCGCACCCCCGGTGGCTGCGCCACCCCTTGCAGCCACCAGGGGAGGACTGGCTGCTGGGCGACAGCGAGGCCGGGGAAGTCGCAGTCGAAGCCGCGGGTTCCGAGGGCCGAGTTCGGGCCCGCCTAGGTTCCATGGAAGCCGGGGAAAAACCACGCGACAAGAAGCAGTTTCTGGAGCTTCTTTGGGCGGCTCGACCTATTTTCTGGGGGGGTTTTAGTTTCATTTGAATTGAGTTGTGGAGAGAGCAGTTGCGAGAACTGAGGGTTTTGGCACAAACGAAGCATGAACCTGAGGCAGTTGTCTCAAGGATGGCCACTTTAGTATGACAGACAGTGATATTTGACATACACATTGACCAGGCCCACCATTTGGGGTTGTTTCTGTGGTTTACTAAGAAGCTCAGCACTTGCTTGCAGCACGACCAGAACAAATTATGTCTGAAATGCGGGCGTGGAACGGTGTACTTTTGCAACATCAAGGTGGTGTGCGGAATCATAGCGGCGCACTGGGCAACGTCGAAATCACCTCTGGAATTAACCAACCCTCCATTCTAAGAAGCCGAAGTCCTACAGGAAAACCCACTGATTTTGGGAGGGTGTTTGGCCTATGTCCCTTTCGACCTTCCGATGCCCTCCCACCCACTAACATCGGTGTTTGCAAGCCCCTTTCCAAGAGGAGAGTCGTCTTTCTGCAGGGGTCTGTGCACTTCCATGTTTGTCGGGGAGTGTCTATTTTGAGCCGCTCAGCCCGTTCCACGAGTTCACAGGTCGGCGCCCCTGCGAAAATCACTATCCTCTCCGAGCGGCCCTCCCGGCTCCGGCTGAGTCTGCGCAGTTCCGAAGTCGTGGCCGCTTGAGGCGGGAAAAAGGCGGACTGCGGCCCGACCTGCAAGGGGAGGTTAAACAATTCTGCATTCGCCGAGTAAAAATGTAAAATGAAGGTCACAAAGCTTCGAGGTTGAACAAGGGTCACACAGGCCTCAGTCCTTATAACATCCAAGCCTTTGAGCTCATTGCCAGACTTGGCGGGAGACGTCTTGACCTTTTGGGCGTTTGTCCAAAGACTTGGTTGAGGTTGGGACCCAAAAAACATGTTGGTCTTTCTTTTTGGTGTCCCTTCAAAGCCGCAAAAAGCGGGTACCCCCAAAAAGACACACCCGCATGTGTCTACGTACTATTATAAACATGTACCTCGGCTGCTTTTGAGTGCTGGCATCTTGCAAAGGTTGTTGGGCAGGTGGGGTGGGGGAGGGGGAGGCTCCAACGTGTAAGATTTGGTGACCCAGGCATGACAAGTTACCAGTTGAGACGTCTCCCCGTGAACCTCCGGTGCATTTCATGCCATGAAAACCGCATTTATTCTTTTCAGCTACTCTCAAGATAAAGGTGCAGACTTGGAGAATCTTGCTAATAATGGTGTTCTATTCATGTTATAGATCATTCATCCAACATCATTCAGCCATTCCGTCAATTAATGATGTTGACATTTATGTTGCAGATGTAATGCTCCAATTATTTTTAAACATATTACTGATATATTGTTTTTGGCTTCGGGGCATCCTGTAACAAAGTAGTCTTCCCAGGTCTTCTTCGAATGCAATTAGCGAGGGGGTCCCGGCAAGACCACTTTGGCAGAGGTCCACGAAGGTTCAAGACTGTGTTTTCAAGTTTTTCCCAGGATTTGGAGGCGGCATTTCATTCAATGAAGCATGGAAAACATGGTCCTGGCGGCACCTTGGTCTGGTTGCATCGTGTAAGGCGCTACGATGCCGCCACCTACGCCAAGCCTGCCAGGGCCTCAGTGAGTCGCTCGGATTCCGTCCGACCCAGTAGGAGTATACAATGTGTATGAAGCTCTCCAGGAGGTCCCAGCGACTCAGCGACCACCCGGGTTGGGGCCTAACCCAAACCTGCACGCCTTAGCTCGAGGCTGCAGCAGGTTCCGTCAGCGACTTGTATAAAGTTATAAATAAGTTATAAAGGTTTCCCCACGCCCTTCTCCCCCTTCGGAATTTAGTGGGACAGCCAGTAATCGGCATGAAGTTAATGGGAGAGGCTTTGCCGGACATCAGTTTGAATTGAACATCATGACCAATCAAGGTGTGTCTTAAAATGTGGGGGCAAAATAATTAGCTGGTTTCCCGCTACCATGCAGAAACAATACCCCATTCGGAGCAGGGACGCCTGATATTTCGCTGCGCCCGTTGCAGGCGGAAGATGATGGGCCCGACTTCGTGGGCACAGTCAGGGCCTCGCTTGCCCAAAGCGAGCCGACTTTTTCATCTTGTGGTTTCCCTAGTTGCGCCATTTTTATTGTCATGGCCCCAACACGTGAACCTTTTATTTGTGGGTCCAAATTGGGCAACTGAGCTTGGGATTGAGTTTCAAGGGAAACCAAAAGGAAACCATTCCCTATATTGACACATACCCAAGCTGTGTCAAAGTACTGTGGATGCACAAAACCGTTTCGCAGCAATTGATAGATGTGGGCATAGAGCAAACTCCGGCTGCCGCCCAGATTTATGTTCAAGTCCAGCAGCTCAAACTTGCCCTGCAAGACTATTTCTGGACCACCCTGATATCCGCAACAACTGACTCGAAAGACACAAGTTTGGGAGGCCAAGCACTTGTATATTGACCCCCAAGGAAACGCCGGCAGTTGATTCAACACGGCCTCCCCATATCTAGCCTGCTTGCGTGCAAGTACTGATCAGCGTGTGTCTTGTGGGTTTCCTGGTGAAAAGAATGCCATTTTACGAGAGAAATATGAAACGCCTGCTGTTCACCCACCACTTTCATGGCCTCAAGGAAGTATCCTCACATTGTTCTTTCAAAGTGCCGGTTTTCTGGTTGCTCCCTATCAAGGCCCATCAGTTGTACATTCAGGCTCTTTTTCTTTTCTAGCCGTTCCCCATTGTGTTGAGGGATCCTTTTTTTAAAACAGCATATCCCTGGGGAAAATATGAGTCGTCTCTTCAAGAAGGATTAGCGAAGAGAATGCGGAAGCAACCCTTAGAGCTGTCTCAAGTTTGGCCTACAGCACTTACAGTCACAGGTAGGTCGAGCCATCCCCCCCCCAAGACTTTGATAGGTCACTCGTCTTTTGTGCAAGTTGGTACCATATGTTTGTGGCTTTGAAGCACCAAAAGAAACCCCCACATGATGCCTTTTTCGGCGCATGGCCCACAACGGTTGAGTTCCCCAGAGAGAAACACACACAGTTGACAGATTCCACAAATGTCCAAAAGCAAGTGGGTCAATTGGGAGACCCAGATTGCACAGGTCCTGTGGCACAAGATGTTTTAACAAACACTCTTATGAGCTTCCATTTGCTTAAGTTGTTTTTTTGTTTAAACCCTGTTGGACTATTGATGTTTTTTCCAGGGGTCTCAACCAAATGGAAGTGAACCACCTGGCTTAGACGAGCTTTGGCCCTCAGTTCGGCCAAATCGCTGAGAACTACACGACCAATGCGGTGAAGAAGCTGATCAAGCTCGCCGACTGCTCGGCCTGTCGCGCTTTGATCTGCGGGGGGGGGGGGGGGGATTGGTTGGTGGTCATGGACCCCTCTACTGTGTAGTTCTTCTTCTTTTTTTTTTAAAGCAAACCTGTCCGTTTTTTCTGGGACCCTGGTTTCAACGTCAAGTTTTTGTGCTTCAAGTCCCTTTGCAAAGGCTCGGTCAGCGTTTCGTGGGCTTTTGGAGATCCCAGGCTCCCAGTTGGTTTCGCACTGTCGGCTCCCAGATATCGATGGCTCGGAGCCCGGGGGCTGGACTCACAAATCTTCTCCGAGTTCGGGGGCTCAACATGGCCGGTGTCCCTTCGGTTTTCGCCGAAGGCCGACCAAAAGGGGTTTGTCCCAAAGAGGCTGCCCTCATATCAGAAAAGGGGGAAGATTGGAAGAAGTTACTTAGGGACATGCTATTGTTCTCAGGTTCTGTTGAGGGGACACATTTTTTTCTGGAGCTGGTATCAGACACTTGCCCGGGGTCTTCCCCTCACGCCATCCTGCAAAAGAACAGGGCCCGAACTGGCACAGTTGTGCCCAAAAAGAAGTGAACCACGGGCATGGTTCATGTATGTTCATGTACTTTTAATTTGCCACGGGGTCTAGGGTCTTTTCTCCCAGTTGTGGAGTGGCTTCGATTTTGCCTTCATCCAACTGAACCGAGCAAAGGGCTGCAAGGATTTGGGCAAGTTCTATTTAATTTACATCACCGAAGTAGACCAGTCCGACGGATGAACCTAACCACAACCTCAGCCAAGCCAAGCCATCTACGTCCGAAGCCCCTCCGGTCGAGGCCAAGGAGGACCCCTCACCCATCGACTTGCTCCTCACTGCGGAGTGGCCCCGCGGCATGGAGGCAGCGAGGGCTTCCGGGCCTCAACTCCCCGGATGAATGCGCCCCTGGTTGATACATATAGGGGGGCTGCTCCCTTTCAGTCTGGGTTCGTCATGGTTCATTACTTTTGGAAGGGGCACCTCCCGAATCATTGGTGGGGCGGGCTTATTAATCCCCCCTTTACAGTTGGCTAAAAGTAGATGGCACAATTCCCACGCTTTGCTTCTTTTGTCAAGCCATTCCCTTTGCTTGCCTACTTGTTCCGCAGCGCCCCGGGAAACACACATTAATTGGGGAAGACTAAAGTAGTCCAAAACTGGACGTGTGTTCGGCTGGGCCTGTGGGTCGGTGGTGTGTTTGGGGTGGTAGCAGCCGTTCAGCAGCTTGATTTTATTAGAAGCAGGGCACAAGGCAGCACCAAGGTGTTAAAAGAATGGACACTACTTTGGACAACCCCCAAGATAGTGGGGATCAGTTGGCTCCATGAAGGGTCCGCCCACTTTCAAAGAGGGCAATGCTTGGGGTCGCCCATGGGAACCCAAGTGCGGCCGGAGAGACGATCTTTGGGCCGGGTTTCAGGACCCTCGGATCGACATCTCCCGTTTTCCAACTGTTGTTTAGGCCACTTCATTGGGCTTGTGTTACTTGTATATAAGAATGTTGCGCACAAATTTGCTTTAGCTGCTTGAAATGCCAATCACATAGATCGACATAAACTTTCCCTTGTGCGTTTACGGAGGGCACGAATCACTGAACAAGTTCACACTGTTCACACAAGCCTACGCAAAACGAGGCCCCGAGCTAGGACCCTGTTTGGGAATCGCGGGCCCAAGGGCTATTGAACAAGGCTTTTGGTGTGACCGAATCGAGATGCGTATAAGTCATCTTGTCCAGTACTCCCATTCAATTGAATACGGAAGGAACCCAAAAAGGGGGACTTGTTTTAGGAGTGCCCTCTATGAGTGCTCTCTGGGTTCTATGTTCATCTGTAGGGGAGAAAAGCTACAAGAGGTTCGACCGAGCTTTGCTCGTTCGGGCTTGGAGCAACGTGAAAATGGAGAGACCGTTTTCGAAGGTCTTCCGAAGGACTCCAAAGAGATGAAGAGCGCGCATCACCTCCAAAACCGGAAGCCAAACAGTAGGCTGTGTGTTTTTTCTCGTCGGTTTCCATTTGAACAACCTAGTGTGGCTCTTTTTCGCCTGGACTTTCCCCTGATTTTTTTCAACCCACAATTCACGGTGGTGTCCCTTCCCTCTCACCCAACACATGTCTTTTTAATTGCCTTCTTTCAATGAAACAAAGGCAGCATATGTGAAAGAGTTGCCAAGGAAAGTGAACCCTGTGTAGAATAAAACCAGACTATGCCTGGGACAGGTTTTGTTACATAAATGGTGTTCTTTCATGCTATTTACTGTCTTTTGCTGTACTGTCCCGGCGGAACCTTCCCCTCGGCGAGTCGCAGGAGCGAGTCGAGGAGGCCGAGAGGCCCACGGATCCGGATGGCCGCGGCCTCGTCTCGCGGGACCCGTGGGACCCGGTCGATGGCCAGGGCTGTGTGGCCTCGCTCCGGATCGAGCAGGGAATGGGAAGTGGACTGAACCCCAAAACACCTGCTGGTGCTCAGAGAGAATGAGGGGAGTATAAACCATCCCTAGGGGAATCCCCTAAGAAATTTCATTGGCCCCCATTAACCGTCCCTGGTGGATTTCCTTTAGCAGGGAATGTTGGAATGACCCCTTTGCAAAATCCCTGGTGGTTTCCTTCAAGGGAATCCCCTTCCGGCTTACTCATTCCCAACACCCGGAACACGCGTATTTGTTTAAAATCCTGGGTAGCTTCCAGGGGACGGTTTATGATACTGGGTCCGCCAAAAAAGCTGTGGCACGGCTTATTGATGTTCTGCTGGCTTTCATAAAGGTTATAGGGTGTCCCTTTTTTGTTGGTTTTAAAGGAACGCCCAAAGGGTTTCGTAGAGGTTATTTCACTTGCAAGTCAATCGACCCGATCTGACATATCTGACCTTTTGGTTCCCCCTTTTTGGTCTATTGTGACTGGCCCTTTGGGTACCTCTTATTTGTGGGCCCTTTGGGCAACTGAGTTACAGTAAGGCCTGATACGGCCTGTAAACCTTTACCGTGCATGTAGAACCAGTTGGGGTTTGGGCGCTGCTCAATTCAAAAGCAACTCCAAGTGTTTGCTTGCCCACTGCAGTATGTCTTGGCAGCAAAAAAACAGCTGTAGCAGCTGAACAGGTGGTCCATTGCAGTTTCAAGTGTTGCCTATTCGAGTATTCAGGTCGTTTTCGTGCCAAAGCATGTTTTTTTGCCCGACGGCGGGGGGGAGGAGGTTGGTTAAACATAAAACATACATGGCACTGCTGTTTATTGGTTCGAATCATGCACCAGAACCGTTTTTTTTTGGTTTAAGCCCACACACCTCAGGTTGGCGACTCTTTTGAGCTTCAGTTCCGCAAATGCTTAAAAGTTGGGTGAATGTCGCGAACTGCAAGTGCTTGAGCAAGCGGTGCAACTCAGATTTTTGTGGGATTCAGATGCTTGCGTTCCAAGATTCGACTCCTGTTGATTGTGTGGAGCCAGTTCATGCAAGTGGTTGCAGTGCTAGCAGCCCTTGAACAGGTTCCACTCCTTGGTTGGGGGGTGACATGGCCCTGTCTATAGACATCACGACTTTGCATCTTGATTAGGCCATCCCAACCCCACCCCCCTCCCCCTTAAGGTTGCGCTCATGTGGTCACCCAGAACCCCAGAACCCGGCGTGCTGTTGGTCTCACTCCCATGCGCAGCTGCTTCTATCCAAGCGGGCCCAGCCTGCTGACAGCATCGCACGAAGTCGGTGTGCCTTCCGAAGCCAGTGATTGGTTTGCCTCTGGCGCGCCTTCAAAAACACTCATGTTCGTGTGGCTGGACAGAGTGCCAATGGGAACGGTTGGCTTTCTTCATGGCAGAGGGGATGCCTTGCGACATGTTTAGCGTACCCATGACAGCCTACACAGTTCAAGGAAGGGAGCTGCAGCGCTATGGGCCCCAGGTGTGGCTTTCCAAACTGACAGCATTGCCCGGCCTACATATTTCTCCAAAGTTGCTTGTTCGACCAGGGCGGGTCATTCCGAAGAAAAAAAAGGTACAAGGGACACACTGCCAGCCTTCAAAAGCATGCCAACTTGTGGAAGGTACAAGTTTCTTTGATGTTCGGCTTCCCGCGCATAGCCGCTTCTCAACAAGACGTGGTGAACTCCAAGTCCCGCTGCTGGCGACCGTCGCGAGTTGCCGTGCCGGCGGCTTGGCAAGTGTGAGAGGCTGAAGGGTGAACCAAGGGAGTTGAAAGACGGCTGAAGCTCAAGGCAAAATCTAAGTTGCCCAAAGATCGCACCAGTTTCCACTAGCGTTTCGAATTTGGGAGCTTCTCCCACCCTGTGGAAGGTAATGCTTCACCTTCACTGGAACAACATGGGTAGTGGCTAAACTTACTAAACGACCACCCACCCTCCGATGCGGCTGCAAGCTCGCAGAGCTTAAATGTGGGGCCGGGGTTGTACAAACTCCAATGGCTTTGTGTATTGTCGCAGGATGCAATTAAGGCGGACAACTCCCCACATCTCCCCACTTTGAATCTTTTTGATTCCGCAGTTTGTGGTTGACCCTTCGTAAATGACAACCCAAGCTATTTTGCTTCAGTCAGCGTGCAACATTTGGGAGGACGTTTGTCATGAAAACCAGGGGACATGCGCTAGGTGTGTCTTTGGGCTTCTGGTAGGACAGTAGCCTGGAGTGGAACTGTGGAGCCATTGCATGCGCTTGCAAGGTGGCGTCATGTCGAGGCGCGGGCCAACGTTTTGTGGCAAGGCGTTTTTTTAGGCCTAGCCTAAAGCCAAAGGAACCCAAATTAGGGCGTTCCCCCCACCATATTCTCATAAAAGTTGGGAGTGGGAGCTCTTGCTGGCATGCATTTTGCTGGGGTTTGCAGGGCTCGATGGCCGAATTGGACCAGTGGCTTTACCCAGCATGTGCTGGAGGACCCAGTTGATCCTAGTGGCTGCCGGGTTAGATATGGCCATTCTGTCCAGATCTGATGTAGCATGGCCGGGTCACAGAAGGTGAATGGTCTCCGGTGGCTTTTGGCTTCCCTTTGGAAGGGGATAGAGCCCAGAAAAAGTTCAGCAGGCCTTCCTTTTCAAGATTCGGCTGTTTCAACTTGCTGGTTGGCTTTGGTCTTACTAGCACGCCCAAAGCGAATCGACCTTTTGAACAGTGTCTGCTTTCTCCTTTTGGTGTTCATTTTCGCCATGGCCACAAAAGATGGCAACTGAGAACTTGCAGATTTCCTGTGCGATGGTTCTTGCTGAGAATGGCTGAGGGGATCCACAGGAGTAGCTGAGATTAAATGGTAGACAACGTTTTTCTGGTGCAAAAACCCCTGCGGGTTTTGGTCGTTTTGATGTGGCCCCAGCATTCTGGCACTGGAAACGAGAAACGCGCCTGTTTGGGATGGGTCAAAGTTGCCTTGGAATGGCTGAACCATTTTGGGCAAGTGAAGGTACGTAGATGTAATCATGGCTTATTGACGGGTGGCCCACGGGCGCGGGAGCTTAGGGTGGGTTCCATGTTGGCGGACACATGTACCTATCGGTTTCGGGATTTGGCTGTGGGTCAAAACCAATGGTACCATTTTGGGATAGGTGCACACCACCCATGGCCATTTCAAATGGAAGCCAAAAGGCAGTCGCCAGACCACAGACCTGCGCGGCCTTCGGCTCAGTGCCAAGCCAGGCTCCTGCTTAAGCAGCGCTCCCATCGAATCCCGGCGACCACGCCGGGCTTTCCCGCTAAAAATGAGCTTTCCATCCAAGCTCTGGAAATTGCCCGACGGCAGCCAGAAATCAAGGCTCTCAAGCTTTTAAGCTTTTGACATCTCCTTGTGAAGTGCTCATTTGACGGTGGGGGCGCTGGTTTGAGTTTCATATCTTGATCCGATGGCCGTGGTTGTGCTTGCCCTGCTGCTGCCTTTGGCTTCGGCCTTGGTTGATTCGACGGATGTGGAAGAGGAAGGCGTGGACATTGTGATCCCGTCCGGATGCCGCGCAGACAACTACCTGCTGGGACAGCATATTGAGGAGGCGTACCCCGAAGTGATCAGTACCACTTTCCTGCTACACTTTTTTGGCCAGGCTGCTGGCCATTTCTTACCCTAGCCGGCAAAAGGGATTAGTAGGAGACCCTGATCAACTGGACAAACATGTCAAGCAGGAGCAAAGAGGCCCACCAGACTCCCCAGCAGGCACATCCCTTTTTTCCTTGCCCCAAGCCCACCAAGGGTATGTCTAGTATGACCAGCCTGCAACCGAGGTACAGGCGCGACGTCGACAACGACCAGTCATTGCTCTTCACGCTTCAGTCCATCAAGAAGAATGCAGCCTGGGCGCGTAGGCGGGCGGGCTGAATCCAATGGTTCCATTTGGGAGTTCCGGGCTTTGTTTTTCCCAAGGGCCAACATCGCAATGGGAGTTCCCACATTTGAGAACCCGTGCGAAGGGATGCCCCAAGAAAGCATCTGGAGTGTCACTCTTTGAGAGACGGCCAACGGAGCCTTGGTTTGAATTTGTGCAGGCGTGTTTCTGTACGGATTGTGCATTTCAGGGCGGTGAATTCCAGAAATGATATGCAGGGTATGTGGTTCTGATTTTGGGTTGCTTCAAACTTGTTTTTTGAGGGAAAGCAGTCAGTTTGAGCCATACATGCCCGCATGTCAACACAAAGCCTGCATGTTTGGATTTTTTGTCTGGTGAGTTGAGTTGAAAGAATGGTCAGCCCCAAAAAGGGTGGCGTTGTTTGGCCGCAAGCTGGAGAGGGCGCAAGCAGAATACCAGTGCCACTGGTAGGATCTTCGTCCTAGAGGACCCGAACTGCGAGGTGGTGTGGAAGGCCAAGCTGAAGCGCGGTGTGATCCCAGAGCCGGAGAAGATGCTCGTCCTTGAGGAATGTGTTCGAATTTGGGGGACCTCCAAAGTGTAGCAAGCTATGTTTGATATTTTTTCGACTTTAGGGGCCAACATCATCAGACTCTGGGCGAAGTTAAAAATCAACTGCCCCCAACACAGGGTGCCATTTTGTACATTGGCCACTGGGTCTGTTTTCCCCCGGCCCACTGAGGGGCTCCCATTTTAGGGGCCTCGAAGGTGTCCATTTGCCAGAGTTCCATTTTGGCACTTTTTCTTCAGCCCAGCTCAGAGCTCCCCTTTCCACATTTTCCGGAAACTTGCGCCATGAGTAAATATGGCGGGGCTAAGCAAAATACTGCTTAGCCCCAAGATTCGAAGATACTCCCACCTGGCCGGTTGCAAATCCAAGCCTCCGCCTCTATACCCTCGTGCGCACAAGGGGATGGGTGAGGACCCTTGCATTGGTGCCTGAACCGCCACCCCCTCACTCTATGCATTCCCCGGGGTTGTGGGACGTCGAAGCAAGGGTGGGGTTGGTGCTTCGTCCCAGTCGAGTGCCTTTGCTAAAAGGCAAAGGGATTGCTTACTGCGGCGGAATGCCGACCACAAGGCCCGGAACTGGATTTAAGTTAATTTCATTATATTCGAGGGTCAATTCGTTTTATTCGGGGGTTGTGTTGGGGAATTTAATGGGCCCATTCTTGCAGTTTGAGGTCACAGCCATGCCGCCCCATGTAACCTGTTAACTTACAATGAAGCACATAAAACTAGCAAATGCGCATTTGCAAATGGAGAACATGATTGAGGTAATTATCGCTTATATACGGTGTGTCTCCAGCCCATGCGGCTAGGTCGAGCAAGTTTGGGCACTTAAGGTTGCTTCGGTCTCTGGCGCCTCAACCGGCTGCTGACTGCTCAGGGGCAAATTACTGCTGCCCAACCAGGCTCTCAGTTTGACACTGTCAAACCTGCAGTCGTCCAGCCACACCATTGCAGTTGAAGACGCTTTTCAAAAACCGCCCACGAGCCAGTCTTCAAGATTTATACTATATAATTCAATACGCCAACTGCTTGCAGCTGAGAAAAGCAACGGGGTCAAGCAACTTGCTTTACACTTAGCAGTATTTGCAAGCATTGCTTGCGCCAACTTCTTCCTGCGACACGCTGAGATCTAAGGCACAATGAGAATGGGAAGGGTTTTATTCGGGTTCAAAAGCTGTTGCTGCGGGGCGAGTGCCGATGTGATCGGGGCAACTGCTTCAACAAATTTGCTGCAAAGCCAGGCCTACAAGCAGAACTGAACTCCTTCCTGACAATGTTCTAGGATATAAAACCTGCTCAATACTTTCACGAAGGAACCTTAGCTTTGATCTTTCCCGCGCAAAAAATACACATAATCCCTTGAGGCACCCCGACCCCTCCCTGAAATCCACAAGTTCGTGCGGGAAGTCACCATTGCCAAGCTCTAGTCCAGCGTTTCCAGCGCATTGGGGCGGATTGAAAGGTCAGGACCATGATTCAAAAATGTTGGCCTGCAACTCCACCCCCTCAAGTTCACAACAACAAGCCGGTCAAGCACATACAGCGCGACATACTCTTCATGAACCTGTATGCTTCCCCAACAAGTGTGTTGTCCAATGCAGCAAGAGTCAGGCAAAACACTAAGGTTCCAAAAGCTGCCCGATCTCGCAAACCGACACCAGAGGTGGTGAATGTGGCGAAAACGTAAATAATAAACAATGAATATAAATATCATAAGTTATCAAGGCACAACCTTTGTCAGCTGGCCGAATCTAACCCCCCCCCCCCGAGTTGCAACATCTGATGAGGGTGCAGGCCATGGCAAAGATTTAGAGGTTTCAAAGAAGAACCTGGATGACGATGAGTGATTTGGCCACTCGAAGTTGTGGCGCTAGTAGAAACAAATTTCAGGTGCCATTTCGACACCAGAAGCCTGCCACGGGGAAACCTGAAAATGCTGCATTCTCAGTGTCCATGCAAAGTGTCGCTGATTGGCTATTTGGCATCCCTGGCAAAGGCGACGGTTTGGCATCCCTGGGAAAGGCGACGGTTTCGCTTCCCCGCGGAAGGCGATGATTTGACCCAACAAATCGCCAGTCAGAATAAATGCGTCACCTTTTTGGGGTTCTAATCCTGGATTTTGAAAAGGCGACGGTTTGCCTCAAACCATCACCTTCTGCCGCCTTGCCACAACCCTCCCCGCCCCAAACCAAGCCAACCTAAGAATGGCTCCCCTTTTCTCAATCGTTCTAAGTTCTTCCGGCCTCCCCTTTTCTCGGATTTTCTCCTTTCGCTCTTCCCTCTGTTTCCTTGGCCTGTCACATCCTGCTGTCAAAAGGCGACGGTTTGTGCCGAACCATCACCTTTTGAAAAGCCACAACTTGGATCCCTGAAAGGTGACCCATGTATGCGTTTGATTGTCCGAGTGGCTCCTGAAATTCCTGAAGTTCCTCATCAGCCAACTGATCTCGCAGCGTGATGCCAAACCGTCGCCTTTGCCAGGGATGCCAAACCGTCGCCTTTTCCACTCCCAAGTATTCACCAGTCTTTTGTTTAGAGAGGGAAACAACCATTCAGGAACCAAGGGAGCGCTGACCAAGTGAAAAAACAAGAGTTGATGATATGTACAAAGATCTTCAGGGGCAAGGTTGCAAAAAGAAAGTTTGGGCCGAAGTTGCAGCAGGGCTCACAAGGACAGGCCTCAGGCCTCAGGCGGCTTTGTGTTGAGGGCGCTGTACCTTCTGCTGGCTGGTGTAAAGGGATGCCATTTTGGGCTATGCTTCGCGAGCGCATACATACACGTAGATGAAAAACTGTGCGTATAAGCATGTTGGGAATTATGTACCCCTTCAGAAGTGGTGCGAAACTTCCGTACCTGCGCTTCCAAAACCAGCGCCTGATCCCTCATCTTTGTGCTTTCCACTCATTCTGCCTCAAACTCACTCACTCTCACTCATTCTCACTCACTCGCTCGCTCACTCCTTCCCTCCACTCTTTTTTCAGTGCTCAAGTGCGGAAATAAAGGGATAGGCGATGCCAAAGGCACGGGAGGTGATGCGTGATGTGGAGGAGAAGGAGTGAGAATGAGTGAGAAGGAGTGAGAACGAGGGAGAATGAGTGAAAAGGAGTGAGCGTCACTCATGAGTGAGTCAGACTGAGTGAGCGGAAATGAGCAAGAGTGAGACGCATGAGATTGAGTGAGTAAGAATGCAAAGTAAGAATGAGTGAGTCAAGTTAAAAAGAGCGAGCGAGAATGAGGGAGACTAGTTGAGAATGAGCGACTGAGAGCCAATGAGTGCGAATGGGTAGGTGAGAAGTTACGATGAGTGAGTGAGGGCGATTCAGAAAGAACGAGTGGCTCAGCATAGGTGGGCGGGTGAGACTGAGTGAATGAGGGCGTCGAGGACGGAAGAGGAGGCGGCGGCGCAAACACAGCGTAGTAAAAGCACGAAACCCTCACAGTGCTGCGGGTGAGAAAATCGCAGCATGTCCAAAGCTGGGCTGCATCTCCGCAGCGCTATCATACGCAAGCATTGTTGCAATAGCCAAGTAACCCTGCAAACGCATAGGGGAGCAAGGGATAGTCCAATGGCCTCATGGCCTGCGTTTGGCTGCAGAGTGACCATCGCAACACTTTCTAAGCAAAAGCAAACGCTGTGCCCGGATTTTCTTCCAAGCTCCTTCCAGCTGCAATCTTATCGAGACGGCGTGTGTAGGCCCTGGCCCCTCGAATTTTGACGTAGAGTCCTCAGCGGCACGTCAAGCAACTCAACTGACTCGTTAACGCGGACCTCTAGAAAACGGTTCCCACAAACCTGTTTGTAGTAGGAAAGCTTGGCACAATTGTAGGAGGTGTTTCCACTCGCTCGTGAAGCGTGTGAACAATGGGGAGTACCTTTGCTTCACCTATAACCCGCGCATCATGAAGAGGCCCAGCCAAAGCAAAGCAGCCAAGCAGCCTCACTTTGCGTGGACACTGAGAATGCCGCATTTTCAGGTTTCCCCGTGGCAGGCTTCTGGTGCGAAGGGTCTTGAAATTGCACCCAAAATTTGGTTCTACGAGCCTTGAGCCAAGTTCGAGTGGCCCAGTCAGTGTTTCAAGGGAATTTCACCTCCTCATCGTTATCCAGGTTCTCTATTGAAACCTCTAAATCTTCGGCAACTCGGGGGGGCGGGGGCGGAAGCGGTAGATTAGGCAGTGACAACCCATGACACTCATATCCACTTTCCATTATCCACACTGTTTCGCCACATTCACCACCTCTGGTGTCGGTTTGCGAGATCGGGCAGCTTTTGGAACCTTAGTGTTTTGCCTGATTCTTGCTGCATTGGACAACACACTTGTTGGGAAGCATACAGGCTCATGAAGAATATGTCGAGCTTTATGTGCTTCACCGGCTTCCTTTTGTGAACCTTGGGGGGCCGGGGGGGGTGGAGTTTCACAGGCCAACATGTTTGAAACATGGTCCTAACCCTTCAATCAAAGGAACCGCCCCAATGCATTGGAAACGCTGGTCTAGAGCTTGGCAATGGTGACTTCCCGCACGAACTTGTGGATTTCAGGGAGGGGTCGGGGTGCCTCAAGGGATTATGTGTATTTTTTGCGCGGGAAAGATCAAAGCTAAGGTTCCTTCGTGAAAGTCTTGAGCAGGTTTTATATCCTAGAACATTTTCAGGAAGGAGTTCAGTTCTGCTTGTAGGCCTGGCTTTGCAGCAATCTTGTTGAAGCAGTTGTCATCGGCACTCGCCCCACAGCAAAAGCTTTTGAACCCGAATAAAACCCTTCCCATTCTCACTGTGCCTTAGATCTCAGCGTGTTGCAGGAAGAAGTTGGCGCAAGCAATGCTTGCAAATACTGCTAAGTGTAAATCAAGTTGCTTGACCCCGTTGTTTTTCTCAGCTGCAGGCAGTTGGCGTCTTGAATTAGCATAAATCTTAAAGACTGGCTCGTGGGCGGTTTTTGAAAAGCATCTTCAACTGCAATGGTGTGGCTAGACGACTGCAGGGTTGACAGTGTGAAGCTGATATCCTTCACAGAGCCTGGTTGGGCAGCAGTAATTCGCCGGTTGAGGCGCCAGGGGCCGAAGCAACCTTAAGTGCCCAAACTTGCTCGACCTAGCCGCACGGGCTGGAGAAACGCCATATAAGCGACAAGTACCTCAATCATTTTCTCCATTTTCAAGCGCGCATTTGCCAGCTCCATGTGCTTCACTGCAAGCCAACAGGCTACATGGGGCGGCATGGCTGTGACCTCAAACTGCAAGAATGGGCCCATTAAATTCCCCAACACAACCCCCGAATAAAACGAATTGACCCTCGAATATAATGAAATCCCCTTATTTGGGCATGAGGAACATGCATGCCTGGGGAAAAGGGCGGGATTTCGTGTCCACCACTTTTCAGACGCACCTGGGATTCCTGGATGGATGAAGCCCGACCTGAAGACTGGTTGATCAACCTAACGCGCGTGCGGAGAGAATGGGGTCACAGGAGAAACGCCTCCGTCACAACCCCCGAAATCGGTCTTTGGGCTTCCAACACTTTCTTTCCCAATCAAACAGCCCCAAAACCGGCACCCTGCACAAACAACAGGCCCCTTTTTGTGAATTCCCAAGTGTGGGATTGTTGCGGGTTGCGTCACCCCATGGCCAGCTTGTTACGGCTCCAGGTCCAGCTTCCGAATGCTTTTGCCGGGATTTGGAGCCGAGGACCACGTGGCTGGACCGCTGCGACCTCTTCCCGCACATCCCGGCCGCGGGCTCCAAGGACCGCCAGGGCCTGCTGCGGTTCCGCCGGGAGGCGGCGCTGCTGCAGCGCCTCGACCAGAGCTTTCCGGAGCTGGGGGCCTACCACCAGGCAGCGGTGCAGCGGTGGGGTGGGGGTGGGGGTGGGGTGGGGTGGGGGTGGGGGTGGGGGTGGGGGTGGGGGTGGGGGTGGGGGTGGGGGTGGGGGTGGGGGTGGGGGTGGGGGTGGGGGTGGGGGTGGGGTGGGGTGGGGTGGGGTGGGGTGGGGTGGGGGACATGAGAGTATGATGGACACGTGCGGGGCCGAGATTTTTCCGGGTGTGCTTGTTTTTGATTGAACGGAGGGGTATGATGGACACTTAGGGTCTTATGGGGTATTTCTTGTTTAGGGTTTTTGGCTGCAAACATGAGCTGCGAGTGTCCGTAGGGGCGTGGGGGGGCAGGGGTTGGGGGGGTACATTGTCTGAACAGGTGGGCGGCTACAATGTGCGATCCTTCCAAGGGATTTGCAATGACGAGCGGTTATTATGTTGCCTGAACTGCGTTCAGAACTCGTACCACCAAAGCCCAAAATACAAATTCGGGGCTGCACTGATGGGAGCCTTTCCGAAGAGTGGGCAGCGGTTGCCATTACAGAAGTTGTGGACCGCTTTCTTTGTAAGTGTTTTGCGTCTTTGGTTCTGTTGTCCGCACTGGGGGCTGCAAGGAACATCGAGAAGCTGGTAAGTTTCTGCATATTTCTTAGAGAGAGGTCGCTTGGTGAATAGCAACTATAGATGAAATTCCAGCACCCACACCTCCAAAAGCTGCTTATTCGAAAGTCTTCACTATCCAAAAAGCTGTGGTTGGAGGGTGCGAGAAGAGTGCAGATGCTCGCTTTGAACCCGTCAGTGCTTTATTTTTATTTTTCGGGGCGGGCAGTCTGCTCGACTGCAGCGGCGAAACAAATACACAATCACCCCCTCCACCCAATACCCGCTTTGGTCAAGGTATAATGGGGTAATTATGATGCTTTTCCTTGACAAGAAGCAGAGGTGCTTACCCTGAAAAACCTGGCTTTCCGCCCAACTTCAAAGGGAAACTTGGACCAATCAAGTTGGACACCTGACTCTCTGCAATCGGCATCTCTATGTTGCTGGTTTGTTGGGTCCCGTGTAAACCTGGAGGGCATTTTGCTACATATGCGTCTCAAAATGCGGGACCCCTTGTTTGATGCAGTTTCAAAAGGAAACCGCGATGGCGTCTGCAAGAAACGCGCGTACCGCCCCTTTTGCCAGGGGCCCTCACCGGCATCCCTCATGGAGTCGGAGCACGAGCGCCCGGGCTCGTCCAAAATGGGACCCGTTGGTCCGGGCTTTCCTTGTTCCAGGCAGACAACGGTCAACAAGTAGCAAATAAACTACAATCAACAAACGACAACCCACAAACAAACAAACAAACCCAAACCTAACCCAACCCAATCCAACCAAGCCAAGCCATGCCAAGCGAAACCAAACCACACCTTGCCCGAACTCGTCCCGTTTTTCAAGGCTCAGAGTTTTTGCTCGCGGACCTGTGACTTGCCACCAACTCCAGAAACTTCAGATGGGCGTGTCTTTTGTGGAAGGTCTCCCTTTTCGAAGGCAAACCCCAAAGGAAGCTTACCATTTTTGGGGGGTCACCCATTTAGACGCATGCAGATTGTGGGGTAGCCCTATGATTTTCCACACCGGTGTCCATAGAGGTCGGTTTGGTGGCACGAGAGATGTCCCGGGTTCCACTCATTTCTGTTTGACTCTAATCACTCACCATTGCCGTCCAATGCCGCAAGGAACCTGGTGAAGTATTCCCTATACAAATCAGCCAGCGGGTTCTTAATCTCTTTTGCAAAGGCCATCATTGGCACGGCATCCGCGATGGACTCCTGTTGAATGGGGAAGTGTCACCCCTCTTCACCGACTGGGGGCTTATTGATCCTGGCTCGCCTTAGCGAGTCCATCGCCCAGGTATTGGCATCCCCGGCGGACTGCTCGCTCGGAGCCGACCCTGAAGGGCAACGAGGGGCCGGTGTGCCCGACCAGGCTCGCCAAAGGAGACGTGGGAACCACCAGCCAAAAACGTGGGCATTGATTTGCCAGGCACCCTCCCACAGGTGCGACTGTATGTTTGTGGGTGGGAGGGAGGTTATGAGGTTGATAGGGGACCTCATAAGAAGGGTTGGTGGACATGAATCCCCCATTGTAAACAACGATCTGAACTTTGGCTTATTCATTTGGGGTCGATGAAGCCGACCGTAAGCAGATGAATCAAGAGGGTGTCCTAGTGTCCCAGTTTCGTGTGTAGCCAAAGCGGCCTCAGATCCCCAAAGCAACCCAGCTGCCCCGACTTACGGATCCCATGTTTGAAGCCTCGGTTCGATGAGCGCAGCCCCGAATGAAGCCGCGAAACCCTGCTGGATCTGGGCAAAAATAAGCATTTCACATGCCCAGAACATCCCTCATGGCTCACGTCCTTCCAAAGAGTTGGTCGCTCCTCAAGTTGTTTTTTTGATTATTTATGTTGGCTCTGGGGCGTAAGAAAAAACCCAACCCTCCCATGGACTGGAAGAGGCAAGTGGCCGCACAGATAGCTCTAATCAGGCTCATGTTAGCTGGTGACAGGGGGGGTACCGAGGGAGTTCCTGGGCGCTCAGCAGGATGCCTCTCAACAGAGGTGCGCATTTGTGCCGGTTCTAATGTGAGTTCAAGTAGGGGAACTCCAAAATGGGTGGCATTGTGGTCAGCCCCTGTGTGGGTATCCAGGTATCCACAAACAACGGCATACCCACGCACGCGCACACACCCGCACACACATGCGCACCAAGTGGGTGAAGAGCCCTTTGAGCCCGGTGACCTGCCAAAGCCACGGCTGTAAGTCCACCAAGTGAACGGACCCCTTGTTGATTAACAGGGGGCGTCCGCTTTTAACATTTTAGTGGGAATCATTCACTTGTGTAGGACAGGTGGGTTCTGATGAGCCCTTTGAGCCCGGGAAGCAACCATACCTGCCAAAGCCATGGCTGTAAGTCGCCAAAGCGAGCAGACCCCTTGTTGATTACCAGGGGGTGTCCACTTGAAGTGGGAATCCTTCACTTGTGTGGGTGACACACCTCCTAGGAGGACGGGTTGCTTCGGATTTCCCCATGGCCAGGAACGTCTTCGCCGTGCAGACGGTGCTGCACCACATCCCACAGCTGGCATCCCGGTTTGTCCTCGCCATGCCAGGCGTGGCGGGCCATCTGGTGTATTTGGGCCTGTTTTTGTTGAGGGTAGTCTTTTTGGGCGGTTTGAAAGGGACACCAACAGGGCTGTCCCCCATTTTGAGAAATATACATGGTTCGGGTAGTTGATTTGTCAGTTGGTTAGTTGGTTGGTTTGGTTGGTTGGTTGGTTGCCTTGCGCTTCAATTCATAGCGCGCGGCTCCCTCAAGCCTGCAGCGTAGAGGTGCTGCTCTTGAGCATCCTAAAAAAACACCTATCAACTATGTGTTGATTGGATATTTCAACAGTGTTGCGTCAGACGGAGCAAGATTTGGACTCGCTTGAGCAGGATGAGGCTGCATGACTCTGTACAACAACCGTGTTTCGCCACGTTTCTTGCCTGCTTTGGCCCAATTCACTGGCATTCCGTTGGCAATTGTTTGGCGCACCCTGCAAAAGCCGGCGATTGGTAGGTTGGTTGGGGCTGATGTCCTGGCGCCAGGCGACATCGCAGTGAGGCCGACGAGCGTTAGGACCTTCTTCCACGGCATGAAGCCCAGGTATCCAGCAGGACGGGCTTCAAAGGTCTCAATTGCCCAATGCGAATCGACCTGAAATGCCCGGTGTGCATGTTTAGTCATGGCCCCAAAAGGTTGGTCCTTTGGCCAACCGACAGATACCCTTCCGAAACAGGTATAGCACCGGCACAGCTGGAAGGAATTCCTGTGCAGCTTCCTTTTTTTTGACTTTTTTTAGAGAGTACAGTTTGAAAAACACCGGATTTTGGGATGTGTCGTTTGGCTGCAGGAAGGGGCAACCTGCTGTACCAGAATCAGCTGCTTGGCTCACATCTACGCTGGGGCGCAGAGCTCAAAGCTGACGGCCACTGACAGCCACTGACATGTTTTTTCCGCAACAGCTGAAAGCTTTGGGGTCTCAGCCCCAGATAGGCTCCGGGGTGGTTCGGGGCGGCCCTGAGGTACGGTTCCACGAGGGTTCCACTGGGGTTCCACCAAGGTTCCACCAGATTCTGCGAGGGTCGCGGGGTGGTGTTTTGAGTTAAGGTTCCAGGAGGGTTCCTCGCAGTTCCACCAGGGTTCCACCAGGTTGTGCGAGGGCTGCGGGGTGGGTTCCACCACGGTTTGACCAGGGTTCCACCCGGGTTCCACCAGACCAGGGTTCCACCAATTTCTGCAAGGGGTGCGGGGTGGCCCGGGGTGGTTTGAGGAAGGTTCCACGAGGGTTCCACCAGGGTTCCACCAGAGTTCCACCAGGTTCTGCGAGGGCTGCGGGGTGGTCCGTGGTCGAGGTAAGGTTCCACGAGGGTTATAGCTGCGGGGCTCGGGGTGGTTTGAGGTTAGGTTTCACTCTCGACCCCCCGTTTATGGCTTTATGGGCATGCAGGCTCATGTTGGAAAGCCATAGGCTCAGGCACTGGTGTGTCATTTTTGTTTGGGCGACCCTCCCCCCTCAAAGAGGTGGGGGTGCCAACTCCAAAGGAAACGCCACCCACTCCATCTGCCTGTTTTGCTTTTCCTCACAAAACATGTGTGCCAAGGTCGGTGGCTGAGCGGCTGAACGCCCAGATCCCCCGCACCACGAAGTCCGATCTGCGGGTCTGGGTCCCGCTGACCAAGCGCCTCTGCTCGCACATCGAGCAGCGATACCCGCTTTGGCTCAGCTTCGTGCGGTCCCACCGCGCCCTGGCAGCAGAAGGGGGAAGTTGAGTTCCGTGGCACCCATGTGGCCGTGTCTTCTTCTGGGGGAATTATTGGCTGGTTTAAAAGGAAGCCAAACAGAAAACCACCATGTTGATGGTATCCTAGGCCCTAGAAACAAACATTTCAAGTTCCCTTTGGTCAAGCTCATGTGATTTGGATCTGGGATGCATTCTTTTTGGGAGACCGACTAGCACTTGGTGGTGAGCGATTTTTGTTCTGAGCTAGTACTAGCCCCAGAGGGTGTCCTAAAAAAACAAACTATCCCAAAAACTGGTGCCCTTGCTTCCGATGGCCATTGAGTATTTGGGCGCGTTGCCGTTGGCCAGCTGGTGACCGGACACGTAGCCCACGCCTTCTCGATTCCGGCCCAGATGCAGCGTGGTTTGGATTTGGGCGTTTCTCAAAACAGTGCAGTATTGGCATTCGACTACCAGCCACAAGGCCAGGGGGTCTGCCATTTCGAGAAACCCTCGTTGTGGTTGAGCATGCTGTTGATTTTTGAAGCATGTTGCCACCAGCCAGAGAGTAAACCCTTTCAGAATGGCTGCGGCCCCTTTTGACTAGGGTTTCAACGACGCCGAGCTGCAGGATTTGTTCTACAGACCGAAACGCGATTCTCACCCTTTCAGATTTTTTTGATTTCTGCGCATGTTCGTTGCTGGCCAACTTGTGGCGCTTGACCATTTGGTGGTTACTCCCTTCCCAGCATTGAGCCACTCTTTGAGGCGTAAAGCAGTATATTTGGAGCGTCACAATCATCCAAAAGTACTTTTTGATTTGGCTCCAAGTGACACCTTGCGTTTTGTCAGAGCCCCTGACAAGTCAGATGAGGTCGTCAAAGTCAGGTTCATGGGGTTGTTGATGGGTTAGAGAAAGGAGCTCCAAGAAGGTTTGGCAGGGGATTCCCACGAATTTCCTGTTAATGAGTTATACTCTTGCAACCAAAGCGATTCGACCTTTCACCTTTTGGTTTGCCTGAGCCAAGGTTCCCAAAGGTTCAACTATCATATGTCTCCAGGTCCTTTCGGGCAACTGAGCAGAGCAATGTGCCCTCGAAACATTGGAAGGGCGAGCAACGAGGCAAGGGCAAGTTCTCCAGCAAGCTCGACGCCTCCGGCACGCCGGCCAGCGAGCGCGCCAACAGCGCGGAGGCGCCGGCGTCGGCGTCCCGGCGCCGAAGTGCGGAGAGCTCTCGCGCGCGGATTCGCCGTGGATGGACCAAAGCTCGAACACCTGGGTTGGGAGTGGTGGATGTTGCCCAGTATTTGCAGGGTTTTTCTTGCATCCCACATGGCGCAGGAGTTTTTGTCCATCCAGGGTAGTGGATAAAAGAAAGAGAACACTGGGGCCACCCCTCCCTCCCGACCCCGAAAAGATCCGACATCTGTGGGGATGTGTGTTTTGGTTGGCTTCAACACACGAAGAAGGGAACCATAAAAGAGAGACACCTGTATCAAACAGCTGACAACATTAGTTGAGAGTGGTTGTTACCCATGAGAGCCCCTTTCTAGGGGTCTCCCTCATTTCAGAATTCTTGGGTTTGGGTCAGGATTGCATGAACGATGTGCTGCACGTTTGTGGTAATTACCAAGGGTCCTCAACGGGAACCGTTTCCCGCCTTGTGGCATCACAGAAATGGCAATTACCAGAACCCCAAGTGTTGCAGTTGCCAAGCCTCGCCATCCCTTTGAAAGAGTGTTGTTTCTGTCCGCTTGAAAATGATTGGTCCAACATCTCCCTATCCCTTTTGATGGTCTGTGGTCTTTAAACAATTGAGCCAACATGTCCGTTCTCTTTAAACATGTCCGCCCTTTCGATGGCAGGAGTCCTTGCAGGGGGTTTGGTGGTGGTACCTCACCTCCCACCCCCACTCGGGCATCCGGCACCACGGCAACCTCTTCGAAGAGCGGCGCCTGAGCATTTTTTTGCGTCGCCTCAGGTGCGGTGGGGGGGTTCCGTTGAAGGTACTCAACCCATGCGCCCAGTGGGTCGCTCCCTCTGGAGATAGCCAGAAGCCCAGACGAAAGACACTCACCAGTTGAGCAACTCAAGCCCGCTGGTTTCAGCCCGCTCTGCCAGTTCCAATCCTAGCCAAAGTTCTCCCCACTGGGGGCGAGCGATGCCCGACACATCGGCATACCTCGGCGATACAAGACGAAACCCAGCCGCCGCCTGACGTCTGGATCTCGTGGCTGAGGCGTTTGGGATGGGACCCTGGGGAGTGGGAGCTGCTGGTGGCGGACCCGGGCTCCACCATCGTGAGCCTGGAGGATCGATCCATCGGGGTCCGATCGGGTCCCAAGCGGGTCCCGGGGGCCCAAGCGGGTCCCGGGGAGGTCTGGTCTCGATGTAAAAGCCACGGCGTAAGAGAGAAACGCGGGTTTTCATAGTGGAATCTATTTGGAGCAGCTGCTATGATGGTAGTTTCCAACATGGTGGTTTCAAAAATGCTGCCTCATAGAGGTGTGGGTGAACATTGGTGGAGGCTCTTTTAAGTAAATGTCCACCAGGGATTACCAGGAGCATGATAAAGCTAACCCCAACTGTTTGTCTTTCACGGTCCATCTTTCCTTTCTTGTTCCATTCCCCCTCCTCCCAGTGTGTCTTGATTCACTACTGCGGACATGGACCCGTGTGTATGCCTCTCTTCTGTGAGACGCAGTTTGCCCACCCAAGCGGAAAATCCTTTGGTCACAACTGATCAGGGAAATGGGAATTGGGGTTTTAGGGGTGCGCCCCAATATATATATATATGTATATACATATATACATAACCTTCGTACAGTCTACAAGATCGAATATGAAGAGGTTGTTACCTGCTTGTTGGGGAAGTAGCCATGATTTGGTGGTTTGGATTGAAGCCCTGGTTCTTCTTGCTTGACAAAATAGGGCCCCAGAATTAGTGATTTTTGCTTGCGACTTCCCTTTAAACTAACCCGAAAAGAGGGGGTACCAAAAGCCCGCGCTCCGTTGGAGCCGTCTAGGATGGCATCGACAGCATCAACAGCGGGCAAGTCTTCAGCCGGACGTTGTCGCAACGGAGGCAGCTGAGGCACAAGCTCAAGGGCCTCATCACCATGGAGATTCTTGACATTTGCATTGGCACCAGTGGTCGCCCTTGGTTTTATCCTCCCCCCCCCACCCCGCCTATTTACCGGGAAAGCCATTTTTGCATGTTGTGCATCATTCCCTATGGGTTTCATGAGCTTTCTTACCAACTTCCCCCTCTGATTTCAGGAAAAACTGCAGCTTCTCGCCTATATGACTGAGAAGCTGCAGTTCGGAAGGCTTTTGCTTAATTGTTACACACCTTCCGGAAATAGGGCTCATATCTAAGAACGGCCGCAACCGAACTTGTGGGGTTGTCGAAATATGGTCCCAAGCTCGTGCCCGGCTCAAGCTGAGTTGTGTCACACACTCAGGGGGAGGGGTGTGGCGCCGGCGCCGTTTTAGTTTTCGTTGACCGTTGGTCCGCAAACAGAAATAGTTTGTGTTGCCTCTCAAGGGACCTAAACTGATTCAGTTTTGAAAGCTGCCCGAGATACACATACTCAGCAGGGCGGCAAGTGTTGCGCCGTGACGTGTCACGACCACCAAAGCCGCCGGAAGCAACTCATGCCGTGGAATTCTTGGCCATCTAAGAGGGTTTCCACTACCCCAAACCACTACCCCTGGGCAAAATCGGGTGTATACCCCGTATATAACGTTGTATAGCGGTTGTACACACCATGTTTGGGCGTGAAGGTTTGGGGGTAGCGGTAGCCGTCTTACAGTAGAAAGCGGGGTCTTCTTGGCTTCCCGACAATTTTTGGGATGGTCCCAGAAAGAAGCAAGCCTCACATCATGACTCTCATTTGTTTTGGCCCCTTTTCCCCATGCGGCTGCCGTCGCCGAGGGTGGACTCTGGAGGGCAGGCTGAGGAGCCGCAGGACGAGGCAGAGGAGGACGACGTCGATGTAGAAGAAGAGGACGGATAGGGTGAAAAAGGCCCAAAAAGGTACCCACTTTATCCGACTTTCTTGAGGCTCTGATCATGAATCATGACCTGATTTGGCTTGAGGTATCCCAAAATCCTATTCTAAGCAGAACATATAACACACACTCCCAACCCCTCCGCAGAGGAAGCTCCGGCGCCAGCCAAGTTCATGCGGTCGGAGCGCTGAGTCCGCATTTTTCGACGCCAGTCTTGCCCACGCATTTGCTGGACGCCTGGGAACTTGCATTCGGTTGCTGGCGTTTTGCATGCAAGAAAAACGATGATTGGCTTCCGTGGCCGCAGGGAAGGCTTTCTGCGATATGTCAGATGTCCCTTAGACCATCCCTGAGACTGGGGATCTGGCAGATGTGCCCTTGTCTCACCAAAACGCCACTGCCAAAAATGAGCTGGGCGCGCAGGGAGCGCCTTGGATCGACCTTTTCAGATGGCTTGTGCCGTGCGTACCTTGCATAGGCTCCATACAGGGGGCAAGTCGCAAGTGATGGGGCAGCCCCAGCCCCATACAGGCACTGCATAGTTGGTCTCCATTGCTTGTAGTGTAGGTATGCTCGACCAATACCTTGCAATTCAGAATGCTCAATCCGTTTCTAGAAACCATGACATATGGGCCGGAGGTCTGACCCAGAAGAGTGGTTGACCAACATCTTATGGCTTATGAGGGCTTGTATATGGTTCGAATGTTTACATCCAGCACATGCAGCTATACCCAGGAAAACATGCATGGTTGCTTATGTACTGGATCATTCGCAAATTCCCTAATTTCCTAATTCACTTAGTCACTTGTCGATGTTTGCCTTTTCCCGTGTCTAGTTAATATGAGTTGTTGTTGTTGTTTTTTTTTCATTCCATTTCTTTTAGTAGTTCCCGCAGATTCTCGTTTCGTCAGCGACGAACCTCGCGCAAAAGTCGCGGCCAGTGCTGCCCAGCTGCTGCGGAGCGGCGCGGAGCTGGGCTGGCAGCGCGGAAAGGGCCTGGTGGTGGCGAAGCCAGGCGCGTGGTCGCGACTGGGCGAGGCGGCACAAGCTCAGCAGCCCTGAAGTTCAGGGTTCCCTACACTTCTCTGGTTTTAGACATCACTTTTGGGTTGCGAGTTTCTGTGGGTGAAGGGGCGGGGGGCTCCGATTTGGAGGACCTTGTGAAGACCGCTATTTTGGGATGGTATTTTATTTAAGTGAACCGGTTGGAGTTTCAACCATTGATGTGGTACAAGAGGGGGGGGCCTTCGGGTGAGCCCCGGGCGGATGTACCAGGTGCGGCGGACTCCTGCACGATCATTTCAGCTAGGTGGACCCTGTGGGTTCCCCACATTTTAAGCACAGGAAGCCCAGGAGACAAAATGCGCTGAGTATGTTGTTGTTTCCCAATTTGGATTCAAGAAGTGGTTTTCCCAGCATAGGGGTTCAGTGGCACTTCCAGCAAGCTTGGGGGCAGATCCTCCTCATGGCCTCTGCTGAGACTCGACTGACTGATGAGCCAACATCAAAACAGCACACGCTGCCGGTCGGGGGCACAAGCTGAGGTGCCAACAGCCCCCCCCCCCCCCCCCCCGGCCGGGTTTTGGGGGGGTCGGGTGCTGGCGTTGGTGGGGATTGCTTCAAGGCTGCCATTGGGTGTGTCTCAAAGCGGAGTCTCACTTGGGCGGTGTCCGTTTGGTTTTCCTTCAAAACAACCCCAAAGAGAGAAATCAAGTACCCTCACCAAAAAGAAACAAAACAAAAAAAAAACAACAAGAGGAACCACCACAAAACGAGACCGACATGAAACCAAGAGGAAGCCTGAAGAAACCACCAGAAAACTGACTGAGAGACAGACCCCGTCGCTCAGAGCGGCTACTGGGCAGCGGCTGCTTCGCCTGCTGCTGGCAGCTCCGTATCCAAAGCCCTGGCACGGAGAGGCGGGTTGGAGCGGTTGCGTGGCCGGGGGGGGGAATTCCAAACGGGCTTCCTAAACCAACCCCAAAAGAGAAATCTCGAAAACAGACCCTTTCTGGTCTCCTTCATTTTCCCTTAGGCTGTTCAAGCTTTTTCAGTTTCCAATGTGGGGGTCCAGAAGGGAGAAGGGGTCCGGAGGGGAGGATGGGGAGTATTCAACCCTTTTTTTGGAGGGTCATGAGACCCATGGGAGGGAGAGAGGGGTTTTAATTATATCCGGGCGGAACACTTTTCTCCAACGTGGTTTTTCAGGCACACCTGGGTCGAGGGTTCCATGGCCGGGTTTGTTGGCCTATTTCAGAACCTCCTTTTTGGTTGCCTGTAAAGGAAAGCCAGAAGGCCACAACCCGGTCAACGAGGGTTGAGCCAGGCCCAAGCCCCCCGCCCAGCCAGACCTCCAATGGTGCCCCCTTTTTCCTTTCTTTTTTCAAGCAAAACTAGCCCAAGAAAAAGGGTGTGCCCCTTTCTTTTTCCCATGGTGCACGAGAATTCTATTGCGTCATCCAAGAAGAATCAGCTGTAGCTGCTAACATCTAGCTCTGCACAAACCGATGCAGTTGTCCAACAACTCCAAGGGAGTCGCCAAGCAGATCCGCCTCTCCAAGCCCCGATCCATATGCACTGGTTCTCAGGGACAAGATTGGACCGAGGTGGCAGCCTTTGTTGATAGCTCGCTTTGGCCCTTGTTTCGCCCCGAGGCTCATGCCGCCGAGACTGGTGGGAGGGGTCTTTTTGGGTGGTTTGTAGCAGGGCTGCCTTTCAAGACAAAAAGAGTTGAAACAATGCCTGGCTCCATCATGGATTCAAGCGAGCTCGGCTGGAGGTTTGTACATGTTGACCCAGAAAAAAACGAAAGGCAAATAGGACGGCGATTTCGAGAACAGGTCCCATCAGTTGGGGATAGTTCTTCTTTTCCCATCCTTTCTGTCGGATTCACCTTGCCCAAAGCGCAAAGCCGTTTCTGGATGTTTGCTGGGGCAGTCGCCCCGGAACCCTCCCCACCCCCCAAACCCCCTCCCCAAACCCCCCCCTTTTCCGGAACCCGATGGTTCGTTGGGCGAGGCTGGCGGTGCTGAAGCACTTTGTGGCCGTGGACTGCGCCGTGGCGGCGGTCTTCGGGAAGGAGCTGCTAGGCTCGGGCGGGGTTTGGGGGTGGGGGTGTGTGGCTGTTGGGAGGGGGAGGGGTGGAGGCTTGGGGGGAGGGGGGGGGGTGGAGGCTTGGGGGGAGGAGGGGGGAGTCGGGGGGGAGGGGGAGCAAAGGAGATTGTTGATCATATCCCCTTTCATGTTGCGTCGCTGCAGGGAGGGTAAGTGGGAGGGACATGAGGGAAGAAAATCACGACACGCGACACCAATAACTTTTGCGGGCTGTGCGCACTGTGCAGAAAGTTTGGCTAGCTCTCGGGTACGGGCAAAACAAGCAGGGGATGGCGAATTGTCGGAACAGACAGGAGACCTCCCGGAGAACGTTGACCTTCGGAAATGTGTGCATCCAAAAAGTGATAGCTGAGTTGGATGCCCCAACATATTGCAAGTAAACCAACCACAATTGAGATGGTTTCCCTTGTTCCCTACTTGGAACATGTTGGGCATCCACCGTGTAGAGGCTTCCTTTTTGGCTTTCTTATTGTTGCACCAGAAAGGGTTTCACTTGGAGTACCCAGGCTCGAGGGCCTCGAGGGTCGGGAAATCGAAGGCTTGCCGCGCCCATAGCCCAAGATGATCGATCCCTGGCTTGTTGCGGATTGACCAGCATTCCCCAAGCCCCAAATGACCATGCATAACTCTGCCCATATGAAACAGATGTGTAGGTTGCTTTTTCGGGGGTTGGTTGGTTTGCCAAATGGTCATCCCAGGTAAAAACCTTTTGACCAAGCTGTGCAGTTTTAGTCAGGGATGCCCGTCAAACGTGTACCTGAAGCAAGGGATTCTGTACCTTGATCGCAGAGACAGTTGACAATGAATTGCATTTGTCAACCGTGCCGACATGTGCCGACCAGTGCGAGTTGAAATGCAGTCATGCCAACCAGGGGTTTGGTACCTTGGTAGTCTCCGGGGTATGGTTTGGATGCTGCCTTTGTGAGGATCCTCTGCGCATTGGAGAGTGTGTTAGATCAGCCACGCAAAGATTGCTCAGTAATGAACCTGGGTTCAGGAGGAAGCCACACGCGGCACAGGCGCTGTCTCCAAATTGTTATTACATCGTCAGTATGGGTGCTGCCCACCCCCCCGTTTGTTTTCTTGCTTTCGGGTAGGGTCCCTAGGACGTTTCCGGTACAAAGCATGTGGCCGCGGGTCAACACCAATGGTACCCTTTTCGTTGGTAGGTGAATTCACCACCCATTTTAGAACCTATTTGAGTGGTGAGATTGAATCGGATGTTCACTGGGGGCGATTTCACCGATTTGGATTCTGCAAAGCCCATGGCCATGTCACCTCCTGAGACCGAAGCTTCCCGAGCTCAGTTTGCCGGCCATGGGCCCACAGGACAGCACCACGAGCAGTTCCGGAAGGAGAAGGCGCCGGATGGCATCAGCTGAGCACTGGGACATGTGGCTATGTGTCGAAATACCCCGGAGGAAAAAACAACAAAAAGCAAGAACATGGCTGGCGTGCTTTTGCTTTTGTTTTTAAACCGACCCAAAAAGGAACCCTTAAACCAAAAAAATGTGGGTGTTCAATCCCTTTGAGAACTATCCCAAATGGGCCCGTCCCATCATGGAACCAGGGGCTCCCCATCCCATACACTCACTTGCAGCCAAAGCGAATCGACCGGATCTAGCCTTTTTGTTTCCATTACTGGGTCCATATTTTGTCAAGGTATGTCAAGGTTCCAAAAGGTTCATCCTTTCTTTCCAGGTCCAAACTGGGCAAGTGAGATGCAAACTCGTCGTAGGGCATCGGCATGCATCGGCTTTTGCTGACTGCTAGTCAATGAAAGGAGGGCGCTGGCTGATGGGTTCTTTCTGCGGATGGGCAGAAATCCACCAGCTGGTGGATGAAACCCTATGAATGCTGGGGAAAGCCACCTACTCGTACCGGCTGGTGCAGGGTTTGGCTATGGCCAACCAACAAGCAGTGAAACATGTAAGCCCTGCAGTGGTGGCAATTAAACATGAATGTACTACATGAGCGTGTGCGCAGGTCAGCGACAGAAAGCTTGCGAATCCCGTGCAGTGTGTCTTCCGTTGAGGTCAAAGCTGGTCCACCCCCTCGCCCATACCTTGCCTCAATTCAACCTGCAACCGAAAGCAAGATTCCTTTTGGCTCTCAGTGGCTCAGAGGTTGGACTTGTAACTACTTGTTCACTCAAGGAAACCCGCACGACTGAAATTCTGATCTTCACGCTTGTAGGGGCTCCTCATGTCTGAGTTGAATCCAGGACGACGAACGTATTTCAGCTCGATGTTAATCGCACGCTGTGTCAACTTCATGACCCAAATTTCGACACGATTCGAGTGGGGCCCCGACGCAACTGTTGACCCAAAAACTTAGCGATGTCCTTGATCCCCCATTTGCTCCAACTTCCTAGGACTTCCCCTCGAAAACAAAAAAAAGCAGTAGTGATAAGTTCCGTTAAAGCCAAGAGGGGACAATATAACATGTCCTTCAGCAAATGGAAGTTAAAAGGATGTGGTAGGCGCAACTGAGAGACAAACCCAGGGCCCACGCCCCCCCAGCCCCCGGCGTGTCGTTCTCAGCTCATCGGGGAGCGCCTGGCACTTCGCCCGGCGCTGGCGCGCCACGCGGCGGCGCTGATTTCGGCCTCGGTGCGGTTCCTCGGTCTGCCGGAGGTCCAGGGGGGGAGGGGGTTGAGGGGGGAGGGGTTGACGGGGGGGTGGTTGAGGAGGGGGGTTGAGGGGGGGGGGTTTGACGGGGGGGGGGGGGGTGGAAAACTAGAATGTGAGAAAAATGGCATGATGGCGGTTGAGAGATGGCCGAAAATCAATCCGCGACATACCTGATACCAGATGGATTCCGTGGTTTCCCTTGTCGTGTTCAGGGATGCCCCCCCATGTTTAAAACACATAGGTTTGGGGGAGGTAGGGGCGGGGGATTGGGGGCAGCGGTGGGGGTGTCATGCAAAATGAGTTTGGGCATGCTCTGGAAAGCCGAAAGCGCGTCAGGGCGAATCGATTTGTTGGTGGGAGTCCCTTATTTAGCTTGTTTGGATTTGGGGACCTCACAGCCACGTGGCCCTTTTCGATCCTTTCTCGACTGCTGGCGGCCAAATCTTGGGGCCCTAAAGCATCATTGGACTGCATTGGAAGGTTTATGGCGGGGAAAACTGAATCCGAGGGCTGGCACCCAGTTGCCTTTTTGTTTGTCCTCAAGTATTCGTGGAGATGGCAGCCACTTTCGCACAGCAAGTTGCAGTTGTTCAAAGTCAAAAGCCATTGGCCGAACTTGAGGCCCCATACGCTCCGTCCAGGCCGCGCCAGCCAACCAGGAGCGGATGCTGGTCCTGCAGCATGCGGGCCAGCCGCTGGACCAGCTTTCGCCCCGGCAGCTTCCGGAGCCCGGGCCGGTGGTGAACCAGCTCCTGGCCGGCGTGGCTCGGGCGTCAGCGAGGGTGTGGCGTTCCGTTTGGGACGGGCACGGATGCTTTTTTTGGTTGCGACCCGCAAAGGACGCGGGTTGGAAAACACAGGGTCCCCGGCTTGGCGTGCACCCAAGCATCCCAGACTTCGCTTTGGCGTAGTGTAGTGTATACATCATGGCATAGTAACAGAGAAGGTTCAGTTGTGTGTTTCTGGCTTGGGGGCATCCAAACAAGTAGGAGGTGCAAGCAGAGCAGGGCAGAGCGGGCAAATGGTAGCAGGTGCAAGCAAGCTACTTCTAAACACATGCAAGCAACCCAGCGAGTGACCAAGCAAACAAGAATAGGTTCAGTTCTGTAGATGCTGATTTCCACCACGTTGGGACAGACGATGTTAAGACATAGGTGGCGCTTGTTCCGGGGTGCTTTGTCGAAGGAGCCAGGTGTAAGAAAACATGGGCAGTTGCCATTTTCCCATCCTTACATGAGCTGACGCGTTTTGCGCCATGTTTCACGCCTGGCATGTTCGGGGCGCTGCCACGTTGGCAAGAAACGGACCTGTTCAATGACCAGGGGACTTACTCATATGCCAACCAAGTGCCAGCCAAATGGCTTCCCCATTTTGCAACTTAGGAGCTGAACCCACAACTTTTCAACTAAAGGAAGTGACGCGGGGGTGTGCACTACACTTGTTGCGGGGCAAAGCGCTAAATCCCTTTTCAGATCGGGGACTTCCAGAAATTAGTGAGATGTGCGTGCATTGCAGAGTTTGTTTGTGCATCCAGGGACTTTTAGAAATTAATGTACAACCGCTGTGTCTCTTTTGAGATCTTTTGAGGGTACGCTTTTGAGGCTGTTTTACAGGGACGCCAAATGGAAGACTGCTATTTTGGGAGTTCAAGTACCTTTGGGTTGGTGGTGGTAAATGGTCGTTTTGGACAGGAAGGCCCCCCCATGTCATAGCACTGCTATAGGAGTGTTGTAATGGTGTTATAGCAATTTTGTTCCCAAAAGGTTCCCGACTGATTCACCCGGATTATCCCAGGGAGGGGTATGCGCTTATTCGCCTTGAGGTGGAGATGCTGCGGGGCTTGGGGGTGGTGCACGCCGACATCTCGCCCAGCAACTGCTGCTGCTCCCCCGTGGGCCGTGTGCGGCTGGTGGCGCCTTAGGCGCATGGGGGGGGGGGGTGGTTAGAGGGAGGATAGGCTTGACATATGGCTATAAATTTTAGGTAGCCCTGGCAGTTGGCGGACATGCAACCCCACCTAAATGATTGTACCGTAGTGAATACACACCCACATTTTGCTGAAAGTGGGGCAACTAATTGAGCATGTGACACGTACTGTGAATTACTGTTGCATGCCCTCACCCCAAAAGAATCACAAACAGACATAAACCTAGATGCATATGGGGGATCACATGCGCTTTTGGGCACTGGCAATGAGAAAGCGCTACTTGATTGGCTTGCTTGTTTGGATTGATCGATGGTTAGCTTATTGTGACTGGTTTGTTGTTTTGCCGTGGTTTGATGTGAATTGGTCGAGCTAACTGTTGAGTTTGGGTTTGTTTGGTTGTTTTGATCGGTCGCTGCCTCCTCAGTAGGTTGTGTGGATTTCTGCTTGATTTTTCACATAGGTGGGATGTGTTTGTTTTGCTTGGTTGGCTGATGGGCTGGTTGGCCGGTTGGCTAGTTGGTTCATGCGTTGGATGGCTCGTTGGCTGGTTGGCTGGCTGGTTCGTCAGCTGGTTGGCTGGCTGGCTTGTTTTCTGGTTGGTTGGTTGGTTGGGTTGGGGCTACTGTTCCTTTCATGGGTGAGTTGAGCTGGGTCGCAGTCACAACATCACTTTCTTTCAAGCATGACCTTTGGCCACCAAGGCAAACGCATATATTTATCGGATCCCAACAGAAAGGGAAGGCGCGATCGCGCCCTGCTGCGAACATAAACAAAGATGGGCGCCTTCGTTTTGCGGATGGGGCCTCACTTCCATGTTTGCTGGCGAGAGGGCATCCCCTGGTTGGTGAATAGGGGGAGTTCAAGTTTGGAAAAAGCCCATGCTTGGTGGGAGGATAGCCTGCGTTTTAGATCTTTCTACCAAACGCCAGTCCGCAAATGTCACGTTTTTGGTATTTGATGTAAGCATTAGGCGGTTGGCCCATGTTAGATCTGTAGGGTACTGAAAGGGGCATGTGCCATACCACCGAATGTTGACCCAGTTTGATTATGATTGGGGCTTGTCCCCTTTTAAAATAGTGGGGTCCACATTATTCCTGCGATTCAAAGCACCATCACAACACTGGGGGTTAATACAATCACCGTTGTTTACCCAATTTAGACGGTCAGCAGGAATTAGTGTCCCTGCCAGTCTCTGAACTGGGGTTGAATCCGAGTCCCCACCCCTTTATAAATGGAATTGGGGAGGGGACCCCGGGAATTTATTGTTCCATTGTTCTTGTATGGGAAGACTAAATACGTGGAAGCGGGGGATTCACCTACCCCGCATTGAAGTAGGGGGGATCCTAAAGTTAGCCTCCCACTCTTTTTACATGGAACCTTCCTGGAAGACCGTTTAATCCCTTTGAAGGGACCCCCGAACGTCAGGTTCCATGTGAAATTGGTGGTAGGGTAGTTGCTGTGCTTTTAAAGGGACCCCGAACGAGAGGTTGCACACAAGTTGTTGCTGTTTTTTTTTTTTAATGGCCAGCCCCAAACGTGCTAAAGGTCGCGCACTCGTTTTAAAGGCAGGTTCCATGTTAATTGATGGTACCCTCCCTTAACAGGTATGGGTCAAAATTAAACCAGCAGGGGACCGCAGGTTTTGGTCCATGTTTCCGTTTACCAGGATTCCATTTTGGGTACATATGTTTGACCCACAGCCATGTGACAAGGGCGGGAGGGCAGTTTGCGCCTTTGCAGCTCCAAGGACTTCGGCAGCGCGCTGCTGCTGGAGGGCCGGCGTCGAGGGGAGGACCCTCGCCTGGAGCGGCTCCGTGCGGGCCCCGGTTTGAAGGGGGAGCACGGTGCTATGGCACTGGGTGCCAGGGACACATCACACGGGCGAGTCAAAATATGTTTTTGTTTGTTCTTGTTTTCTTGCTTTGTTTTTCTTTGTTTATTTTTTTGCGGTTGCCAACCATGACTCAAATAGTTAGCTGATTTTTTTTTTGTGTGTGTGTCATGTCGTATATTGCCACATCTGCAGCCGCGAGCTGCAGGTACACGCTACGTGCACCACCCGCGCTTCCCCGTCAGCGAGCGCTATGGGTGACCTGCGTTGGTTTCTTGGTTGCTGAATGCTGGAACAGGACGGGAGCGTGTTTTGCCTTTTTCACATCGACACTTTGAGCGGTCGTTTTCGGTTTGTCTTTGCTTTTCAGAGCAGCGGATCCATCCAGGTACCCTTTGTCCGTGCAGCGCCTGATCAATGAAATCGAGAGCCTCGGCAGAAAAGAGTCCGGGCACATGAAAGTGGATCCCACCCCTGGCGACGGCTCTTGCATAGAGATCCCGCCTGTTGGAGATGGTGGCCTTTGGTTCAACGCAGGAAGCGTGGAAGTCGGGCTGGGGTGGAGTCAACGTTCTGCAGAGTCAAGCAGCATAAATTTATAGCGGGGGGGCTCCGTGTCTTCTAGGCTGGGTGATTTTGGGGGTGCCCCTTTGAAAGAAAAGATAGCCAGATGAATTTGTGGGCATTGACAATTCTTACCTATTTGCCAGGCTGTTTCACGCAGAGGTTCCAGAGAATGAGAACTAATCGGTTTGATATCGGTTTTCCCCTTGGCCCGGCACTGCCAAGAGATCTGTAATGTATAAGTCATGCTTCCATGAATTCATTGGGGTTCATGCCGATCCCCTTGGCTCAATTGACTGCGCCCGAAAAAGAGAAGTTCCCAGTCCAGCTCCAGTGGTGTCGTCGCATCCAGTTCGCTGGCGCCAGAGTTGTTTCCCTTGAGCCCGGGAAGCAACTGGTGGTCTTGTTTCAGTGTGCTCAGTCAGTGGGGCGAAGGTCAGGCAAATGCCCAAGTCGCACCCAACCCTGTAATCCCGATTCTGCAGGCTGCCCCGCGGGATCGATGTCTACCAGGCCCGCTATGACTGCGAGGCCGGCTTGGGCCCGCCAGGGGCTTGAAAACCAATCTGCAAGTCAGGCACTTCTGGAAGAATGTTCCGATCATGTCTTGGGTTTCAACATTGGTGTCTCCGCCCGCGTTCCCGCGCAGTTGAGAGGTCTGCTTTCTGCGCTTCTGATGGGAGGGCAGGTGGGCCCCGTAACCAGCAACCATAGCAGTTGGCTTAGACTATTATTTTGGTGGTGGCCTTGCAGTTGACATTGCATCCATTCTGATCCACTGGTATCCTCTAAGGGCGACCCAAGACCAGCGACTTGTTGGGGGGCATGTGCGTATTTGGGTGTTCTTTCGACCCAACCTGTCCCTGGAGCCGAGACAGCTTTTGCCAGTTTGTCCAGTGTTGCTTTCTTTTTTTGGCAGGTTGTTCCACGGCTTCCATTGGCTTCAGAGTTGTGTTCGTTCTTTTCCCCGGTTGGCTTTAAAGCGAACCTGGCACAGATGGACACATTGTCACATTTTATTTGGGCGCCCTTTTGTCTATTTGTGGGCACTTCTTTGGTTGCCTCGCTGAGTCAAGACCCTCAACGGCCGAGAGAGAGTGAGAGAAGGATATTTTACTTTTGCCAGACCCTGGGCTTTTTTTTCCCTGTAAATAGCAACGAACGTTCTGGTTTCCTCTGGTTTCTTAGGTGGCGCGAAATGGAGTTCGCCACCATCCCACGGTAACTTTTTTGGCGTTTTGCTAAGGGGGGCGCCGGATTTCGCCCCTCAGCCGCACCCAGCTTTCCTCGGAGGCCTTCCCGGGGAACTTGGCGGCCACGCCCCCGGAGATGCTGCGGGGCTTCTTGGCGCCCCAGAGCGACGTCTACGGCGGGGCGGCGACGGACCGTCGTTTTTTTTCCGGGGGACGGAGCGACGTTTTGCTCAGGGGGGCTTGGAACTTCGTTTCTTCATGTTTCTTCTGCAAGGTTTTTGCGGTGAGTTTGGGAGGGTGTGTGGAGATGTGGAACCACCGGGTAGCCTCCAGATGACTGGATCAGAAAATGGCAGTTCCCGCACGTCTTTCACCTACCCCGTCAAAAGTGTAGCCTTTTGACCAGCAATGGTTTCCCGTCAGGGCTGGGCATTCTGTACTGGTGGATGCTCACGGGCGAGGCGTGGCCGGGCAGGGTCCTTGGAGTCAGCGTTGGGTCACCCCCCCCCCCTCCGTTTAGCTTTTCAAACAACCTCCGCAACAAAACATGGGCGACCCTGGTGTTCGAGTTTCCTTTGTTTTCATTCGAATCCCGCCACCAAGTTCTTGCTCACAGGTTGCAAGGTTGGGACCGTTGCTTTAGGCGTTGTTTTCGTTTTAACATGTTCGCTGGGAGCCTTGCGTCTTCCCGCTGACTGGTTCTCCTGCGGCCCCCCAAAGATCCCAAAGCGTGAGCTGGAGGCGAAAAATGCTGACCCTGAGTGGGGATACTGACCATAGTGGATAGTCTGTCACAAGGCAAATGTAGGCGTCCCGGGAACATGGTAAAACCGAATTCAACGACCTACCTGTTGTGTAAAGTAGTGTAAAGGGTGCTAGGGGTTAGTTGTTTAAGCCGACCTGTTGCCCAACCCTCTTTTGAGCCTGGTCGATTCATGAGAAGAGGATAGCAGCTGTCAAAAGTAGCAATCCATGGGTACGGCGCAACCCGCATTGTTTGATATTGAATACCTTGTTGGGGCAGAGATTGGCTGTTCAAGGGAGCACAGCGGTGACCAATCGAACCACTCGCGCTCCCACTGCACTCCTGTGCATCCGCTCGCCTGGCCCAAGCACCCGGCATCTGCTGTGTTTGTCCCCGAGAGAGTGCGGGAGATGTCAGGCCGGTCCGAGCCGCGGTTCGGAATGCCGAGGGGATGGGAGCCGTTCAGAAACACGGGTGTCTTAGGAGACAAGTGTGCTCTTTTGATATGACCCGTAGCTTGAACCTTTGAACCTGTCGGCAAAAGCAAGAGTTTCCCCACTGCGCATCAACAAGTTGTGGACTTTGCCAGGGACATAGAACAGACAGCAAGGAATCTTTTTGTGGGACCCCAAAGGGTGTCATTTGGGGCCAAACCGGGGCTGGACCAATGGAGCTCATCTGGTTCCGCCCGCTCCGCTTAAGTCCTCCTTGTTTTGGCGACCCCCAATTGGGTGTCATTTTTCAGGGTACCTCATTGTCGTGGATTTAAAGGGAAGCCAACAAAGGAAAGCCACATTTGCGGGTCCCACAAAAAGACACGCACACAAATTGTGTCAGCCTGATCTCGTGGTGAATTTTTGATCTCTATTGAGGTCCCGTTTTCGACGGGGAATGACCTAGGACTCAATTTCAGAGCCCAAGCTCGCCAGTTTCCTCACGGAAGGACACCGTGAGAAAGTGAAGCTCAGGATGCTCGTTGCAGCGCGGTGTTGTGGTTTGGACTAGCTCGGTCAGAGGCAGGCAGCATTTCGTTTGCAGTTCCTTTGCTTCTGCAGTTGCGTGGGGCTTTTTCTTTGGTGTTGCCTGCGTGCGGCCATTTGGACTGAAAGGCGACAAATCCACCCAGGCGCTTTGAGATAGGGTGCAGGGTGCCGTGGCAAGGCGTCTTGTTTAGTGGTCCTAGTGGATTCCAAAGGGCAACGCTGTGCTTTTGGCTCACGTTGCATCGGCTTGGGACGTCCTTTTACGGCACCTGGAAGATCCTTCTCCGGACAGGGTGTTGAGTGTTGCCCTTCAAGGGGATGCTTTTCAACATGAGCTGGGCCGATTTCCTATGATTCTCCTTTTCAAGGGGTGGAAATATGGGGAGGCCAGTCGACGGTGGCCGGCCGCCTCACTGGCCGACGGGACGCCGTGAGCTCGGGCCGGCAGGCTCGCATGCGGGTTGCGTGGAGCAGTCGCTGCAGCGGGCCCAGCAGAGCATGAACCAAGCCCTGTTGGACCTCGAGCGCCAGGCCCCCGGGCGTCGAGATGTGTCATGCGTCAAGGGTTGGGACACAGCTCAGTCCCAGAGTTCATGGACTTTGGGGAAGACCGTTTTAGTGGCACTCACAAGGCTTGGGCCCATCTACTCAGGAAGTGAGACAAGGCCACACCCCTATTGTCGGCAAGATGGACGCCCTACATTTTTGCCACGGAATGTGACATTAGCTGGGCGCTTTTCTTCTTGGCAACAGTCAATTGGAGTCGATTATTTTTCGGGTTTCGAAAACGGGCCCACTGTTGCGGTTCTTAGCGATTGATTGGGTTTGGCCAAGCCAAACCATTGAATTTAAACAGACCAGTGTGTTATTTGGGAGGATGTCTTTTTTGTGCCAGGAGGCAGAGAAGTTCAGCAAGGTCTACGAGATTCTGCGGGAGCTTCTTGGTTTCGTCAAGTTTATCTACTTGCTTTGAACCAAGTCAAAAAGGGAGGCACGAGTCACCAACTTGGCCAACCCCTTCAGAGGACAGATCAGAAATGAGATTTCCACATTTTAGGAGAGCATACAACCCCAATTATTAGCACTACACCATTGCAACTGGTAGAATGATTCAGGCCTAAAGAAGCAAAACTAACTTAGCGTCCGGCTGGCTGCTACCATTTGGCATTGTGTTAAGTTCGCCAAGTGGCGGAAGCGCATAGCCAAGTACACAACTGAGCTGATCTCACGGCCGCGACGCTCTTCGCGTAGTTTGCATCGCCCAGCCAGGTTGCAAGCCCGGCCACGGAGGTCCTCATGTGATGTTGGTACTCTCCCACGAGAGAACCCACTCCGCCAATGCGCAATGCCCGAAGGATTTCGGGCATCACCCCTGCTTTTACGTTCTGTTGGGGGTCGTGCCAGTCATTGCCAGGGTTTAAGTCAAAGTCAAAGGCGCCGGTGTGTGTGTGTGTGCGCGCGCGTGCGTCCTCAACCGTTGTTGTTGTCGGGGTTCCGAACTTGAGCATGAATTCGGCCTGGAACCTGAACACGTGATGCAGAGGTAAATGCCTAAGATATCTCGGTAACGCCCTGGAATGAAAAGGCCCCAGAATCAAACATGAGCTTGCTTAGCCAGGAGGCCTGCTTAGCCAGGAGCCTTACTAAAAATAAAATAACACAAAATGGCCAAATAGGCAAAGGGAACCCGAAGGAAACCATTTAAGGCGGATCGTTTCAAGGGTCCAGAACCATTTTTCTTAGAGTACATTCTGGCAGGTTTGCTGGGTGCCATGCATCTTTTCTAATCAATGATGTTGCCCGTTTCCCAACAACCAGACCCCAAATCAAGGGCGTGTATCTTGCTGAGGGTATCCTTTGCGTTTGTTTTCAATGGGGACGGAAGGGAAGCCTCCAACTTCGGAGGGGTTCTGAAACCACTGTTTTTTTTTACGCAATTTGGCACCCAGTTTGATCTTGCGTGTTAGAGGACCTTAGCATCTTTTTGTTGGATCCCCGTTGAAATTGACCAAAAGGGGCTCCCTCAAAGCCATGTTTTGAGCTGAGCTCATGGAGTTGGCTTTCTTTCCGGTTTTAAGCTGGGACCAACCAGAACCGACGTCCCTTCGCGTCTTAAAATCGACACCCAGCGCCGGCACCCACCCAGCGGCGTCCCCGGCGCCCGCGAGTCGAGGCTCTCGGCCCGGCAACTGGCGTTGGAGCAGCAAGTGGCGGGCCTGGCGGCCTCCAGCGCCTGGGATTTGATCCGGATCTTTGCGCTTGGTCCCCCAGCAAGTGGTGCCCTGGTACCCTTCCTCTTTTTTTGGGGGGTTTTGGGGTTCCCCTAATATTGACTACAGGAAAAACAGGGTCTTATTTTAGCCTCTCTGCTGGAGGACCTAGTTTGTGCCGTGAGCCGTGGAGACCTGGCGGTTGTGCTTCATGGGAGGGTCTTTGGAGGGTGCGTCTTTGGGTAAGGGAAACCAACAGGAGAAGCAGCAATTTGGGGGGGGGGAGGGGTCCAAATCCAAGACGCACTCTCCTCTTTTTGTTTTTTGGCTTTGACGGATCGCAGATGAAAAGCTCTCTGTTTTGCAGTTTTACGCCAATTGGACCATTGGAGCAAACAAGCGAGGTCGGAGGTTTCCGCGCAGCCAGCCTTCCTTTTGGATTTTGAAGGGACCCCCCTGACTTTTGATGTGCCCCCCTAACCCTTGTCCCTATTCGAAATCAAAAAAAAAGAGACTGATGCTCGTTCTTGACCAGAGGTCCACACCTAGCACAAGCCTCGAAATCGGTGGTTTCCCTTTGTTTCGTTTGACAACTGGCCCGGAGCATTGTATCCTCAAAACAGGCGCGTCCGGATGAAACAGAGCGGGCAAGCAACAGGAATGAGGGAATGCGGAGTACAATGCAGCAATGGGAGTTGGCGGTTAACACAACGTGGAGGAATGATTGAAATAAGGACTGGTTGCGAGCGGGGGCTCCCCACAGCCTGCAAAAGGGTATGTGACAGTGTCTAATAATCGAGGGCTTTTGATTGATCACTGCGGTCAAAGCCTGTTCTTCCGTGGACCCTGCGAGTCCTCCGTTTTTGTAACTTTCTGTCATTTTCTCTTTGGCTGGCTGGTTGGCTGGTTGGTTGGTGTTGGTTTTGGCTTGTTTGCTTGCCTGTTTGTGTGGTTTGCAGGTTCCCACTTCCAGAGTTCATGATATTTCTTCTTTTTGTGAAGTTCATGTGAAGGCCATTTTGGCGGCAAAACAACAAGTTCAGACTTTTGTTGGCCCATCCACTCAGGTGTTTGAGTGTTCGTGCCTTCATTTGTTTTGTTTGTTTGAGGCATTGGCCTGTGCCCGAAAAGCCTCGCAGCTCGCAGGTCAGGGCTTTCAGATGGTCATGTTTGAGCCTGGTCAAATGGCCCGGCGCTTACGGTGAAGGACTCCGGTTGACTCTCTGGACCCAGTTGGCAGCTTCCGCTTATCAAAGTCAGAAACCGCTGTGAGTTTTTCCTTTGACACTTGGAGGCGGACTGTTTGATCATGCTATGATACACTGGGTTTGCAACTTACCTGTTGAAGTGGCAAGCTTTGTGTTACTTTGTGTTGCTTGGTTTCTTCAATTGTTGTTTTGTCGCAGGCGTTGCATGTTTTTGCAGTCCATTGTTGAAGGTTCTGGCTGGTTTCAGGTGTGGTGGATTAAGGCGACCCTTGTAAGAAGTTCGGTTCAAGGAATCACCAGCTGTGATCACGAGTGAGTTCCGTTCCACTCCGTGCACGCTTCTGCCGGGTTCTTTATTTTTATTTTATTTTTTTCTGGGGACGGGTGCTTTTCTGCCGGTCGACCGTTCCTGTTCCGTTTTTGCAAACCAGATGGCACCCCCAAACTAGTGGGAGGTCCTTGTACGTTGCGCGCCAAACCAGCGGCCCCTCCAGTCCTGGGCCGCGGATAAGAGGCCTGGCCAAATCCGAGGCTGCGATGCAGCCGATGGTGCAGTCGCCAGCGAGTGTGCAGTCAGGAGGCAGCCCTCAGCTGCCTTCTGAGACCAGCTGAGCGTCTGAATCCGGTGCAGCCGGAAAAAAAGATGCGTGGCTGCGTGGCAGTGGCCCCTCAACTTCTTCAACTTGTTTGAGCCCAGGGGAAGTTTCATTGGAAGCCAGTCAATTGCAACTTGAGCCGCAATACAGTACCTGTGGGTTACATCTTGGGTTCGGGGGGGTTCAAGGTTCTTGTTGCCCACCCTTAGGAGTCAAGGCAAAACCTATTCACCTCTCAAGGCGTAGTTGGCTTCATGCCAGGAGACGCCTTTTGAGATAGAGATCGAGGAGGAGAGCGTGCGCTTTACAGGCTGGACGCTCACAGGTCAGGTCTTTGAGGAGGCTGTGGGTTTCATGGGCAACCCAAAATTGAGGGTGTTCAATGGCAATGGTCGTTCAAGTCAGCGTTCCGCATCTACTTAGCAACCAGGGGCTAACTGTGACATTGGCTGGAGTGAGTCCAAGGCTGGCAGCGGTTCTACCGCCTGCGCCGGGACGAGCAATTGGAGGAGAAGCTTCTAGTTGCTTGCATGCCGTGACGTTGGCAGTGTGCATTGTTGCTGGCAACTTGCCCGACTCGGCCTTTGCAAACTCAGTTCATTCATGCCTCCTCGTCTCCCTCGTAACTCATTTGATTTTGAATGCATGTTTGTATCATGTTTGTACATCCACCCCATTTTACGGAGCAAGTAAGGGGGAACCAGTATTTCAAATTTTATTGTGCCTCGTCATGTGGCAGAGCAATGTCACACAATTGTCTCCGTAAATCCATACTGCATACCATACCTTCATACCAGCAACCTTCATACCTTCACACCTGCAAACCTCCTTGCGGACAACAGTGTGCATGCATGCATTTCGATGCGTTGCCTTGCAAAGCATTGTGCGTTGGTTTCTCTATGCATTTCTTTCTTTGTCCGCTTGTCCGTCCGTCTTTCCGCAGTCCGTCCGTTCTTCCACTTGCACGCTCGCGTGCTCGCGTGCTCCTCCCCGATTCTATTCAGTAAGCAGGCACTCTAAATTACAATGTTCATGTTTGGGGCCTAAACTTCCATGCCCCATCTGGAAAAATCCTCTTAGAGAGTCCATGTGGGTCAAAATGCCGCCAGGAATTGGACCGCAGGTTTTAGTCTGCCGCCTTGCCAGGAGCTGAGGGCGCGCTTGTCGATGGCGCCCAACGCCCTTGAAGCCGCGAGGCGTTTTGGGGAAAGGGGCTGAAACGGGCCGTGGTGGTCAACACCAATGGGGTCCCCCATGTTAGGGGTTTTCGGTGCACCGCCCATTCTTTGCGCCGATTTTAGTGGGGATTGGGATGTTCACTGGGGGTACGATTTGGCTTGTTGCTTTTGGCCCCCCTTTATCTTCAAGGGAAAGGCCACCCTCCATATACTCCCCATCGCTTGGGTCTAGGCTATGGTCCACTTGGCAGAGAACTCGGCAAGTGTCCAACGAAATCCAGGGGACGAGCTCTGTTTTCATTGGGAGGAGAGACAGAGAGAGAGAGAGAGAGAGAGAGAGAGTGAGAGCCATATTTTTCCCATGCTCTCTTGGGGGAACACATAATTTTGATCGCGGCTCAAATGAGACTGAGATTCAGCCCAAAAAGGGTCAAAACGGGTTAAATTGATTTTGGTTTTCAATCGCGGACAGTGTTTTTCCCCAGGCTTTCCTGTGAGAGCCGTCCGGTCGCCCAGTTGCAACTTTTGGTGGACCAGTATTGGAGCATCGTCTTCCCTTTGTTTCCTCCCTTCCGTCCCTATCCCTTCCCTCCCTTCCGTCCCTTCCCCTTTGCCTTTCTCTCTTCCCATCCTCCCCTCCCACTTTGTTTGGTTGCAAAGCTTGTCTTCCCCTTCCCTTCCTTGTTTCACGTTCCGATTGAGAGGGAGCAATTGCAGCCTAGCACCCAGTGACAAATGGCGCCTGTCAGTGGCTATCAATCACCATGGAGGGCCGAACCTTCCCATGGCTCCCCTGCAACTGAATTCATATTCAACATGTAACCTATCTCTTGGCACATATAGAATTATGTTTTTGGTGTAGATACATATGTATCTGTTGGGGTGAGGGCATGCAACAGTAATTCACAGTACGTGTCACATGCAAATTGGTTGCCCACTTTCAGCAAAATGTGAGTGTGATTTTACTACGTTACCATCATTTAGGTGGGGTTTCATGTCCGCCAACTGCCCGGGCTACCTAAAATTTATAGCCTTTTGTCAAGCCTATCCTCCCTCTAACCACTAGTGGGGGATTGGGATGTTCACTGGTACGGGGTTTTGACCCATGGCCATGTCTCAGTACTCGAATTATTGGATTGGATTGCATTCCCCTGAGCTCTTCGATTCCCGGAAGCCCAGTCTCCGCTTCGACGCCAGTTGGCTCTGCGACGCTCTGGCGGAAGCGCCGGAGCAGCGCGAGCCTGCCTTCCGGGGCCTGGGGCGAGAGGAGCAGAAAAGGAAAACGGGGCGGCGATCACGTGTGTCCTTTTTGGGTAAAAAATAATCGGGTCCCCATCTAACAGCGGTTAAACATTGGGTTAACAAGGCGGTAAAGAAATGATGTGTCTTTTTAGGTTAGTTTGGAGAAAAAGAAATGGGGAACCCACTGGTTTAGATGGGGTTTGTTCCATTTGCCAGGGAAACCGATCTTTCTGCAGTTCCGAGACTCACTTCTCCAAAGCGATTCATTTTGCTTGACCTTTGGCTTCCCCCTTTTGGGGGTCTAATTTGTTGCCATGTTGGCCTTTTATTTCCAGGTCCTTTTGGGGAACTGAGAAGACCAGTCCGTGTGTGCTGGTTGCCTGTTATTAGATGGCGGTAAGGGAGCCAAGCTGGCGACGAGGAGTTCTCTATTGACATGGAAGCTTGACTTGCCCTTTCGTTTGCAGACGAATTCCACTCGGGATGAATAGGGTCCTGGGGTAGACCCTACACAGGAACGAAGCGGAATCGGTCGTCCATATTCCCAGTATCCCAAGCCTCCCTTGCCAAGGGGCGGTTCAATTGTGCCAAAGGGACCCTCCCTTTGCATGTTTTCCCAGCACCGGAAACGCATGGGGATTCTTTGACCAGATAGCTCCAGACCCTTTCTGTGCAAGCTGGAACCTTCCATAAAGTAGCACGCTTTTGTTAAATCAAAGTCTCAATATTTTAGAGCTTGGTACGCCATTGGTGGCGTACCAACCTCTTTTTGGAAGAGATTTAGGGAACGTCGGTTCGGTTTTGACACGCGGCAGATGGATGTGTGTTAGACCCCGTGCAGGGGTATTCTAGGCTATTCCCCAGTGCCAGCTCAAACCTCCCCGCCATCCAAACATGAATCCACCATCTACTTTTGAGCTGGTCCCGGGTGAAGCTTCACAGCCAGTGCCTTTTCGAGCTAGTCCCATGCAAGGGGAGCTGAGCCGAAGTGAGCGAAACTGGGGCGCCGTGTGCCAAGGTCAGGAGATCGAGTATGGCAAGGCGTGGGGGCGACGATACGCCGATATGCCCCTCTCACTCCCTGAGCTACTCCGCAGACTTGAAGCTTTTGGGGAAGAGCATTTTAGTGGCAGCAAAACAGTTTGAACTCTTTTTTCTTGCCAACCACACACAGGAAGCGAGCCTTACCCACGAACCCATGGCCCCATAGCCATTTTGGACTCCGCGAAGGCCGGGCGGATTTCCTCATGATTAGCCATGATCATTTGTTATTTAACCCAAAATGCAGGTTACCTTGTGATGTGGATTGGTGATGTGGGGATTTCAACCCGTCCAAAGCAAACCGAACCAGCAACTAGGGGTAAGGGTAGTTCATTCATGGGTTTGTGCATTCAGACTGCGCAAGTGTTTGCTAAGTGTTGGTGTGCAGTCAGTCCCTTGCTGCAGAGGCCTAGCGTTAGGCTTTCAATGGTGTACCGGCATTGGAGGTTTGAATGAGTGATCGCAATCTGTACAACAGCCAAATGACGCCAGTCCCTATCCAGGATGAGCATGATTTTCTGGGCCAATGAAGTAGGCGGGCAACACTATGCAAGCATAATCGTCCATCGATGTGATCTCGGAATATCTCGGAATTATTTCCTGGCATGGTGTCCACGTCAATTTTTATGGTTGCACCCTAAACACCCTTCCACTCAAAGCCCCGGACCCGCCACAAGAGAGCCCCCACCCCTCAAGAGCTCCGAATACGATGCCCTTCTGAGGACCCCAAAAACGTCTGCAGCCTTGGCTAGTTGGTCGTCTCGTGCGTCAATGTCTTTTGTGGCGTTCGGGTGGGCACGACTGGTGGATCCGGACATTGTTGTACGACGCTTGGGTAAAACGAGCTCCGTGATAGGACCCTTACTAGGGGGTTCCACCCACAAGGGAGGTTTTTCCCGGCGGAATCCATTGGGGGAACCATGTGAGAAAGGGATATCACGGTGGAAGATGCATCTTCTGTAAAGTGATGAAGTTGGGGACGGGAGTCAAAATGAAGCCGTTTTGGTATGATAATAGTCATTTTTCCCCTTGCATTACACTTAGCTTGCTTCTTTTTAGCTTGCTCCTCTTCTTGGGTTTTGGGTTGCGGGGCAGTTCCCAATCAAAACCAGCCAAGTGTTTCACGTCTGGCCCAGCTCCGGCAGATCAGCTCCCCGGCGGTGGCGGAGCTGTGTATGGCGCCGGGGGCTCGGGGAAACCCGACCTCTCCGACCCCGGGTGCTGGTTCTAGGTCCCCCAGTAGTGCCCTCTTACCCTTCTTGGGGGAGAGTTCCCCTACTAAAAGAGACTGCTGAAAAAAGGGTACCCTTATTCTAATCTCTCTACTGGAGGACCTAGTGTTTGTTTTTTTGGGCGCTGAGCTGCTTGCAGGTTCGTTCTCATTTGCCCGCAATGTTGACCCCTGTGGTGAAGCCCTGGTCGATCAACCGCAGAGGGATTGTCCCCTTGGTTTGGGGGGATTCATCACCCTAAAAGTCGCACCAAAGAGGCAAGGGTTGCCATTCTTGCCGCACCCCCCCGCCTCCCCGCCCACCCGGATCCTTCACTTCAAGAGAAGCGCCAACCGCCAACCCCTTGCGAGAATGTGCGATACAACAGAACGATGGGTTCTCAAAATGGGGAATCAACGCATGGCTTGCCACGGCAGCACATCCTTTCTCAAGAGGAAGACAAGCAAGGCTCAAGAGCAACAGACAAGGAACAAGATGCCCAATTCAGCGCTCACAACAAGATGTCGCCTTTTGCTTGACCCTTTTGAGCTTTCAGAGCCAAACAAGGAAGGAAGTTGGTTTTGCCCCAAGTGATCTTTGACAAACATCATGTGCCGATGATGTTTTTTTTGCATCCCTGGGGCCAGTCTTTTTTGGGAAGGGTCAGCCTTGGCGGTTTCCAATGTGCATGCAAGCTTTGGTTGGCACGCAACTCAAATCAGCTGGTATTCGTTGCCCAGCTCGCCTGGGTTTTCGGACACAACCTTGGGCTCCCTCTCCCTACGGATTTGGCCCCGTTGCCTGGGCGGCCGACAACGGCCGCTTGAAACCGGGCGATGGCATGGCGACGCTGTGCCGCTGCATCTGCAGCCGCGAGGTGCCGGAGACCGGCATGGCACCAGGCGTGCCCAGCCTGGATGAGGTCGTGGAGGAGCCGCTTTTTGTCGCCTGCCGCTGGTTTCTTTGAGGCGGCCAACGCCTTTGAACAAGCTTGCTTGGCCTGCCTGTTTTTTTCTGACAAAGTGGTGCCTTGCGTTTCCGCTGCAGAAGTCACACTGCATGTCAAAAAGGAAAGCTTCTGTCTTCAGTGGTGGCCCCTGCTGATCCCGTTTGGTGGGCTTGGTGCCCCGAAAGATGCCATGGGCTCGCAACAGAAGTTGCGAGCGGTGAGGCCGGGATCGCCGGTTGCTGCTTTGTCCCGTCGACTGCGTGAGTGTTTTGGGTCGTCTCGCTGAAAGTGAACCAACGACCCAGACAAGCCCTCTTGCGCGCGCAGAAACATGGGGGATGCCCATGTGTGACTTTTTCATAGTTTGTGTTTATATGTACGATCATGCAAAGCGCATCGCGAGAGGGGGCCAACGCCCTCAAAACGGATGCTCAGCTTCCGCCATGCAGTCCTACTCTTCCATTTGCTTAAGAATATTTGTTATTTTCCCCTTTTGGTTTTAAAGGGAACCTATCACTACTGGATTTTTTTGTTTTCGGAGTACTGAACCCCGTCCCTGTGGAGGTTTCAACATCCCCGTTCGAGGAAACGTACTTGTTTCCCAATCATGGAAGTGGACACAGGCGCCTTTTAAAGAGGGTGGCAGTCCTAAATCCCTTGTCCCATGGTCTCTGTTGCCCAAAGCCGACCTTCTGACCTTTTGGTTTCTCCTTTTTGGTCTAGTTTTAGTCATGGCCCCACAAGGTTCACCTTCTATTTGTGGGTCCTTTGGGCAAGCGAGTGGTTTTTTGGAGGGCTCCAGCGGCGGCCCTCCAGGAGCGGTGCCGCGGCGCGGAGGCTCCGGGCGGCGCCGCGCCGCCCAGAGGCGGCGGGCGGCTGTGCTACTCCATGCTGTCGGACCAGGCGCTGAGGGGCGCACCCATCCGCGAGGGGCAGCTCTGGCACCTCTCCTCAGAGGAGCTGAGCCGTGGGTTTTGGGGTGTGCGGCAGCCAGCAGTTTGGAGCGGGTTTTCTCGTTGAGCAACACCCAGGCTCCGGAGTACTATCCTGGGAGCCGACCGTTTTGGGGCTCTTCAACTTGAAGACACGCTTTGGATGATCGAAACAGGTCCCCAGACAAGAAGCAGGTTGGGGCCCCCTGCCAGGAGAAGGTGGACCCCGTGCACGTCTTCTTGCACGTGAACGGCTTCCGATTTCAGAGCGATGGCCAGGAGGTGGCCGTGGCCGTGTCGCCCTTCACCTTGGTCCGGAATTGCAAGTTCCAGCGCCTCGGGCTCGCGTAGAGATCTGTTGGGCTCGCCTGGGACGACTCCTCACATAAGATTCCTTAGAATTCCGGAATTCAATTTGAAGATTCAAGCGCTAGGTGTCCTTGCATGATTGCTCTCAACCAAGATTCTTTCAAGAGTGACGGACCCATTGAAGTTGCCAGTCGACTTTGGCTTCTTTGAGAAACTTTTAGCTAATTCAGATCCTTACACAGGCCCCTTGGACTTAGCATGACTTAGCTAATAAAACAGTGTCTAGATAGTTGTCAATGTTAGGCCAGCAACCTGTTGTGCTCTGATTCGGCGTTTCCAGACCCGGATTGTTTTGCAGTCAAACTGGCCCGTATTTGCGTGTGCATTGCCAGACTGGACGGTGTCGGCACGGGCCATTCTTGCAGCTGGGATGTGCCCGGTTTTTTTCCAGCGGGCAGAAGCGTTGACAGGGTCAGAATGGAGTTGCTTTGTCAAATGGGCCCACAAATAAAGCAAACTAGCCATCCAGCTAGCTAGCTGACTAGCTAACTAAAATCGACAAATGACGAGATGAATCTAATATATGAGCCACGGACAAAACACGCGTAGACCACTTTATCAAGACGGGGCACGCTTTTGAGTAACACATCCCAAAACCATGGAAAACGATGAGGTCTCCCCCAAAAACGATGACCCTTAACGAACACACGGCTCTGTAAATACGACACTTGTACTGAGAAGTTGCGATTTTCGAGCTGGAGATGCGGAAGTGTACTTCGCGTACAGCCTAGGCTTGTACTACAAAGCTGCGATTTTCGAGCTGGAGCTGCGGAAGTGTTCTTCGCGTACTAGACTTGTACTACAAAGTTGCGAATTTCGAGCTGGAGCTGCGGAAGTGTACTTCGCGTACTAGACTTGTACTACAAAGTTGCGATTTTCGAGCTGCAGAGGCGGAAGTGTACTTCGCGTACTAGACTTGCACTACAAAGTTGCGATTTTCGAGCTGGAGATGCGGAAGTGTACTTCGCTTACTAGACTTGTACTACAAAGTTGCGATTTTCGAGCTGGAGCTGCGGAAGTGTTCTTCGCGTACTAGACTTGTACTGCAAAGTTGCGACTTTCGAGCTGGAGCTGCGGAAGTGTACTTCGCGTACTAGACTTGTACTACAAAGTTACGATTTTCGAGCTGAAGATGCGGAAGTGTACTTCGTGTACTAGACTTGTACTACAAAGTTGCGATTTTCGAGCTGGAGATGCGGAAGTGTACTTCGCGTACTAGACTTGTATTACAAAGTTGCGATTTTCGAGCTGAAGATGCGGAAGTGTACTTCGCGTACTAGACTTGTATTACAAAGTTACGATTTTCGATCTGAAGATGCGGAAGTGTACTTCGCGTACTAGACTTGTACTACAAAGTTGCGAATTTCGAGCTGGAGATGCGGAAGTGTACTTCGCGTACTAGACTTGTATTACAAAGTTGCGATTTTCGAGCTGGAGCTGCGGAAGTGTACTTCGCGTACTAGACTTGTACTACAAAGTTGCGATTTTCGAGCTGGAGATGCGGAAGTGTACTTCGCGTACTAGACTTGTACTACAAAGTTGCGATTTTCGAGCTGGAGATGCGGAAGTGTACTTCGCGTACTAGACTTGTACTACAAAGTTGCGATTTTCGAGCTGGAGCTGCGGAAGTGTACTTCGCGTACTAGACTTGTACTACAAAGTTGCGATTTTCGAGCTGGAGATGCGGAAGTGTACTTCGCGTACTAGACTTGTACTACAAAGTTGCGATTTTCGAGCTGGAGATGCGGAAGTGTACTTCGCGTACTAGACTTGTACTACAAAGTTGCGATTTTCGAGCTGGAGCTGCGGAAGTGTACTTCGCGTACTAGACTTGTACTACAAAGTTGCGATTTTCGAGCTGGAGATGCGGAAGTGTACTTCGCGTACTAGACTTGTACTACAAAGTTGCGATTTTCGAGCTGGAGCTGCGGAAGTGTACTTCGCGTACTAGACTTGTACTACAAAGTTACGATTTTCGAGCTGAAGATGCGGAAGTGTACTTCGTGTACTAGACTTGTACTACAAAGTTGCGATGATCGAGCTGGAGATGCGGAAGTGTACTTCGCGTACTAGACTTGTATTACAAAGTTGCGATTTTCGAGCTGAAGATGCGGAAGTGTACTTCGCGTACTAGACTTGTACTACAAAGTTACGATTTTCGATCTGAAGATGCGGAAGTGTACTTCGCGTACTAGACTTGTACTACAAAGTTGCGAATTTCGAGCTGGAGATGCGGAAGTGTACTTCGCGTACTAGACTTGTATTACAAAGTTGCGATTTTCGAGCTGGAGCTGCGGAAGTGTACTTCGCGTACTAGACTTGTACTACAAAGTTGCGATTTTCGAGCTGGAGATGCGGAAGTGTACTTCGCGTACTAGGTACTTTGTTTCGAGCTGGACGGAAGTGTACTTCGCGTACTAGACTTGTACTACAAAGTTGCGATTTTCGAGCTGGAGCTGCGGAAGTGTACTTCGCGTACTAGACTTGTACTACAAAGTTACGATTTTCGAGCTGAAGATGCGGAAGTGTACTTCGTGTACTAGACTTGTACTACAAAGTTGCGATGATCGAGCTGGAGATGCGGAAGTGTACTTCGCGTACTAGACTTGTACTACAAAGTTGCGATTTTCGAGCTGGAGCTGCGGAAGTGTACTTCGCGTACTAGACTTGTACTACAAAGTTGCGATTTTCGAGCTGGAGATGCGGAAGTGTACTTCGCGTACTAGACTTGTACTACAAAGTTGCGATTTTCGAGCTGGAGCTGCGGAAGTGTACTTCGCGTACTAGACTTGTACTACAAAGTTACGATTTTCGAGCTTTAGTTGCGATGATTGTGTGTACTTCGCGTACTAGACTTGTACTACAAAGTTGCGATTTTCGAGCTGGAGCTGCGGAAGTGTACTTCGCGTACTAGACTTGTACTACAAAGTTGCGATTTTCGAGCTGGAGCTGCGGAAGTGTACTTCGCGTACTAGACTTGTACTACAAAGTTGCGATTTTCGAGCTGGAGATGCGGAAGTGTACTTCGCGTACTAGACTTGTACTACGAAGTTGCGATTTTCGAGCTGGAGCTGCGGAAGTGTACTTCGCGTACTAGACTTGCACGACAAAGTTGTGATTTTTGAGCTGGAGATGCGGAAGTGTACTTCGCGTACTAGACTTGTACTGCACAGTTGCGATTTTCGAGCTGGAGATGCGGAAGTGTACTTCGCGTATTAGACTTGTACTGCCTGCCAAGTTTCGCTTTTCGAGCTGGAGCTGCGGAATTGTATTTCGCAATTTTCGGGCTGGAGCTGCGGAAGTGTACTTCGCGTACTAGACTTGTACTACAAAGTTGCGAATTTCGAGCTGGAGCTGCGGAAGTGTACTTCGCGTACTAGACTTGTGCTAGAAAGTTGCGATTTTGGAGCCGGATCTGCCAAAGTTCGAAAACACTGTAAAACGATGAGGTCTCCCCCAAAAACGATGACGTTAAAAAAAGTACTAAGGCCAAGTAAAGGGTTTCGTCCGCTCCTCATATGTATGTATGTATGTATGTATCATATGAATCAATAAATGAATAAACAAATAGTTGAATGAATGCACCAGTATTCAACACAAAACGCATACACGAGTAACTATCAAACTTTGCTCTCCCGGCGCGCAAAGTTTCCATTCTCACCGAGGAGCACCTACCCATCCTTGGACATCTCGGACTTCAAGATTTTCAAGGTTGGGCTCTGTCAAAAAGGGTAAGATACTTTTAAAGGTGGGCAGAGGGGACATCAGGCGATCCCTTGGTGGGGCGCCTTGCTCTTTGGGGGAACCTGTTGGAACATGTCCTTCTATTTGAACTTCTGATGATTTTTTCTGGGGGCAAATGGAGGTGACGCTGGTCTGTGCAAATGCAATCCTCAATACGCAAGAGACTTGATCCCTGGACTAGTGGTTTTCCAATGAGTATAAGTTAGGATTGGCCAACGCTCCATGTTGAACAGCCCAGCTTCTTTGTCCCAGCTTCTTTGTAGAATTCCCCCCCCCCCCCACGGATTTGCCAACCTTGCGAGGTTTCGCTCTTCGCGCAGGGGGCTTGCTACTACTTCGGTGTCCGGGGCCAGGACGCTCTCAAGGCCGAGGAGGAGAGGTCGCGGTGGGTGCTGGACATCTCTCGGGCCATGCGCCTGGTGACGCAGTCCCTGTTTCCGCCCTTTGCCATCAGGCGGGGTTACAGGTGATGCTTGGTGTTCAAGCTACTTAGTAAGTAGATTATGGTTATAAGGGGACTCACCCCATGTATGTGATTTAGAGTCTACTTGTACTTACTGTTTTGGTCAAGCTTCCAAGAAGGAAAGTCCCCAAGGCAGAAAAGCGGTATCGAAAGAGCATTTGCATCTCTTGCCTGCAACCCCTGAACAGTGGATTGGTGGTTTGGGATTTGAACCCAATTATTTGTGAAACCAAGTGGAGGAAGGTATCCGCAAACCTTTGAACCAAGCCACACCACCAGTTAAAAGGGTAAGGCAAATGACTCGGCTTGTGGTGGCCCAAAGGTTCCACACAGTTGCATGCAACACCGTGTCCTTTGTGGGAAGGTTGGGAAACCTTCCTGCCCCCGTTATGTGTTCTTCCCCAGGTCGGTGTTCCAACGCTCTTCTTTGCTCTTGCCGTTTGGGTTTGTTCTCATGTTCCCTTTCAACCAGCCATATGCCAACTTGTTGGCCCAGGTCAAGTCTGAACCAGAGTTTTCCTTTGGCTTGTCTAGAGGATTAATTGTTTATTGCTTTTTGGGCTCCTCCCATTTGGCAGACAGTCCCCTTCAAAAAAGTGAACCGCCACGCAGTTGATTCAACAAATGGATGTATATCTTTCGGCTGGAAGTTTGTATGCCATTTTGGGGGGTGGGTGGGAAGAAACGGCCCAGCGAAACCGCCGTTTTTTTTTTTTGTTTTCTCCCTCCCTGTATGGAAGCCGTAGGTGTTTTTCTCGCAGGTGCGATCCACTTGAGGGCCGGGAGGTGACCAAGAGTCGGCTGCTGGCGGGGTTTCTGGTGCACTTCGATGACTGCCGCCTGACCGTAGCGCGTGCAAAGCCAACCGTCCAAGCGCTTCGGGGGCTTCAAGTGGGGCGGGGGACGTTTAAAGATATCCTGCCTCAGAACCTGGGGTTTTCCGAAAGAAGGCTCTCTGTTTTTGAGGGTACCCCTTTTGAGGGTAATTTTTGTTGATGGCTTTACAGGGAAATCAGTAGAGAACACAATTATTTGTTGGTTTGTTTGGGGGAGCTCGAAAAAGACACCCTTTTGCTTTAGACAGCTTTAGGCCACTTGACTACCAGGTCGTGATCGTGACTTTAGTATGCCGGGAAGCGAGAATTGGGGGCTCCCTTTTGGGAGCCAGGCCTACTTCAAGGGGCCATTCCTGGCCATCTCCCAGCCGATTCGTTTCCCTAGGCGACTCCATGGAAGCTACCAAGTAACTAGCAGTCAACCCTTCCCACTCACAAGGTTGTTTCATTCAGGCGCCAGGGAGATTATTTTACATCCTTTGATTTTGCCCGTTGGTTGGGGTCTTCGCTGGTTTTTGTCCCTTCAACCTACCACATACAAAGGGTGACTTTGACAATGATGCAAAAAGGGTGTGTCTTTTTTGGAGGGTACCCCCTTTTTGGTGGTTGTAAAGGAAACCAAAAGGACGCCGAAACCATTTTGGGGGGATCCGGATCCAACAAAAGACGCACCCATATGGTTCGCACCGGGCATCCGAGATCCTTATCTACTTTGGGGATCCAAGGCTTCACGGCTTCAGTGCTCTACTGCGAGCTGCACGCGCAGACCCAGGAGTACGCCCAAAAAGGGCGGCGCTTGCTGTGCCCTGCGTGGTGGCCAAGGGGGAACGGGTCAACACTCGAATATGGCGTATGGCATGTTGGTGGTCGAAAGGCACCCTTTTGCTTGCATTTGCTTGGAATGCCGTCAAGGTTGGCAAGTGGACATGCCTCCATGCCAACAACCGATTCCTGCCCAGTTCGCTTGAGATGATCTGTGTTGTGCTTAGTTCCGAAGCCTTCCATGATGTTAGGGGAACAGGTCTAACACGAGATCCTGGCTTTCATTTTGTTTGGATGGCAGCCTACTGAGAATGGACAGCAGATGGAAAGCGATCCCTTGGTTTTCAGGCTCACACTGTTATTTTGGGTTGCAAGTGAGTTGGGATTTGACAGCTTGGAATTCATTCCCTGCAACTTGGTTGGTCTCTGGATTGTCTAAGCGCATCGTCAAAAGGCAAGTGTCGTATTTCTGTCTGGGACGCTTTGATCCCTACTTTCGGTGCCAGGTCACCCTCAATGGCACCTTGTGACTGCAAGGGGGGTGCCAATTTTCGCATCTCTTTTCGGGGGATTCCTTTGTCTACGGCTCTCCGGG